TGAATTCAATCTGGGCTGCCATCGATCAATAAGGACATGCTCTTGCACCCACGCTTGTTTGTAGTCATCATGAACAGACAGACAAAGCGTAGAAAAGTCGAAATACCTGCCCAGCGAAGCCCAAATACGAATGGCCGGTTCAACTTGAACATATTGCTCACGGAGAACTTGCTTGAGTTTGGATTGTCGGTTGAATTCACGCTTCGAAATAGTAATTGAAGTACTTCCCACATACATCCATCGGTCTCTTTGCTTGAACGAAGAACGCGTACTCCAGGACACGGGGGCTTTCAAATAAACTGCACAAGGACTCTGGAACCGTGTGAACGTGTAATCAGACGGCGTGACTCCAGCTTTGCGCAATTTTTCAAGCAGCCGTTGTTCTGGCGAAGTACCCCTGGAGTAATGGAACAGTAGAATCAGATGACAAAAACCTTGCAACCAAATGGCCATCACTTTGTCCACATGCGGAATGAATTGAAGCACAAACGACATGAACTTGCCAACCTCTGTAATAAGAACATGTGCTGACCGAATCTCCTTTACGGAGAGTTGATTGGAAGCAAGGCTATGTGCAATTCAGACAACCTGAAAGGCTGCCGCTGCAATGCACGTAGAGAGACTCTTGATGCCCATCCTAGATGCAAAAGTCGCCGAGATCCCGAATTTGACCGCAAGTTCTTGCAGTTTTGCTTTCTCCTTGCCTCCATAGTTGATCTGCACAAGCTTGGAGACAGACACAATGTGTTCTTGAAAATCGACAAAGCACTTTCCTAGAGGTCGTTTGAAGCTCTGGATCCACTTGTCGACGTCCCCCTCTCCTGATCCCTTTAGACGGGCTTTGTGATCTTTCAGGGCTTCGGCAGGAACACTGTCGATCTTACGCTTGAGGTCACTCTCCCAAGTCTGCGGTGGTGTCCCGGATTGTGGACACGGGGCACTAGATTGCGAGGCAACCGGGAGCTGTGTTTTCAAAGCGGGTTTCGTGGGGGTAACGGGAAGTCCTGCGGCTTGTAACTGTTCACGGCGGCGATTGAGTTCTTCCGTAACTTGAAGAAACTTCTGAGATTGATCGACGCCTGCAGACACCGGCATGTTGTCAAACATGAGCTGAACGATCTTGTCAACCATCGGCTGAAACAGAGCTGCACAATCCGTGTTCTTGTTGGGAATGATTGTAGATGAATTAGCGGCCTGAAAGAGATGCGTAGCAACTGCATCGATGTCAACTTTGCGATCTCGAAGGTTCTTCGTCACTTGCGACATGAACACTGCTTCGGCAACCGTAGCAACTGGCACAACACTGAAAAACTTGCCATGACTCAATGCTCGAAGACGCCAATCTGAAACTCCATGAAACAGGAATTCCTGAACAGGAATGCTGAGTGGGTCTTTTCCTGCGATCCCTTTCTTCCGCGACCACGGGGTGGCTTCGATGGACTTACGAAAGGACAACCCATGAAGCACCGTTGAATCATAATGATCACGATCTGACGCCCATCCATTCGGTAGTGCAGGAACAAGACCAGGACCTTGATGACATGGCATGGGAGTAGACGGCGAAGATGAAGGTGCCGAAGAAAGTGGAGGCGGAGGTAGTGGAGGTGGCTGACTAGCAGGTGCAGACTTGGAGAGGTTGGGATCAGTCCAACTTCCCGAGCTATACGGCTGATAGCGGCGCTGACCCCACGATTGTTGGGACCTCCCGTACCCTGTGCTGGTGTCCCACTGCCCATTCCATGCCATGGTTTCAGATCTATCGACAAATCTGAGTGCGCGGAATCGCTAACGACACTTCGAATCAAAAGGCTCCGTAGGCAAACAAACCTGCTCAAGTTGCTGCCAAACTGCTACACTTGCACATCGCTTGCACAACTCTTGCATCACACTTGCTCCTCTCACTTGCAGTACACTTGCACGTCCCTTGCAACACACTTGCACGTCCCTTGCTGGCACAGCTCGCAATCTTAACTGGCATGTTTTCGACACATGTATACGTGCAAAGCAGGTGACAACGGAAGAGACTTGAGAACGTGGCCGGTCAAAGCAGCATGTTGCACTCAGACCCTCCAAAAAACAAGAAGCGCTTCCGGGATGAAACATGAAGAGCGAAAGACCCATCTGCCATCTTTGGCACGGGCAACATCACGAATGTAGCTGCAGGAATGGTCACCTTCGACCCCTCCCATGGGGATTCTTGAGTGGGGAGGCGTGAGGGATCCTTGACGATTAAATGCATGTCCGAAAATGCACACCGGACGCTCACTCAGAATGCCACCGTACTTGGCCGCTGCCTCTTGTGCTTGTTCTGCATCTGAAGTGTGAGCCCTAGCATAGAAGGAAATTGGTGGGGACCACTTGCTGTCACTAGCATCCCACCAAGATGGTCGGATCGCTCCCTCAAGGAGGATTGATGCAGCCGCTGCCACTGTTGTGTTGTGTGCAACAGGAGAACGAGCAATCCCTGCTGCAGAAGTATGCGACCTGATCATGGTCCTCTCAAAGTGGGTGAAGTGGATGCTCAAGCACTTGCACGAACTCGACAAAGAACGAAGCTCCACAGAATGAATGTTTGCGGCTTGGTCAGCTGCTGCAATTGCCTGAGAGACATACTTCAATGCTGTCGAATTGACAGAGTGGGGAGGAAGACCTAACAGGCTGATCAGATAGTCCGCCGTGGTTTGCATCAAAGAGCTGGGAACCTGCAACTCAAGATTGGCCGGTATCTTTGTCGAAATCTCACATGCCGATTTCATACGGCCAGGGCTGGAACTGATCAAGTGACGTAGAGCAGTAAACATGGGGTATAATGCGACCCAATTGAAGCTAGATGAGTACACGCGTATCAGCTTCGCTTCTTCATCGCGCACTTCCAACCCACGAAGTTCAGGAATCACGAAGAAGTTTGAATCTTGCTCCCACTCAACTTCCACATGCCCTTTGAGAAGAGATCGATTCTCAAAATGCTCATACGAGTCTTGCAAGGGTCTAACTCGAAAGACGTAAGTCTGGTCCGCACTGAGCTGCCACCCTACGCGATCTGCATGAGTACCAGGAATCTGATCACAAATTGCACGAAGTCGAATGCTGTTAGGGTCTGCAACGAGAGAAACTTCGCTTCCAGGAACTTGCCGAAGTCGCTTTGTTGGCTGGGACGAATCATCCGTTTGGTACGTGATGGCTGACTGCTGGCTCTGACCAGATGCTATTGACTGATTCTGTTGAGAAACAACAGACTGCTGAATGTCAAGCAAATTGTTAAGGCCAGCATACACATCTCTGTGGCCTCGGACATGTGTCAAGTTTGCCGACATGATCGCTGAGTATTCAGCGAAATCAGCCACCGAACGAAACGACAACCGGAAACCTGTGCCGTCTGCATGAAGAGTGATTGCAGGAGGAACCTCTTGCTGTAGAACCTGCCGATCATTTACAGCACGTGCAGCAATCAAGGTAGGAGTTACATCTGTAGTTCCCGCTCCAACATTGGATGCAGAAGGGACCGGCAAAGAAGAAGATGAAGCAGGCGCCGGGCAAACTGCAAGAGTGGGGGGTGGAGGGGGGAAGGCGGGAGGGGGAAGGGGAGGGGGGGGTGGAATCCACTTCGCTGTGGTACCACGGGCGGGGGCAGGGGCAGAAGCGGGGAGGGGAGGGGGAGGCACAGGGAGAAGGGGGAAGGAGGAGGGTGGAGGGGGAGGTGGGGGAGGAGGGGGGGGGTTGATGTGCGGGTACTGCGTCTCTTTCCTGAAGCATCCATGGCAAACTGATCAGCAACTACCCAGAAGTACAGCTCAGGTACTCAATCTGTAGCCAAAGACCTGCGACAAGTCAGCGAAAAAGTCAGATTCGGGAAAGTCGATTTGATCATAGACAGTCAATGGAAAGTCAGCATTCAGGTTTCGGTAGAAGCATTCGGTGAAGACTCACTGAGAAAGTCAGCTTGCAAGCACGGATATAGAATCAGGGAAAGTCATCCAATGCTTATACAGTCAATCGGGAAAGTCAACGCCAGAGCTACCTCTGGGAGACACGGCGCCCATAGGGAATGCCGTTGTGAAGCACACTTGACACATCGTGTCGCAGGTCTCGAATCACACTCTCAAAGTCAGAAGAGTCAGCTTCTTGAAGTTATTAGAATTGTAAAAACATTGCACGGCTTAAAGGATCGAGGACGTCACAAGCTGCAGGTACGTCGACTTGGCGTCCCAAGTCGATTTCACAGGAAAGCAGAAAGGTCTTCGTTGGTGCCAGCCTTCTGCAATCCCCTGGCACCCCCTGCCTACTTCTCTCCCTTCGAAACAGGGTTGGACACACACACACACACACACACACACACACACACACACACACACGCACAACTTCCTCGAGCTCCGAGCTATGGAGCGAAATGCCAGGCTCCAGGCCATGATGAAAATCCGTGCTTTGCCATTGTCCTGCGGTTGGGAGAGGCAACCACAAACACACACAGAAGAAGCCCTGCTGCACTGCGTTGCACACGGCTTTGCCGGAAGTGCTTCCACTTTTGCCAGCACAAAGCCCGTCGACAAGTCAACGTCTCGAAGTAGGTGGAAGCCGGCCCCTAGCTGGGCGCCTGTCCTCGTCGTGGGTGCAAAGACATCTTCGTGTATTCCACATTCCAAACTTGTGCTTAGGCCGCGGCATCCTGGGCAAACCGCTGCTGCCTGGCACTGCGCTTGCATGGGAGCTAGCTAACCCCACATGATTCCTGATGTTTCGTGGCGATGTCCTAAACATCGGACTGGCAACCTCACAAGGCAGAAATCGGCCCGAAAAAGTCATTCAAACTGACTTGCCGGGAGCACGGGCGGTGTTTCTGAACTCGAAAACCTGTCTCAATGCCACGAGGAGCAAGCAGCACAACAGATTCCGTACTCATCAAGTAGTGCTCATCGTCTCACGGCGGCATGTTCCTTTAGACTCAGGCTTTCTGGAGCCCTGGTGAAAGACAGTGACGAAATCCAGCGCAGCATCATGTTTCGTCAGCCACAAATGCGAAGCCTGCCTTCCAGCGGAGCCTTTCGCACAGCCTCAGGCGATACAGGCTGACAACGGAGGGCAAAAGCTGTGTCGACCTGGCTGGGGCAGTGGTTCTCCGTAGCCTGCTCTTCGCTGTGAACTCTCTGGCTGTGGAGGCGTGAAGGCCGGTGTCAAAGTCCCCTCATTCTTGAAACTTCTCCAACAGCTGAGTGTTTCTCGTTGGCGGCATCCTGCTCTTTCCTTCCTCCTCCTCCCTCATCCTTCCCACGTGCTGCAGCTATTGTTCAGAAGCAGGGTCATGAGCTGCTATTCTCGCTTCGAACGATCCAGTCATCCGGAATCCCGAGGCCCCTTGCAAAACATAGACGCAGTTTGGAATTCAACTCTTTGCGTGGGCCCCCGGCAGAGAAGGGCTGCCCTGCCGCCACAGAGATTTTGTTGGACAGGAAGACCAGCCGCTCCTGAAGAACTAATGCAGAGGTTAAGGCAGATCCCCTTAACCACAGGGAAGTGAATACTCGTGCGTGGCAACTTCTCATCCTTAATGCTGGCGATCCTGGTGGTTCATGGGAAGCCACTGGAAGTGCGGCAAGCTGACCACGCCTCATCACCGAGGCTGCTTTGGAAGCGAAGACAGCTTCTGACGGAAGGCAGAGTTTCGAGCGCAGCCACTGAGGCAGCAGCCCCAGCCCAAAGCTTCCAGCACACGCCGTTTCAGCTTCGATTTCGCCTGACCGTGCAAAGCACTGCGCCAAACTCTCCCTCCCGACTTGATCGTGCTGGGAGCCCGGCTGTCATGCGCTGGGAGAAAGCGTAGAAGTGAGTGTAGCCATCCACCTCTACGGCAACCTGCCGTGACAAAGAAGCTTCTGGGAAGCATCTCTTGCTCAAAGATAGCTCCGCATATTAAACCATATTACACCATACTGTAATTGATTCTACTATACTATACTAAACTATACTATAGTATATTATAGTGTATTATACTCTAGTATACTATACTTTCTTATATGCCGTATATTATACTACTATATATGCTGTATGTTATTAGTTGAGCTGGCACAACCCGACCTTCATCGGCAGGACAAAGTCGGGCACATAGGGCCCGACAGCCTGTCAAGGCCATAGCCGAATCTGAAAATCCGAGAGAAGGACTCCATGCAACCCATATTCATACCTTCGTACATACTTACATACGTAGATAAAGAACTTACTTACGTACATACGTACATAATCATACGTACATACATAATGCAAGCTATGGCAGGAGGCGCCAGAAGTGGATCCAGACCAGTTTTGAAGCCGGCATGGGGATCTCGTGGTGACAATTTCCTTTCGCGATGTTCACCGATTTGAAGTCGCTGGCTGTGGCATGGTCACTCCGACCAGTCTTGCATCTAGCTTGCAGTGTTCTTGCACCGCTCCCCGACAGCCTCAGCAAAATTACATATGCTTTGTGTTGCTCCCTCGAGTCCCCATCTCAAGAAATTCCTGAAACGCCCTCGAAGTTCGTACGTGCACTTCAGCGCGCCTGCTCCGGGAGATGCGGCACCTGCAATTCTTCGAAGTAGCGTTCCAGAGCGGCTTGGAGACGAGAGCTCATGGGCGGAGACCTGAGGACTCCATCTTGCACTACGAGTATCTGGGGTGTGACAGGGATTCTCGGCGCTGGGCCCAATGGCCACATCTTTGGTGACAGTGAGAACCTGACACAGTGTCGCCATGAAGGTCACTTGAACCGTCTCCCTGTCACACTTCCCTCATGACTTGTCCTGGCATGCGACAATTCGACGATGACCGCGAGCCTCTCGCAGTGCTCCGACGCAACGGCGTCGGACTTCGTCGTCCTGGCCACATTGCTTCCAAGCTTGCATTTGGTCACGGGCCACTGGTTTTTCGGATGCTTCTTGTAGTTTGGATCAAGCTGCAGTCAGGGTGAGTGTTGCAACACAATAGCCCCACACTCATGTCTGCATCCCAACAGTTCGGAAATGTTCGGAAGCTCCTCCATAGAAGCACGCATTTTAGGACGCAGCGCCTGCGGAAGCTGCACCTTGTGCGAACAGCTCTGTACAAATTCAATGAACCCGTAGGACGTCCAAGAGCAACACGAAACATGCAACGAGAATGGTCAACTATGCACTGGCACGCCGGAGGCCTGAATAACAATATGTTTTTCTGACATCTCAGTCCAAGGAGACAAGAGCCATGTGGTATGTAAAACTATGGTTGCGTTGCCATGGGTTAATGAAGATTCGGCGACCAGCTGAAACCATCTCCGGGGTTGACTGTCAGAGTCTAAACGCATCTAGGACCTGAGATTCCCACACAGTGGGCGATAATGCGCAAGGCGTGTATGCTGATGGGCTCCAAGCCGCGCGCCTTTCGTTCAATACACGTTGTCCAGGAAGCTTTTGGCAGCTGTCAACAAAGAGCACTGGAAACTCTTGGTGCAGGCCTGCTTTACGAGGCGCTGCAGTGCAAATGACAGCAGTTCGCCCTGGGGCAGGTCCAGCGCCTCTGCTTAAGTCTGCCCAACACTGTTGTACCTTTAAAGGGATGTATATGGGCAACTTTAAGTGATTTATGAGGTTTTTAAGTTTAGGGTTTAGGTTGATGGTATAAATGCACAGAGCACAACCAACGTGTCTTGCTGGAGTCTGCCGTTCCAAAGCTTTGAGTTCCACGAAGGCATGGCCCTGTTGCCTGAGAAAGACAAATTCATTGCAGATGACAAACACTGAGGGCGCCAACCACAAGCGCAAAGGCAATGTTCACCAGTTCCTCTCCAGTCACATGCCGAACAGCAGTCCACTTGCAGGAGGCGCAGATGCGAAGCGCAGATGCGAAAGGCTGATTGCTGCGGCATGAGCAGCTTGATGGGCCGGTCTTCTGGGTACCAAGTCATGTGACAAAAGCGGGCACGAAAAAAAATCGGCTGAAAATGTCGATGGCGCCTGCTGGCAGGCCTCGCCGAGCAAGCGGGGCAGCACCGTGGAAGACAAAGCCGCACCTGCGACATTGAAGACCAGTGGGGGCTAGCCCGGAAACAAGGGCTAAGACCGAAGATCCAGTCTGCAACGGGGCGAGGACGACACTGGCATTATCAGTGCAGAGCATAGGAAGCTGGAGCAAGGGTCCATCCGGCTCGCTTCGTACCTGTTCCATCGGATCCGAAGTCCAGCAATGCCAGGGCATACAGAGATCCGGCAGCCTCGACTATGATAATTACTACAGATGCTGACGCCAACAACTCATCCAGAGAGCAACATCGACACATAACTCTGGGCATTGTTGTAACAGGGTTTGAAGAACACGCCTCCTCAACTTCGTATGCGAATCATGACATCGTGAAGCTGGCAAGGGCTCCGGCGGTGGATGACTCCATGTTGACGAGCTTCTGCCTCACCGAGACGCAGCTGCAAGACTGTCCAGAAGTAGTCTGAGCTGCTCATCCAAACCTCAAGGCCCCACCGATGCTCGAAAGTCGCTCCTGCGTGAAAAGTCAATTGGTTGCTGCATCGACATACGGCACTGCTCCACTTCGAGTGACAACTCTAGACCTGTCCTCATCGCGCAACGCGGAACGGGCGAAGGCGATCAGCAGCAACGACAGGTCGAAGTTGTTGAACTGTTCAAGTTGATTGAACCGAGTTGTCTGGAGACTTCTAGCAGAGATTAGCGAGGGCGGGCCTCTTTGATTTTGGCGTCGAACTGCCAGAACTTTAGGAGCCTCTCGAGCAACCTCGTGTCAGATGAATGCTGTTTCGAGCATTGCTCAAGGATGGACAGAATTATCTAAGCCCAGGACGGCGCATCGAAGTGCCGCAGCTTGCGAAGGTCACTCCTGTCACCACATTCCGAACTGAAAGCGCTGCTGATCATTCAAAGTGAAACAAGGCTCAAGAGGAGCATCCCTAACCCCTACACTCTCAGCCATGAACCCCACGACTTTGCACAAATCCGCGTCGGTCTGAACCCTGAAAACTTTGAACCCTATAGCACCACGGGACGCTTGTAGAATAACCGTTACAGTAACCCTTATAGATCCCTTAAAGGATCCCTAAACAACCCAACAAACAGTGCCAGCAGCGCAAGAGTTGCGCCAGAAATCGCGGCGGCAACTCAGCGAGCTCTTCTGAGCCTGCAGAGACTGTATAAAGCCCGTATTATGGGTTTAAAGGGCCCCTACCCCCATACCCCCTACCCCCCTAAGGGTTCTTATGAGGAGAAAAGAGCACATGGAGACCAAACACAGCGTAATAGGCTAGGTACGCGATGTAAATCATACCGTCTTATATCACAGCATAGCATAGTACATCATATCATGTCACATCATATTCTACTACAATATACTGCAGTATATCAGGGTAGGTTGTACCGTATTATATTAGATGAGACTGTATTACACTATACTGTATCTTAGACTATGCTAGAATATTTTAGTACAGTATAGAGTACGCTTAATCTAGTATCGCAGATCAGGGCATAGTACAGTATTGTAAAGTATAGTATGGTATAGAACAGGATGGCACAGTGTATCAGTAAAGTACAGAATAGTATATACTAGCGTGGTATAGTATATCAGTCAAGCGTAGTAGAGTATACTACATCATCAACGCATGATATAGGACACTACTGCACACTACAGTACTTAATAGTATAACTATCATAGTATACTACCGTAATAGTACAGTTCTTGCTGTCTTGCTGCATGTCCACTAGGCGCATCCATGGCGCAAGAGTCAGAGGTCCGAGGTCGGAGCAAAACCTGCGGCAGACGCTGTTGAGAAACGACCTGCCAAGGTCGGAAGGTCATCGTCTAATGTAGTATACTACGAGATACGATGATGGCTATACTATAATCTACCACAGTATGCTACAATAGTTATGCTATAAACAGAGTGAAACGTACCATATAAAACAGTTAGACTATAATGCACTGTGATGTGCATTGATCTTCTATAACAAGGTCAGAAGGCTCTCTTCGGCTGCACCGAGAATTGCAACCTCGCCTCTTTCGGAAGTCGACTCGGCACACCGCCCGGACAATGCGACAGAGATCCTGGCGGGCTGCAGATGCAAAGAGCGTGGACTTTGAAGGACCGCTGATTGCTGAATGCCACGGCAAGTCTAGGTGCTGCCGCCCCTCGCAGACATAGTCTTGATTCGGAAGCTTCAATCCTGGACGTCATAGCTGTTGACCTCCTGCTGCACTTTGGCTGCATATACCTTGCAGACAACAGCTCTCCCAGGCTTTATTTCTACTTCTCTCCATTTTCGGCAACCGTCTGGCAGTCTCGATGTCTATGAAGGCCGGAAGCCATCGTTTCACACGACTTGCTTCGTGGGTTTCTTAAGATTAGATATGCCGATCATCACAAACTCAGCTGTTCTTCGTGTTACATGCGGCCCCACCAGTTACAGTCACCATGTCATTCGTTGCACAGGTACTGGGCCCGTCACCCTCCAAGCTCCGCTTCCCTTCTCGCCGGAAGTGGAAAGCTTGTCAAGAAGGAACACCCTGGCAAGATGTCAAAGTCTCTGCAAGGAGGTTTCAACAGAGAAGCATGTCGGCAGCACAGCTCCTCCTTGCCAAGCTGTGGCACTGGTGTCTCAGAGACCGCGAGTCCCCGTAGGAAGGGCTGAAACCTTCGCCACCGCGCTCTCGGGAGGATGGCCAGCATTCCATCATGACGAAATGCGGCCCAGTGCTCGCACACATGTGATAGAGGGAGTCAAACCGTCGAAAGTACGGCCAATGTGTTCGGTTGTGTGTGTTGCTTGCATGTCAACGTGTAGTTTATGCTCTTGACTCCGCCGTGGGCGACGTCTCTCTCGGAAACCAGGAAGACAAGCAGCGGCTACATTATCTGGCAAGGGTCCGTCCCTTGCTCAAACCTGCATCAGGAACCGCAGACTCCCTGGCGACTTTTGCAACGATGTGCTTTGTCAAGAGCAGCAGCTCAGCTCATTGTTCGCCTGCAGGCTTCAAGCTGGTAAAAAACAACATTCTGCTGACGAGCTGTTCGTAATGAAGTTGGCATCAAGACATGTGCATGACGGGTTTGGCACCGATCTCCTCCTGTCATCCGGCCTGCGTCAGCTGTTTGCATGAAGGTTGTCCGCAATGTAGGACGCCACTACCTGCAACAGCACGGACTTGACCGCCCTAAAAAAGGCCTTGTTTCTTCAACACTCTGAAACAGAGAGACACGAGCCGGCCCAAAACCGACGCACGTGACGGATTTCAAGTAATTCTCAACATCTCGCATTGCTTCGTGCCGTAACTGCATGCATCGCACCCAGAATGACGAATCAAATTTACGAAATTGTGCTCCCTTCCTGTCTACCGCAATTTAGCCACATTCAAGCGGATTGAGAAGATGCAGGTTGCCTCGTGGTCGCGGGACAAGGGCTCTTGACCCTCTGGAAAGAACAAGGCCCTGTGCTTCACCGCCACTTCCTCAGATCTCACGAGTGTGACCAGGACCCTTTGAACCAGCGCACCCCCTGCCGTCAAGCTGCCTGGAAACACCCTAGGAGAGCAATTTCAGCAGAAACGTCCTGCGTCGGTCAAGCATGGGCCGCCTTATCTCTACCAGGCTCACTGTCTGCCGCCAAACAATGCCAAAGGCTCATAGACATCCGGTTGGACCAGTCTCTGCCTCATACCGCCACAACCAAAGCGACAAAGACAGCTTAACTAGTGTGTCAGATCGGGCGCTGCAGATACTTGTGCGCATCATCCTGCGACGGCTCCTCTTTGGGCATGGCCTGAGTCCCAATGCCACCACTCTATGCATGGTTGTGTATGTATATATATATATATATACAGACATACGTAAATACATTCAAGTAAGAAACGAGAAACTAAACCCCCGCAATGTCTGCACTTTTGCCCGGAGCATGTCGGAGTGGCGCGAGGCATATCTAGAATCTAGACCTGTGCCGAGTGATGCTTCCCGCCCTAGACCCTCAGCCCCAAACCCCTGAAGCCTAAACCCTAAACCCCCACCCCCGAACCCTAAACCCTAAATCCTAAGCCCCCAAACCCTAAACCCTGAACCCTTGAATTCCTCGCCGAAACCTGAGTTCCTGGCTTCCTGGACAGCTTGGAGCTCCTGCAGAGGCAAGCCCTACGCCGAAGCCCCAAAAACTCCACCAGAACACTGCTTAAAAGATCATGGGACTGCTTATAACCACAACTAGGGTACTTAGAAACATACTTACTAAGTCCCATGATCCTCCAAGTGCTCCCAAAGCTCTTAAAACATCAAAACCACTGGATTCAAAAAATTCTGAACCCTTCCAGACTTCGGTATTTTGCATGTCGTGGGGGCTCCTGAGCTTGGGGGTCCCTGTTTTTTTTTGGGGAGGGGGGGTCATTATAATGGGGATCCTCTTACTCAAGATCTGTGTTCGGGATATGTCTCCTGCAGGAGGCTCTGCAGCTGCTGCTGGAGGTTTTCCTCTTCTGCCTGGCAGCGGCTTCTTGCAACTGACAAACTTCAGAATGCTTGTTTTGGACTGATTCGGCGACTCATGTGCCGTGTTTGGAATCTCGCCCACAGGTTGGTAGCTTGGTGCTCGGGCGAGCAACTGGGTCTCAGATGGTATGCCGCCAGCATGAATACCGAATCTCCCACGATGGGACAATGCACGCTCCCTGGACAACAGACGAGCTCCGTTTACAAAATCAACCGAGTGCAACCACTGTCCATGCCACCCGCATACCGACCTACAGTTCGTCGAGTCTACCTGTGTTTTCATGCCACAGGTGGTCGGATGATATGGCAAAGCTGTGAGACACAATCCAACCCACGGTATCATATGCTCTCCATGGTGCCAAGGTCCTCCACTGCTCAGGGGCACTAAATAGGCCTTAAGCTTCACCGATACTATTGACCAGCTGCCTAAAGGACAAAAAGCTTGCAAGAATAGTTGTGATTGAACCAAATGTGCTGCTAGGGAGCCGTGTACAGAAGCCATCAAACCTGTGCGACTCAAATATACCAGGATCAAGCACTGATCAAACGAGCCAGGAACACTCGCAGCATTTTCACTTCAGCCTTGCTTCCAGACTTCGTGAACCCACAAGACGCAGATCGAATTCAGCAGGCAGCACGCTCCGATGCAGCACCGAGCCTCCTGAGGCAAGATGTCATCGCCAGCACCTAACGGAACGCGGCACTGCAAAACCACCGGCATAATAGGACAAGACTGGGCTTCAGTGAGCCTGGAGTCTTTTGTTTAATGCCGTCGCCGCGCAGTCCGACAACATTCTGCTGGACGTTGGCTGAGGACAGGCATCTATATGCAGCGGTTTGCTGCCAACTGGCAGGCCGGGCTTCACGTTTCAAAGCCTAGCGGTCACGGCTTCCCGAAGTTTAACAGTTGTCACTCTGCCGACCAGGCTGTAGCGCATCCTCTTCACAGCCGCCCACCTCTCTATCCATACACCAACTGAAGGTTCAGCAAGGCTCGAATCCCACAGAGGAGCATCGCCAGCAAGAAGTCCCACGCAAGGAGTCTCTTGACTGCAAACTTCGGGAACCTGTATGTACACTGCAGAACAGCAGGTTCGTGAGAGACCGCGGTGCCGGACTGTCATAAAATATTATATAACATCATACCATAGAGTGTAAAGTCATGTCCTAAAACATCATATAGTATCATGCAATGTCACATAATATCATGAAACATCACATAAGACCATATAGTATTATGTAGTATCATACAATATCATATCTTGATCTGGAACGTGCTGCCTGCGACGTCCGAGCTCAGCTCTCCTCACTTGAGGCATCGCTCGGGTCATCATTGTGGCGAGCCTGGCGCAAGAGCAGGAGGGCCGCATGTGTCGGAGTTTGGGTGTAGGTATTTTTGGTTGGATTCAAGGTTTAGGGTTTAGGGTTTAGGATTTCGGGTTTAGGGTTTGGGGTTTGGGGAGACTCTGGAGCCTTCTCCTTCTTGTCGGCCTTCTCCTCACAGCCACTGCTGGAAACTGCCCGCAAAGTGGAAATGAAGCTTCTCTGGTGTTGTTCCGCCCCCATCTCTCCTTCTCCTGCAGCTTCTGCTGCTTTGAGGAGTAGAGGCCCCCGGTGGCACCTGACTTCAGAGGACGCGAAGGGGTAGAATCGTGGGGCTTATAGGAGTTAGGATTATGGAAACCCTTGGGATATAGACCTGCTCAATAAGGTCTCTTTCAAGAGAGCCAGCAGTAGGGTAAAAGTGCCCCCTTTATAGATAGGAACCCTTAAAGATCCCTTAAAGGAAGCCTTATAAAGATCCCTCAAAAGAGCCCTTATGAATAGGAGCCCCTTAAAGATCCCTTCTCCCTCTGACCGCCCTCAGCTGTGTCCAGGAGCTGCACAGTAGCAGGACCACGGGGTTGCAGCGGCAGACCCAGCCTCCAGTCGCCGGGACTCGACTTCTGCACATACGTGTATATAATATAATATAATATAATATAATATAATATAATATAATATATATATATATATATATATATATATATATATGTATATATATATATGTATATGTATAATATATATATATATATATATATATATTATATATATGTATGTATATATATATATATATATATATATATATGTATATATATATATATATATATACCTACATATATATATATATATATATATATATATGTGTGTGTGTATATATATATATATGTATATATATATATATATGCTATAGTGGTAACACATATGATATAGCACAATAGCACAATATGATAAGTAGAATGGAACACAAAAACACACACCGCGTCAAGCTCCTCGAACCAAAAGAAATTTGAAACAAACTACCGGAGAATACCGGAGAATGCCGGGGAGCCCGGCCTCCGGCGGCCACGCCAACTCTGGGACCTGCTGTTGCATCACACGCTTGAGCGGGCTTGCACAACCGGGGTGTGGGGCTTTAGGTTTCGGGTTTGAGGTTTAGGGTTTCGGGTTTAGGGTTTCGGGTTTAGGGTTGAGGGTTTGGGTCACGTAAAAGCCTTGTCACCACCATCCCTCTGCCACTGAAGTTTATGCTAGTGCATAGTGCATGGATTACTGTCGAGCGTTCTTGCTGTTTTCGGGGTCTTGGCGTTTTTTATGTGTTCGGGGTCTTGGGGTCTTTGGGGGGGCTGATAATGTCCATTTTGCCACCATCACCATGATCATCGTCATCATTGTCATCATCATCGTCATCCTCGTCATCATCACGGCATGGTCCTCGTTTACGTTCCGGTACTCACATCAGCCCCACATGAGGTTAGAGCCTGAGGGTCTCTTTTGAATCTAATTCGTGTGTAGCAGCGGCCAGGCTCGGCTTTTGTGGCTGAAGAAGCATCACGTGTACTGACACATGTTCGGAGTGCTAGAAGCTAGCAGCTTTTAAATTTACATCCAGAGCTCCAGTGCAGCTATGCCTTTCGGTGCTGGGGTATGCACTCCCACCAGCTGAGCACGTGTGCAAAGAAATCTGCAGACTCCTTCAGGCATCTTCCGAATAAGACCCTCAACAAAACAATAACTGCACAGTGCCCCCGCCCAACAAAAAAGACCCAAGACATAAAATTCGCCCCCCGGCGAAAACAGCTCAGTTCTAAGCCTACAAACCGCCAAAGCCTGTAAATACCGAGGAATTCCTGACCTGTAACGTCCGATGTGGCCTGCATTAATTTTTCGGTTGCCCCAAATCGTGCTGAAACCACACGTTTCCTAGCCTTGAAGAATAACGTAGCACTTTCGTAATACCCCAAACAAGCTTGAAATGTGCTTAAAATTGTGGTGGGGATGCTACTTCACCACAAAATCCCCGACAAAAATCCATGCGGCGGGAAGTTTATGCCCACACATACTTCATGCACGAACCCGAGACCGAGTCGATGACCCACGCTGCTCCCTACACGCACACATAAGGGCAGACGGTCTTGCGGCCTCGAGGAACCCAGACGAGCCCGAAGATAAAGCATCTACATTCAGCAGGCAAGAAGGAAGAAGAAAGGGGCTTGCAGAGTATGCAGAGTGCAAGACGTGCACCTTGTGCACCACCTCATAGAAGTCCAAGTCGTACTTGAGCATAACTCTGAAAAACTCCTCACCAAGAAACTGCCAGAGCACACGCCCACACCTCGAAGCATGAAGAGCATGCGGAATGTCCAGCCGCGGCGGCCGCCGCGGCACTTGCACTTCGAGCAGGATATTAATAGTATTGCTACTATTGTCATTGTTATTACTGTTGTTATTACTGTCATCACTTTTATTGTTGTTATTATTATCACTACTGATCTGATCCTTCTTATTGACCGCGATCCTCAAGAACCAAAGGATTTAGCAGGACTCCGCCTTGCGCGCAGCACGGTAGAGGATCTTGCCCGGTCCCACGCCCTTCCGCCGCGTGTCGCCTGGGAATGTGGCAGATTTGCTGCTACCTGGAGGTTCAGGGGTAGTAAAACGTAGGGTTGTTTTTTCTTGATATGGGTTATAAGTATAAATACCCTACTTATAGCCCTACTTATAACTTGCCATGAACCTCCAGGTAGGGCGTTAGCAGGGTGGTCATGCTGCGAACAAGCTCTTGGCGCGTTGCACCGGTTAACAAACATCTGTGACAGGAAGGATTCGAAGTAAAACAGTGACATGTTGTTGCAAGTTTACCCCCCCCCCCCACTCTGTTCCCGAGCTAGCGATATCCAGCTCAAGTTGCCGGTGTCTTGAGCCGGCGAGACGGAAGGACGAGCGAGCCAACTGTACTCTGAGCCCGAGGGGCACAAGTACACCAGCTCCCCATAGTCCAGCACGCGCGGTCGAGTGACCCAGCGCCTTTCACGGAACCAAGACTTTGCACCACCTTTTGATTACAGCATGTCGTCTCAAGTGCACGCCGAAACCTCCACTCGGATCCGGATCTTGCAAACACTCTGCTGGTCGGGTTGTGCTGCAGTCAACGACCATGTAATATAGGACCTAAATAATTCGGAATTCTATTTTGGAGGTTCTGTGCTTTAATTTTTGTGGAATGGGCCCCAAAACCCTATTCTAATTATTTAAGGCCCCAATATTAGTCGACAAGAAGCTCTCGTGAAACGGCACGAGCCTCGCGTGCTCGATCATCGCCTGACCTCTGCGCTGGAGCCAGGAGCCCTGCCACATGACGCGAATCGAGATCCCAGAGGCGTGACATAAGGGTTCTTTTCTTGCAGAAGTATCGTGCCGAGTATCTGAGATGCAGGTCTGCTAGTTGTACCGGCGCCTCCGCACTTTTGCTTCTTTGTAACTGGATACGTACCGACAGCACAGATGGATAATGTAGGGGCCTTAATTTTCACAATAGGGTTTTGAGATCCATTGTACTATAATGACAATAAGGAACCCCAAAATAGTACTGGTAATTATATGTAATTATTTAGGCGCTTATAGTAGGCACTTGTGCCGGAGCGCCTTCTTCGGCTTGCTCCTCAGTTCAGCTGGGTGATCCAACAAATCGACACGGATGAGTCTACGCTGTCTGCTGCAGCAGTGCTTTGCCGATGTGCAGAGACACATCACTGAGCGCATGGCCCGTGCTGACCCCTGCGCGAGTCCTGGCATCTATTCAATATCTCCGGATGTACGAGGCAAGTGAATGCACTTTGACTTTGTTCGAACAGAAGCTATGAGCATGTCCTTGAAGCTCACATTTGCCGACATGGACTTGAGAGTGGACGTGTTCAGCCTCGGCATGATCTGCGTCAACATCGGAAGACTCCCGAAAAAAGATTGTCACGTCATCGTCCTTTAAGTGCACACAGATTCAGATGTCAATGTGGCGACACAACTCCCACTATCTCCCACTACATGGAGGATCATGGGCGAATCATGGGCCTTCCTTGGGGATACAAATAGCTATAAGTAGAATTACTCTAATAATGAGCTTACTGACTAAGTCCCGTGATCCTTTCAGTACTTTCTGGTGGCAAGACATCGGAACTGTAGGCACGTGGCTCTTGGCTGGCTTGGCTGGGCATGTGCGCCATTTCTGCCTTCGCAAAACTTCAGCATAGCAGTCACTCGTGGCACACGGCTGACAGCAGACCGCGCGTGTCAATAACAGAAGGTCTTTTTGACACGGTAACCTGTCAGAGACTGAAGAAAGCCTGCCTCGGCCTCCTCTTCCTCTCCTGTCATGTGCAACAATGGCAGCTGGGTGTGCCTATGGCCAGATTGGTGAAAGCTCTCTGTTTCGGAAAAATCTTCCGAACAATCGTCATTGACATGATAGTCAGGTAGGATCAGAATAAACGGATCATACGCCATAACCATCGAAGTACAGCATGACTTCCTGGCAAGGGAGGGCAGCACCTTTGGATGTTTTTGGGAGCACATGTGCCCTGCGGCCATCGAGTTTGGTCAGTTCTGGCCATGCATTCCCTGAAAAACGGAAGCGTCGACGCGCCTTCGACGCGCAGCTCGGCATCCGGGTCCTGGCGATCGGCGAAATGCAATCGGAAGAAGCTCCAAGAACCCTCAATAGTTAGAACTACTATTACTACCATACTACTACCATATTACGACCATATTACTATTTTGAAGTCATTCGCTAGACCGGCCGCTGCTTGCGCTGATGTTGTATGCGTCCTCATCGTCCGCCTCCTCGATGCGCTCGCGCCTGCAGAGTGCCCAAGCAAACCTGCATTGTGGGCTGACAGCTGTTGTGCCTCATAGGCACGCGGAGACGTTGGAGCTCGGCTTGTAAGACCTTCAATGGGCCGTGAGGGCAACACAGGGAACTACATTACGAGAGCTGTGACGAGAGTGCTAGAGTCTGCTAGAGGTTGAGGCTGATCCGGCTGCAATTTTGACCTCCTGAGCACAACTCTCCCGTTGAAAGGCTGGAGTTCCCATTGCCACAAGCACGTCTGCTTCCCGTGTTCGGGCTTCGTCATGCAACTCAAGATGAACCTAACATGGCTTCCATCTAGAATTAAAAGCGGACACTGACCGCAAGCCAAGCTTGAAGTGTATCAGATATGCTGGCAAGCGGCAGAAAGGAGCTCCGCGATTTGCTCGCTGGCCTGGAGCTTCCCCTGAGGTGAGGCTGTAAATCTCAGGAAAGATATCTTTGCAGACGCTGCCACTGCACACACAATCCCACGGAGCCCATGCCCCGCATTTCAGGAATGCCACTTAGTTGGGAACCCTTTCCGCATTGAAGCTGCATTACTTCGTAATTCCAGGATATGGGGCTCTGTGGGATCATCTCAGCCGCGGACTTCCAAGAGCCTGGCCGCCTGTAGCACCTTCTCCACGGTGACCTCCTTGTCGTCGTCTCCATCAAAGGCGCGGAATGCGTACCAGATTACCTGAGTCTCCCCAAAGCACAACAAAATTCTAGAAACCCTAAACTTTCGAAATGCTACAACCTTAAACCCTAAACCCCTAAACCCTAAACCCTAAACTCTAGGAACCCTAAACTTTCGAAATGCTAAAACCCTAAACCCTAAACCCCTAAACCCTAAACTCTAGGAACCCTAAACTTTCGAAATGCTAAAACCTTAAACCCTAAACCCCTAAACCCTAAACCCTAGGAACCCTAAACTTTCGAAATGCTAAAACCCTAAACCCTAAACCCCTAAACCCTAAACCCTAAACTCTAGGAACCCTAAACTTTCGAAATGCTAAAACCCTAAACCCTAAACCCCTAAACCCTAAACCCTAAACTCTAGGAACCCTAAACTTTCGAAATGCTAAAACCCTAAACCCTAAACCCCCAAACCCAAAACCCTAAACTCTAGGAACCCTAAACTTTCGAAATGCTAAAACCCTAAACCCTAAACCCCTAAACCCTAAACTCTAGGAACCCTAAACTTTCGAAATGCTAAAACCCTTAACCCTAAACCCTAAACCCTAAACCCTAAATTCTAGGAACCCTAAACTTTCGAAATGCTAAAACCCTAAACCCAAAACCCCTAAACCCTAAACTCTAGGAACCCTAAACTTTCGAAATGCTAAAACCCTAAACCCTAAACCCCCAAAGCCAAAACCCTAAACTCTAGGAACCCTAAACTTTCGAACTGCTAAAACCCTAAACCCTAAACCCAGATCCGGGGCACCTCTTGCTCGCGCGACTTCGCCGGAGGCATGGTACAAGCCTGGGGGCTCGGAGCTCGCTGCAACTTTGAGAACCCAGAACTGGTCCATGGTTGGGACAGTATGAAACATGATAATTTCCACTCCTTCTTGGGCTGAAGTACCCATGAACATGAAAAATGTTACCCAACTATGTCAAAGAGAAGGATGGAATGACTAGAATCGCCAGTGTCCGTCGACAGTTCTCAGGCAGCTGCCGCAAACTCTTTGGAGTCCAAAAACCTCGGGACTGATGATGCCAGGTCATGATCCCAGCAAAAACCCCAGCACACCATCACAACAAGACAGAGAGACAGAGAGAGAGAGAGAGAGAGAGAGAGAGAGAGATGAGAGAGAGAGAGAGTCAGAGAGAGAGAGAGAGAGAGAGAGAGAGAGGGAGGGAGGAGAGAGACCGAGCCTGCTAGCTTCTACACTACTCTCCTCCCTCTACTCTTCCCACTCGTTTCTTTTTACCAGGTCTCTCTTGCAAAAACCCAAGCTTTTTCAGAAAAACCGACTCTTTCCCAGTCGTTTCCGCTTGGGGAGGCGGCCCCGAGCCATCGCGGTCCGCGGCCTCAAAGAGCTTCTCGGGATCCTTCAAAGAGAGCTCGGCCGACCGAGGCTTCCCAGAGACTCCAAAACCCCTTAAGGAATATACCTTAAATCATATAATAGGATCCCTTATATGATTTAAGGTACATTCCTTAATTAAGGGGTTTTGGAGGCTCTGGGTTCAGAGGAAGCTTCGGAGTCTACTCGGGATCCTCCAAGGGCCTCAATAATTAGAACAGGGCTTTGGGACAATACGGCTGATGACAAAAATCCTGCATGACCCATAATAAGGAATATACCATACTTCCCATAGTTTAGGGTCCTTAAGGTAATGCAGGATTTATATCATCAACAGTCTTCTACTACTTGGAGCTTCAGAGGTAGTTATAAGTAGGGTTAGAAGTCCCCTCATATGGGTTGTAAGTATGGTTACATTACTTAAAAGTACCCACGAGTCTAAGAGCCCTAAAGAGAGCAGATAGTCGTAGGGACCCTTAGGGGGGGCAGGGGGGGAGGGGGGTAGGGGGCCTTAACACCCATAAAAAAGGACTTAACAAGGCCTAAAGAATCCCTCTGCCCTAAACCCTAAACCCTACACGGTGATCCAAGCAAAGCATGGGTTTAGTTGCTCTGGTACATCTGAAGCATTCTTCGGCCCCAGGCTTGTCAACATGACACACCTACACTTATAATATACTGTAATGTTCCATAATGTACTATGATGTACTATAATGTACTATGATGTACTATAATGTACTATAATGTACTATAATATACTAGAATAAACTACAATAAACTTATTGCCTGGCCTCACCCAGGCGTTCCATCAAGTCTGGGAAAAGGCGCAGTCCCTGTCACGGCACGATTCCCAGCCCACGGCAACATCAGGCAAAGGAGACGGCTCGCGTGCTGCTGAATCATCATATCATACCAGATCCTTAAATGCACGGAGGACAGATTTCGGTCGCTGTGGAAGTATCCAGATCGGGGCGGCCTCGAGAAACTCTGCCGGGCTCAGCAAGCAGTCTCGGTCCCTGTCCAGAGCTCGAAAGACGCTCTGAGCCTGCACAGAACAGAGCTCCAGCTCCAGCTCTAATACGTTTTTGTATATGTGTATCTATATAGTATGGCCTATTGTAGTAAATTAGAATCAAGTCCATTATAGTATACTGTATGGTGCGGTGTCTTCCTGTCCCCGGCGCTACTTCTGCTCTCGAGGCGTTCTTCGATGACCGGGATGCGAGCCTTCTAAGGGTCGCCATGCTACTAAAGAATAGTCAAACGATGATAAACTGAAGCAAAAAGGGTTTAAGGTATAGGGCGACCAGAGCCGTACCAGAGAGCGGACACAACAGAAGTCACTGAAGCAAAGCCGCTGATCCCTGCCCACCACCGCCCAACCGCTCAACATCAGCACCTGCTGCATGTGGGGGCCGGTTTCTGGCATCTGCTCGGCAATGACGCGGATGACCAACTTCTTGAACTGGGTCTCCTGGATTAAGGGCTGTTGCAAGCCCTTTCAAAGCTGCCTCGGAACGCCTTGCCGCCCTGTGGGACCATCACTGACTTTGACAACCGACATGTCCTTGAGGTAGTTCAACCCGTTCGCAAAAAGCCGGTGAACCTATAGCAAATTACCAAGGGCCATGAGACGACTTGTGCAAAGCTGGACACAAGGGACTCCTGAACCCACCAAGGCCGCCACCCGAACGTATGGCACCGGCTCCCGGCCGAGCTTCAACCAAGGGTGACGCAGAAGATCCTTCGGAAGGAACGGGCGGTGTAGGGTTTCATTTTGTATACACTCTTTTCCTTTTGCATTTAGGGTTTAGGGTTTGGGCTTAGGGGCTTGTGAAACAGAAGTCTGGGGAAGCTTCGTGGGCTCGATCCGGGCGGTGGGCAGTTGAAAAAAAGCGAGAACCAAGCTACTTGGCACGGTTGATGATATAGAGCCTGCATTACCCATAATAAGGAACATGCCATAACTCCCATCGTCTAGGTAATTAAGGTAATGCAGGATTTATGTCATCAGCCGTAGTGCATAGCCACAGTAATGTCTAGGCATCAAACATGCCATGCTGCAACAAACTCTCTCTTTCTGAAGCAAGCCCTACAACCTAGCAGAGCTTCCTGAGTCTTCATAGTCCAGGTCATTCACGGGGCCCCGAACTAAGTCCCCGGCAGCAGCACTGGGACGCAGCGAGGGTGTCACGCGCAACATGCAGCGGACAGCCTCTGTCCAAGGGTTCTCATGCTACAGCAACCTATGCAGTCGGTATCTGCAAGTTGTTTTGCCGGGCTTTTACTACACATGCGTTTAGCTCAGATCTGAGGCCGTAGCATCCAGGCACTTTGAGGAGCGGTTCGCCCAGTCCTGGCGCAAATCTCTGCGAAGATGCCAGGATCTTGCAAAATGAGGCTAAGGGCCAGGCCGACTTGAGAAACTTGATGGGCTCCTCCTGCATAAAGTTGAGGAGATCCTGTCCAGGGAAGGCCCTACTTCGACCGAAACCCGCAAACTAGAAGCGACAAAGTTGGAACGTCATCATCCTGGTGCCCTTAAGGTAAAGAAGAGGGGATTCTAGCACTGATCATCCCAAAACCATGTTCCAACTTTCCGAGGTTCGCTGTACTTGAACCCCAAAGCTGGTCCCAGGAGCCTAGACCCGAAATACCATAAGGGGCCTTAATAACTAGAATAGGGTTTTGGAGCCCCTTTTATACTATAATTATAACGAACCCCCAAAATATTATAGGTAAGTATAAAGGCCCCTATAGTACCACACTGAACTTCCCCCCTCCTCTTTCTTCTCTCTGCGCTTGGTACTCAGGTTCGGCAGGAACGGAGCGACCTGGGAGGCCGCAAAACGCGAGCTGAGGACCCTACTTGGAGGTTCAGGGGTAGTTATAAGGGCTCCTTTAAGGGTCCCTTTAAAGGGATCTATAGGGATTCTACAAGGGTATAGGGTTTGGGGTTCAGGGGTAGTTATGAGTAGGGTTATAAGTCGGGTAACTATACTTAGAACCCATATTAGGGGACTTACAACCCTACTTATAACTACCCCTGAACCTCCAAGCAGGATTTAGATGACGCCACGCCCGGCTGGGTTCAAGCGTTTAGGTTCTGATAGAGCTTCATTGCCTTTAGGGCTTGCATGGGCTTCCACAAGTTTGGGCTTTGGGGTTTAAGGCTTAGGGCTTAGGGTTTAGATTGTCACCTTCCATGCCTTCGCAAATTCCCTCTCAGGACTGTGCTCCGGTCAGCAGGCGGTAGGCCAGTGCCCCGACTGCCCAGACGTCGGCCTACTGTTGATGGACAAAATCCTGCATGACCCTAAGGACTCTAAACTATGGGAACTATGGTATATTCCTTATGATGGGTAATGCAGGATGTTGTCCATCAACAGTATCACATAAGGCCAAAGGTTCTCAGAGGTATAGCGAACTGCCTTCGCGTCGGGACTCTCATGCACCCGAAGTGCCTAATATAGGAGCCTTACTACTTTAAATATGTGTTTTTAGGGCCCATTATAGTATAGTTTTCATAAGGAACCCCCAAAATAGCACAGGTAATTACCAAGGCCCTAAACTATCTACGAGCAAGGCTTGCGTGGACCGGCCATAGGCGTGGTGGTGACGAGCACATGGGCCTTATCAGCACCTGGAGGATATCGTCCCAGCAGCTGCCCATCGATCCTGGGTTTAGGGTTCAAGGATTACTTGATTGTGCTCACTTGGAGGATCATGGGACTTAGTAAGTACGGTTATAAGTACCCTAATTGGGGTTAAAAGCAGTTATAAGCATAGTAACCCTAATAACAGCCTTAGCTAGTTACTAAGTCCCATGGTCCTTTAAGCAAGGAGCCAGCCCCAGAGAACTGCTCAGACGTGATTCATTCTGAACCCATTGGAGCATCCAAATTCGCCTTATGCAAAAGCTTGGCCTTTGCCGTGATGTGATGTTGCACTGATTCTGCGAGCAGACTAAAGGGGCTCAGACAGCTTCTCAGGGCTTCCATGAGTCAATGAACGGCTGAACAACTCGTGACAAGTCGCAGGTGCAGATCTGCGGAGCGGGGCGCAGAACTGCTGGAAGTTCGTGCCCTGGATGCGGCAACCAGCAGGAGCTCTGATCGTTGTCTTGCTATACTGAACTGCTCGCATTGGGACGCAGACCCGAACTCGTCCAGCACCGAGATGCGCGGGGAAGCCTCCATCCAGCGAAGTGCAAAGGACCACAGCTCACTCGCTTCGCATTTCCAGTCGGAGTACTGAGAAATGCTCGCGATTGGCCCATGCGATTGCAAGATGGCTCAAGCCTGTGCCGCAGAATCTTCAATCTCGTGGGCAGGTCCTCTGATCAGACACTGGCTTTCAGCTTGCGAAAAGGCTTGCCAATTGCTTATTCACTGGATCCTCAAGCTTGAACAGATGTCACAGGCCAGACGGACTCTATCAACTGATATTTTGCAGGAAGGTCCTGCGTCATGGAGGCTGCGGATGTTGTTCAGGTAGACTTCTTTGGACTTGGAGGGAATGCACAGAAGCCACTGCGAAGGAGTCCACTGTTCAAGCAAGAGCTACGAAGCCTCAGGCTCCAACCAGCATGGATTCCATGGCAGTGTATGGGAGGCCTCATCGACGCAGCAGCTCAAAGATGGGCTCAGGGGGCCGCTGGGCCACTGCCTGTCATCGCAGCGACGTCGCGATCCTCACTTCTGAGTCAAAACAGCGCTTCGAATTAGCTTGGAGACTCCAAGGTGTGACCAGAAGTCCTTCTTCACTAGATCTTTCTGCAAGAAGATGCCCAGTGGAGGCAGCAAGGCCTTGCTAGCGGCTACAGTTTCCCAGGGAAGGTTGAAAGGACATGGCAGGGTTTCCCCGGGCAGCAGGCATATGCGAGGCCGAAGCCAATCACCTTCAGCTGGGGAATCCTGAGCAAGAGGTGTTGGTTTCCCTGGGAGCCAGGCCAAGCCCTAATTGAGCTTTTTCGACAAGCATTTGAGGACCGCACTTCGACGAATGGCTTTTCGACGACCTCGCTCTAACGGGGCGGAGGTCCAGGCACACAATACCCGAAAGAATGTCAACGTTGACAGAATCCTTTCCTCCCCATACACCATCAAAGAAATGAATGCTCTCTTCCACTAGCGCTGGAGTTGTGACGGCTGACATACATTTGAAGCAAGATTATTTCACCTACCCCGCAAGCAGGATACAAGTCATCCGTACCACTGAATCTTGGACCGAAAAAACTCCTGAAGCTCTCGGTGCATAGTCTCACTAGGCTTGCTGCGGCTGCATCACCCTGACCTTGTCCGGCGTAATCATCGCGTGCACGCATCCTCTCAAAAAGGCTACTCACACAGCACCTGCGGCACGACGGCCTGGAAACCAGCGCAAAAATGCAAAAGGTGTCATGCAGTCCTCTGGCATGCCCATGTGCAAGGGCAGACAGAATCTGTCGCATCATCTCCGCAACCTGGGCAAGGTAGAGGAAACCAACCTGGCAATCTCCTCACCTGGTTCTTTCTGCAAGCTTGCCTGCATGCATATGTCTGCCTGATTCTGTCTGTCAAAGGGTCCTCGGTTCTGAGCTTCGCACAATGCGCTCACTTTTCCTTGAGTCTGCACCAGTCCTCAGGATGTTGCTGCCGACAGCCCTGTGGACTTGGTCGCCATCTCGTGTCTTGGCAGAACAGCTCGGCCACCCACGTCTCATCAAGACTCCAGGGTCTCAGCGATCCAAAGCTTGAAGCTCCGTCAGAACAGAACGAACAGAACAGAATCTTGCGTAATTCTGCGCCTACACTGACTTGGTCCAATTGCCATGCAATTCCGTGAGTCGGCACGAAAGACGACATTCAGTCAAGTACCCATGTGCTCCTTTCAGTCTGACTTGTGAGCTGGCAGCGTTGTGCAAATGCGAATTGGGATCCGACTCGCCAGTCTCGCCAGTGAAGAGCCTCTCCTTCGAAGGCTTCTCACCTTGGCGGGCTTCTTGCGAAGCATTCGCACCATAGACGCGCGGACAGACACGACGGACGTAGCCAAACTCGCAGGTAGCCGGGCCTTCCCGTCCTTATCCCGGCCACCGTTTCTTGAATCTGGGACCATCAGTGGCCGTAGTAGGAGACCCGGGTCTCAAGCAGATCACCAGTCGCTCGTCGTCCTCCTCGAAGCATTCGATGACCTGCAGAACTTAGGGGGCTCCTTTCACCCAGTTTAGGGTCTAGGGTTTAGGGTTTAAACCCTGAACCCTAAACCCGGCCCAGAATCTCGCACACCCTCTTGCCTTGCAGAGGTGAGGATGAGAGATCCGACAAAGGACCCTCATGTGCGCCTCCAGAGCCGATCCCTGGCAGCACAGGCAGCTCGAACGAAAGCGTGAGGAGTGTCGTCACTTCATCCGGCTTCTTCCAGACAGCACGTCATTCATCATATTGTATTCGTGACTGGGGACAATGGCGAACCGGTCCTCCAGGCTTGAGAAGCTCTTCTGGACGGCGAGGCAGGAGTATCTCCTCGGCATCTGTCTGTTCCCATACCTTCCCGGCGCCATGTGGTGGGTTCTATCGCTAAGCAATGCCTCTCACGTGAGTCTGTGCAAATCAACTGCTCCGAGTCTGAGGCAGGCCCGTCTGAATGCCTTTGACATTGAAGGAACCTGGGCATACGAGTACACCGAACTGGCTTTAGGCTTCGCTGCTCAAGGTATCACTGTGTTTCCTTGCAGTCGACTTTCGCTGACCCCACCATACTTACCTCATCTGAGCTCATTAGGATGCTGCATGCTCCACACTCTTCGAGAATGCGACTCTGGCCGCTGCATTGGCTAGATTCATACATGGGGTTACATAGCTACATGCGGTCTAGAGACGTAAGAAGCGCTGTGGCTTTATCGCGACATGCGCACGACCTTGTGTGCTGCACCTGCTGTGACACATGTTCGTGCCCACGGTTTCTGCGGCACGAAACGAAACTCGACATCTTGAAGCACATGTAGGAAATACCACGAAACCAACAAGCGTCAACCACCTATTCCTACCACTGCATGCCAATAAAGACACCCCAGCAGCTATTCAGCACCGGTGCCGCCGCATGAAGTTCTTGATTACGCGAGGTTCAATAAAAGGCTAACGTAAAGCTCTTTTGACTCTATTCCACTGCTTGATTGGTCGCGCAACTGCTGTCAAGATGCGCAAACCTTTCGTGTGGACCTGGCATCAGCGAAGAAGTTGCTGTGACATGCCTGGATCATGCTCAGCTGGTAACCACATGGCAGACCTGGGGCATCCTAGGGCCTGGAGGAATTTCAAGCTCTCTATCCTCTTCGCAGAGCATTCCGTAAAGCCGCAAGCTAGGCGTGGCTAAGCGTTCCAGGGCGGCCCAGGTGAAGTCGTCCTTCTCATCTTCACCATCCAGCTGGAGGTATGTCTTGTCAAAGGCCTGCCAACAACAGCTTTGGCCACTTTGTGGGAGGCTCTGGCGTGTGGAAGGCGGAAGATGTCTTTTCTGAGCAAAAGGATGCAGGAGGATGGCAGTCTGCACACAGACGCAGGCAGCATCGGAGACCGCAGCAGGCTTGGTATCCAAAGCCTGCACTAGCAGTGGCAGACGACTACCTGGTGTGTGCACCGCAAGCTGGCGAGTGATGGATGAGGTCGGTGGTAATGGTGCTACATCTTGCGATGTGGCCCCAGCTCACCCATGCTCACCCCCTGTTCAGAACATCCAGGGCGTTCACACCCGCGGAATGCTAGCATGGATTTACAGGAGGCTGGTCTCAGAACGAATCGCCAAAATGATGGCCATTTGTCGGAAATACAAAACAGAGGCAACACACACGCCCACACTACTCCAGCGATCCAGACCCAGCACCCCGAGGTTACAGTAACGCACGTAACTGCCAAAACTTGAGCATGCGCTTTGAGCGCGTAGACTATGCACATCATCTGGGCTTGTGGAAAAGGCGACGACCAACTGCAGCATCAAGGGTGCGCCTAGAAAGCACAAGCAATGGGAGCTGGATGGTGACGCCTACATGCTCAATGATTCGGCTGAATAACAGTTGCGCTCGCACGGTCGATGCAAACAGAGCCCAGACGTAGGGATTTTACCACCCTTGCTTGCCCTGTACTGCATGAAAGCGAAGTCAGTCTCATCATGCAACCGTGTAGATACAAGAAGAATAGCTCCAGCGAAGTCTGCAACCTATGCCCCTGTGCATGGTAAACGCAGAACAAGCTACAAACTGTCCGCTGCCTGTGCAATGATGAGACTTTAGAGGGAGCTCACATGCGCTGTCTCTGCGGTGTGTTTGAAACTGAGTCATGTCATAGTGGTCATAGCGGTCATAACGGGATGGACCTACCTTCGTAGTCATCCGGCAACGTGGTCACAGCCACGTTGCTCTCGTTTGCACCGATAACGTTGGAAATCTGTTCCGTTGCCGCACCCTTGGCATAGCTTTCCGGCTGGATTTTCATCTCAGGCTCTGCCGTGCCACCGGGTCCCACAAGCGAGAGACAGACCGGGAGGAAAACCAGCCCATGGCTACCCCCAGCAACGACGATGCCCACGAACATCTTGAAGAAGACTCGAAATGCTTGGCTTGAGGAGAAAGCCAAAGGGATCATGGCCACGAACGTCGTGCTAATGCCGAGAAAGATAGCTGGGCCTCGGCTCGGCTCGCACTGCGTTGCACGGCCAGGGAGATCTGCTAGCTGTGCACGTGATGCAGGTCTCCGTCTATGATATGTGATCTAGGATGGCGAATCTGCCGAGGCTGATTTCATGATGCAAGGAACAGCGCCCCATGAAAAATGTCACTGACATGCCGCAAGCACAACAAGCGAAAACTCAACAAGCTGCAAAAAAAAAGTGTGGCATGCAGCCATTACCAAGAACATAGACAGGTAAATATTCGAAACTGTCCAAAGACCCTCTGTATTCTCCCGACTCCCGAACACAACTCCACCTACAGGAATGCAAGCTCTGGTCCTGGCTACATATCACGGCACACTTGAACAAGTGATGATTCTTCTTTGACGAGGCTCCAATCTCTTCCACGGCACGTGCCGCGCGCTCGGCCCTGTCAAGTTTGTCGTCTTGAAGGCTGAAGTTGTGGGCGACATGCATGCTGTAGTCCTCGAAGCAAGGATCACGTTGGCAGATCAAAAATCCGCAATCCCTGGGGACTGGTCTGTACATTGATCTGACGAACCCGTTCAGAGGTGTGACAGCAACCAGAAGAACTCACTGTAACAGGTGGGTCTAGGGATGTCTCGGAATTTTCATGATTCATGGAGGCCCGGGTTTAGGGTTGAGGGTTTAGGGTTTAGGGTTTAGGGTTCTGGAGGCACACAAAGCTTCATGCCTGGCCGCGGCTCAGGGCTAAGCACACTGCACGAAGCAGCCTCGAACGCACTGCACAACCTCTCTGCGTCAGAGCTTCTACCACCAAACCGACAGCCATAACCAGGTTGATCATGCTTATCGTATTCAGATCCAGGTCCCAGAGTATAATATTGCCCAGCAGGTTCACGAACACCAAAGCCAGAACGAGCACGACCGACATCACTAAGAGAGGGTGTGCCAAGACGAGAGTGCTAATGATAGTTACAGCTAGTAGGCAAAGCGCAACACTGGTGGTCATCTGCGCTACAATGATGCGGAACTGGTCGTAGAAGATATACGAGAAAGAGTTCCTCGGACGTCATGTGAAGAGGTGAGACGAGGTGCTAAAATGACCGGAAAACTCGCAAAGCTGTCTGGTGCTTAGTAGGGAATGGGGGAATGGATCCCTATACCATGGAGACAAAGGCATGCAAAAACCTATGGGTTTTAAAAAACTAAACCAGTGCTTCATGAAGGTCATGCTTAAAAAGAACAAACCCTAAACCCTAAACCCTATGCTCTTTAAAAGCAACCTAAGCCGGGGTTCATGAAGCTGCCTGGAAGTGCACTTTGCCATCGCCTGGTCAGCTCCTCAGCCTCCTCCAAGGCCTCCACCTGCTCGACGCTGTTGGCGGTATCCTGGGTTCTTGTTAAGGGACTTGATTTAAGGAACCATAATAGGGATCCGTAAGGGTTCCTATAAGGGATCTGTACGGGTTTAGGGCTTCAAGAGTTGCATTTACATAGATATAGTATAGTTAATAAGATGGTTTCCCTATTATGGTAAGTTGAAATAAGTCCCCTAACAAGAACCCAGGATCCACATGCCGAACCATCAGCCGTGCAATGTCCAGGACATATGAGCCGCTGCCATAGCCTCCGCCGCCATAGGAAGGACCAATAACGTCCCTTGCAGTATAGCCGTAGTCTCCTTCTTCACGGTCTCGGGCGTCTGGTCTACGGGATCCATCGGTGTATATGTAAGAAAAGTGCAGATCCCCGTAGAAGTCGCCGAACTGCTCCTCTGCGAGGAAGGTGAACAAGGCATCTTGAAAGGTTGGTCCTGTGAGGAAGTGGGTGACACAGTCGTTGACGTTCGGTGGAAGGCCCGCTCGGCACCCGGGCCGGGAAGCTCCACCGGGCACTTCTTCGAAGGCCGTCAGCGGCAAGACATCCAAGGAACCACGGTTCTGCCAAGCCCAGAGGCTGAAGATGGTGTGCCAACTTCTGAGTCCCCGATCTTCGTTGACCATGCGCATGTTTAGCATCTCTGCACCTTTACAAGAGTCACGCTTCACATGCGGTACCCACATAATCAGCTACCAGTCACCTGTCATGACCTTCACCAAAGCAGTGAACTTCAAGTCCCAGGCACCGACGAGCTCGAGATTCCGCTGGACCTCTAGCGAGCTGAAGTTGAGACCTGCACTCTGAACACGGACGGGGCTGGACTCTATATATATATATATATATATATATATATATAGATAGATAGAGACAAAGGAGGCGCACTCACCGCGCGAACCCCTGGTGGGGCCAGGCGTGTCGGGGTGCTAGAGAACATTTCGTCTGCCCAAGAGACCATGCTGATCGCTCTCTCGTAAGGCGGGCTTCTCCGTTACACTGCTTCTAGCATGGCATTATTCAACTTTCCGACCCCGGCAGACCTTGCACATAGAAAGATGCTGGCACGGCCAGCCCAATTGCGATCCCACCGAAATACCGCTCCTCCTGATGCAGAAAGTCACCATGCACCGATTCATTGTTTGCGCATCTTCTTACTGCCACTGAGTGACACAATGCTAACAAGATCTCACAAGATTCCAAACGTCACGGCGGCTCGCCTGCACTGCCTAGACGATTTAGCATGCAGGGCTTCGGGGGCAGTCTCTGTCACAGACACCAATGAGAGGCTCCTGCGTGTAGTAATCACTCAAGTAGCTGCCATCTGGAGTCAGGTCAATGAGCTTGAAATCCGTTCCTGCCCGGGCTTACCGCTTAGGGGTCGGTTACCGTCTTTTTGGGAAAGCCCCTTTTCCATCCGAACCTGCATGGAGAGTTGCCCTCTTCAGTCGTAAAGCCTAAACCCTCAAACCTAAACTCCCCCCTCCCGAAAGGGGGCACACGCAAAAGCGCTTGCGCGCCTATGCCCAGGCTGACTTGCCAGAGGGAGATGCCAGCAACGCCGAGAAACACAGAGACGGTGAGCAGCTTGGATAACGTAGAACGCACCTGCGGACTCCGCGCTCCCTATGATGGGCCTAACCATGTTGGTGAGGCACTTAACACGGTTCAAGGAGCTCTCGAATGAAATGCAACCAAGATGCACAGAAGCGGACAATGACCCCCAGCATCCTGAAGTTCGAATCAGGCTGGTAAACGCAGTGGCCCCCACACAGCTGCCCTTCCCAGAGTCAAGGCATGGATCCAACACGTCTGGTGAGAAAACGGAAAGCATCATGACTTCCCCGAAGCGAAAAGAAGATGCTTTCCGGCCATGAAGATGCAAAATCCCTGTGAAGCGCCAGGACTTCTTTGCCTTTCAACCAGACCTTACACGCATGTTCCGTGACCTAGTGTGTGACAGCTGACTTCCTTCTTGGCGAATCCTTGAGGCCTGGGATGGGCTTGGTAGACGGTGCTTGTTTCGGGACGATGTGACGATGAGTGCAGTCTTCCCCGTGCCTTGAAAGGAGTGTCGCAGTCTTCGTGGAGTCCGTCGGCTCGCTTGGAATGCAGGAGGATGTTGCCGGCACACAGAACTCAGCAGACAGGCAGCTTAGCAGTTGGCTAACTCGGCGATCAAGGTCATTTAAACTCTGAAGCTGCGCCTGCAAAACCCTAAACCCTAAACCGCTGTCATGCAGCAGGGCCGAAGCTGCCAAAGCTGTATTTCACATGAAGGATTCAGGCTGGGGTCATGGCAGGAAGTTTCCATGTGAAAGGGCTGCAAAAATCGTCACAGGTCCCTCCAAAGCTGTTAGGTGAGTGCCGTCTGGGCCAGCCTTTCTTAATAATTAGACGGGGGTTATGGGGTACATTCCACTATAATCATAATAAGGAACCCCCACAATAGTATTTATGGCTTTGCACCAAATTTGACGGGGCTTAGCAGAGCATTTTTGCAGCAAACGAAAACTTGCAGATTCAAGCCTCTTCAATTATCAGAAGCTTGTCAGAAGCTGTTCATGAGATTCGAAACCCTGCGAAAAGTGCAGAGAAGCTGCAAGCGGATCCAGGAGGTGCCTCTTGGCGCGCGCAGCGTCGAGAGACAGCATGGCGCAGAAGGCAGTGCAGTGCACCATCCAGACGAAACAGCAAGAGACAGCCGCATAGTAGCAGAAGAACTGTATCTTGGTTGAGACTACCCGGTGATTACTCGAATACATGCATAGATCGGCCCTGAATCTACCAAACAGCAACTCTCATCCAAGCAACCGCCGGGAAGACACAAGTGGCTCCAAGAAGGAAAGCAACGATGTCCGTGAGCGACGTGAGGGTAATAGACACACCCACTCGCCCCATTGCTTGCCCGACACGCTCAGGAATATCCAAAGACTCGTCTGTTCTATCAAAGGCATTGACAATCACAAAGGCATCATCGATACCAATGCCCACCAGGATGAAGGGCAGAATCTGCGTCAGGACGGTAAATTTCACCCCAAGTAACATGGCACTGCCGAAGCCGCCGACGCAGGCTATAAGCACGAGCAGGAGGTCGGAGACACCTGATGAAACTGAAATATAGCTTGGGTACTGCTCCCATACAGTAACAGTCTATAACAGGGCTACTATTAAGGTCCTAATATATCTATATTATGAATATTACCCAACTGTTACTGCGTGGGGGCAGTACCCAAAATATCGGGGCCTTAATAATTAGAATAGGGTTTCGGGGGTTCCTTAATATAATTGCAGTATAATGGGCTCCAAAACCCTATTCTGATTATTAGGCAAATGCCAAAATGCAACCTAGCTGTGTCTACTCCAGTTATCCGGGTCCTCGCTGTGATATCATGACCTACCATATCCGTTACCACATGGCCATGTGCTCCAACACCAACACTTGGTAACGATGCGGATACTGCTTCACATTGACGACATTGAAGTTCGAAAGACTTTACTTAGGCTGCATCCGCAGACGTCTCTTGCAGGGCTATCGAGACCGTTGTGTCTGAGGGTGCGCTCTTGCTCTTCACTCGGCAGAAGTGTGCGCTGGACCATAGAATTCAATTACCCTTAACTCTTGGACTCTTCATCCACGAGCGAGCGGCGCAAACCCTTCTACGCTCGACCCTGTCGCGAAGCCTCCTTGTATCAAGGGTACCCTTTTTCCTACAAGGGACCCGAAATAGAAATGGCTATTGTTCAGGAACCCAGTAGCCCGTAAACCCCTATAGATCCCTTCTGGAACCCCCTGTAGGGAACCCGTTGAGGATCCCTTATAGAACCCTTTAAGGATCCCTCATACAACCCTTTAAGGATCCCTTAGAGAGCCCTTCAAGGAAGCCTCAGAGGCTCCTTCAGTTGAGGATATAAATCCTGTCCTGCACTACCCATCATAGGGGATATACCATAATTCCCATAGTTTGGGGTCCTTAAGGTAATGCAGGATTTATATTATCAACCGTAGGAAGCCCTTTTTGTGTAAATGCCACCCAAGCGTCCTAGTAGACGTCTGCTCGCCGTCCAGCTGCACGGCTTTCCAATGAAAACCGCACAGAAAGTGGACCTTTGGACTTTCGGGTTTAGGGTTTAAGATTTAGGGTTTAGGGTTTAGGGTTTAGGGTTTAGGGTTGACGGTTTAGGGTTTAGGTTTTAAGTGTGTAGATCGGACATGCATCGGATCCAGAAGTACTTGTTTGAAGCTGTGCGCTATGAACGAGGTATGGTAACCATGTTCAGGCGTTGCGCTGCAGACTGTAGAGTCGATCCAAATGGAACTGCTTGGAGGTTCATGGTTAGTTAAAGGTGCAGCTATAATAAGGATAACTATAGTTATAAGCCTTAATAGGGGACTTATAATCCCTCTTGTAACTACCCATGAACCTCCAAGTAGAGTTTCCAAGCGATCGCACAAGCAAAGGCTGAAAAGACTGCTCACAAAGCCAAGTCGCATCAGCACGAAGGCAGAGGCAAACAGCCTTCGTCAAAGTTCGTGAGCTACGCATCTGACAAAAAATGAAAAGCTGCTTGCCAAAACCACCCAACACAAGATGGCCTAAGGCTGAACATCTTAGGAAGGAGGTGGGCATGAGCTAAGACAAACCTCCACTTCAATGGAAATCCCTCTTTACAGGAGCCGGAAATGCAGCCCATGGAGCGGGATATCTGCACTTACAGTGCGATTGAGTTCGTCATCGAAGGAACCAGCGGCCTGCAGAAAAACATTAACCCGCTCGTAGCGCTGGATCGTTTTGAAGTTCTCCACGAAGTGAGCCATCCACGCCTCTCACGGGGGCTGTTTGCTTGGCGAATACTAGACGATGCACAACGCCATGCCAGAAACACCCCTTTTGAAAAAAGACACGGACCAACACATTTCCCATCCACCTTATGAAATCCGTCGGACCAGGCATAGAAGATGACTCGGACAGCAGAAGCTCCCACGATCTGGCCGCTGCTGTTCCTCTGGATGCCTGGCCGTGGCATCTTAGATGCACCGCAGAAGTTTGAGAGCAGCAGCTCCAGGACAAGCTATCTCAGGCTCACACCTGATTCTGACCTCGTGACATCGCCTCTTCAAAAAAGCTACCCCATCTCTGGCCCTCTTTCAGCTTCCACTCCCGTTACCTACCTCTTTTACTCCCAGCACTCCCTTCGCAATGCCGTGCCTCCCAAGCTGTCCTCGGCATAGGTCGGCCTTGGTATGCCCCAACCACATGCAACCGGATTCAGGTGCCTTTCAAACTAACTTCGGGTCAACCACACAGAAGGGCAAGTATATACCTGAGATCCATTTGGGCTGTGTGCCCTCAATGGACTCTATGGCTTACTGGCCAACAAGTTGGACATTCGAAACGATACAAAGAAGACTAACGCCAAGATTCATGCCATCAGCAAACTGTGGCTGGTTTACGGCACGCAGGATGTCTTCTTGCGTGAGTGGCCGCGTTGCAAAGTATCGTGGCACGCCGTCAATAATGCAGTCGCCGTCTGCCCTTCGACAAACGAATGGATAGCTCTCCAGCCCACCATCGTCTCCCTTGAACTCCAAAGTACGGACGTCATCAACAACCCTCCAGACATCAAGGAATGTGTCATAGTCCAAAATGTTGCCACCACTTTTGGCAGCCACAATAAGCCGTTCGCCTCCACCCTCGCTCCCAATGGGGTCTGAGAAGAGGCTTTCGACAGACCTGCACTTGAAGGTGAAACCATGTGAAACCTCAAAACCTCTACGACGTGTAAAGCCGATACAATGTCAAGGCAACGAAGCGCCCTAAACCTTAAACCCTAAACCCTAAACCCTCAACCCTAACCCCTAAACCCCCATAAAACCCTAGCGGATCGACTCAAAGGGGCTCGAGATTCTTCATCTGCTGTGAGTGTTGGTCTACCCAGAGTGCTCGAGATCCACCCTCGTTCTCAAACTGCACAAATCCGGCGCCAAACCTGGGTTCTGCTTAAAACGGGATCTTATCTAAGCTGCCATAACAGGGATCTACAGTAAATGATATGACTCCCTTAACAAGAACCCAGAAACGCCAGGCAGAACAAGATGGACAGGAAGAGGCATTTTAAAGGATGTCTTGCACACAGCTTGCCCACGTACTGAAAGCCACGACTGAGGGCTTGCTCAGCCCTTGCGGTCGAGCGGGCCCAAAGCCGGGCGGGGGCCACCAGGACCTCCATCGCCGGTTTCGCGCTACTTTACCTGAACCTTCATTGCTGCGACAGGAAGAGATCTCCATCACAAGTCCGAACAGCTTCTCCAGTGACACTCTAGAAAACAGATGCCGACCCGCCAGCAAAGCTCAACCGCCAAGACGCTACATCGGAGTACAAAGCTCCTCAAATCCTCAAAATCCTCAAGGAGCTGGCGATGGTGGAAGCACAGCTCTGCATTAGCGCAGGCCCGAAGGCGGACGAACTGTGTGCTATAGGGGCCTAAAAACTACCAATACTACTTTGGGGGGGTCCTCATTACAAGCCCCAAAACCCTATTCTAATTACTAAGGCCCCCATACTAAACCCCCAGAATATCCCTTAGAGTAACCCTTAAGGAATCCTTTAAAAGGAACCCAACTCTAATTATCAAGGCACCTATATTGGTGGCCTCTGTCTGCTGGACTCCCGGCCGAGGGCCAGAGGCAGGGGCAGCCACAACCTGAGGTATAGGGTTTAAGGTTTAGGATTTAGGGTTTCAGGTTTAGGATTTGGTTTAGGATTTAGGGTTTCAAGTTTAGGGTTTAGGGCTTAGGGTTTAGGGTTTAGTGCAGCAGAAGCTTGGAAGCAGTTCAGCGGAAGCGCTAGCAGTAGGACTGGAAGTCGTCACCGCCGGAGTAGTAGTAGCAGTAGTAGTAGTAGTAGTAGTAGTAGTAGCAGTAGTAGTAGCAGTAGTAGCAGTCGTCGCCGTCGTCGTAATAATGATAATAATGATAGCCGTCCCGGTACCCGTAGCGGTTGTGGTTGAGGTAGCAAGTACAAGTAATATGATCTATCTTTTCCCCAAAAACCCGAGTTCGTCAAAATAGAAACAGAAGAGCAAAAATGTCTGTGAATACCCCGATGCCGCATGCATCACCGAGATTTCGTGATGTGGCCCGCTTGAACCACACCAAATATCGATGCACTCGTTTCGCAATGATCCAAGCCACTCACGGCCGACGACGGCGACGAAGATCAGAAGGAGGTGGCAATGAAAAAAGTGTGCATTATGAAAGCATGCTCCGAAAGCATTTCTCCTCCTTCATTCAAAACCCCGAATCCCAAAGACCCAAGGACAGAGAACTCCTTCCGAGCCACAAAACTCGAGCTCAAACCATGAACTGGGATCCGGGCACTTAGTTGCTGTCGCGGGAGGCGCTCCACGTGGCAGCAGACCGACGCGGCCTGGTTTTAGCATTCTTCTTATTAGGCGGATTATTGCTGTCAACCTTCTGATCCGCTGTGACGTTTTTTTGCCATTTCTTCTCTACCAACGTCTAAAGCTTTCGAGTTCGGGGAATTCCAATCCAGGATTAGACGCCTTGAAACCCGGCACTTGCCACCCAGGATGCTATCAGGGAAGAGGTGACTCTTCGAATACAAATAATATACATGGTGATGGACAATGAAGCCTTCGTACACACTATGATAGACTCAGCAACATCTTGCTGAAAGCCACGATCTTGGCAAGTGTGTGTGTGTGTGGCTCAACCTCATGCTGGAGCATCTTTAAAGGAACCCTATAGATCCCTTTAAAGGAACCACATAAGATCCCTAATCTGATCCACGTCAGGTTTCGTGCAATTCTCTCCTGATTTCTGGTGCAGGAACGACAATTTCGCTCGGAAATCCAGGAGCCAGGGGCTGTTTTGTGTAGACTTAGGCTTGGCAGGCCTACACGAACCCTACATCCTTAAGCAACTTGCTGTTGCTATTGATCCCGCCTGAGCTCCCATCGTCCCGCTGTAAGGAGAACCATGGCAGCATTTGGCACAGAAGTTTGCAAGTATCCCTATGCATGTCGAGCGGAGCTGGTTACGCATCACAGTCAGCACAACAGGTGAAACGTGTGGCATGAACCCTTAGTCGCCAAATGCGGTCAATTTTGTCGCCCATGATGTAAAGAAAGATCTGGATCAGCTGAAGACACGATCATGGTCTGCATTGCTTCCGCGGCCCGCCCGTATTCAGCCCTGAAGACTTGAGGACCCATGGTGGTCAGAGAAAGTGAGCAGTGCCTCGCAGAATCTCGCATGGCGACACTTGACAGCCAGGCAGGAAGCTCCATGGAAACAACACCGAAGATAAATGGGAGTTTCCGATATTTGGGGGTACCTCATTTTGGGGTCCTTATGATAAGGATCCTATTATTTAGGCTACTATATTAGGGTCCCCTATTTTCGGAAACCCCCAAATGTGAGAGGTGACGGTTAGACTGCCAGAGGCCTGGCACTAGCTTCACACTAGTCGCGACATGTCCGGCAACGCCTATGAGGGTAGACTCCCTTCCGGCATCCTGTCAACGGCTTGCGACCAGGGCTCGCAGAACTATTACTGCTGTCAAGGCACGTTCTGCCAGAGGTAGGTCCTGCAGAACGAACTTGGCAAAAACATACCCGTGAGACCATACTCAAGAGCACAAAGGAGCGGAATGGGATCCGTCTATCACGAAGCAATCAATCAAGTCAGATTCTCGGAGCTTCACAGGCACCCTGTGCCCAGACAATCAATACTGCGCATCCAAGCCTACGCAAGCTGTCTAGAACTTGCACAGGAGCCCTGATGGGCAGATCTTGCCACGAGCTGGGTAAACTTTTCACAGCTAGGGTTGTAGGAGGAGACGGAATATCTGGCTTGTGCAGCGAGATCAAGAACCAATCAACCCTGCACCCTGTTGGCGGCTGATAGAATCTGGAAGCCCGCCGGGGACGAGAACTGGGAGTCAGCAATCCTCACTGAGTGAGATGCCCAACTATACTGAACTTAGAACCCTAGCAAAAATCATAATTTTAGCTGTTTTTAAGGATTATCATAACCAAAAATTAATAGATATTTCATTTCTAAGTACCCCTAAGCGATGATCGGGTCCTCCGGGGCAACATCTTCGAGGGAACGGAGGATTCCCTCCACCTTGTTGCATTTCGGACGAGATTCCAACAGCGACGAGCTGGGACCTCTCCATTGTTCAGCTCCATGCTAGCGATAAGATCGAAATCTGCGATGTGAGCCATGCTGTGCCAAACCCGTTAAAAGCGCCAGAGAGAAAGCCCAAAGGGATAGGGACGAACGACATCGCATCTTTCAGAAGTACATCCTGCTGGGCTCTAGGAACTACAAGCTGTGCCCACCTTTCCTCTCACTGAGGATCCAGCCGCAGCTGTAAGGGCCTCGTATCAGGCCCAAAAACAATTTCAGGGCCTAAACCCTAAACCACGAGGCAAGCTGCCCCAGTCTTGCAAATCGTTCGCGCCAGCGTCAATCTGCTAATCAGGTCTCGAAAGGACTGGTCTGATGCAACTCCGTCGAGCACAATATGGGAGTTTCCGAAAATACGGGACTCTAGCATAGTACCCCGAAATAGTGGGATCCTTATCCCAAAAGAAGGTACCCACATGTACCCGCAAAACTCCCCTGTAGCAGAGCCCTCTCAATGAACGGTGCGGGCGGCAAAGTCCGATTCTGGATGGGATCTGCAGGGGCGCCAGGCGGCTTCTCGCCGGTTGATCCGGTAGTTGCACACTAATTAGAATAGGGTTTGGGGACCCATTATACTATAATTATGCAAATTATGATAAGGAATCCCCAAGATAGTATGGGTAATTCTGTTGCAGAGCCACCGGCCTGCTGCGCCTGCACCACCTGAAGCAGGCACAGAAGTCCATCGCACAAGGGCCCGGCAGTGGATAATGTAGGAACCTGACTAAGAAATCCTGGGCCTATGACCCCAAAACAGTAGGATTCATATAAGGAACCCTCAAAAAGGCCCAAGGCGTCATAATCAGGTTCCTAGATTCACCGCTTCTTTTCGTGTCAGCGCGAGCTCTGAGCTATCCGCTATCCGTCAGCCCTGGGCTCCAGCTTACTCTGGCCAGTCTCGGCCCGTGGTTGCCACGATCACGGCGCACTTCTCGAAGTAGGGTTCCAGCGTGAGCTGCTCTAGGGGCTTCAGGCCGGATTTCCTGATGCTCGAGACCGTTCTGGCGAACTCCGCTTCGGGCACGTATACGGCCTCCTTGGCCCCGTCCAGCTCAACGGCCCACATCACCACAGCACCTGCCGTCTGGTTCTTAGTAGGGAATGGGGGGATGGATTATGGAGACTATTATTAAGGATTACTTATATATATATATATATATATACATAGATACATACAGATATATAGATATAGGGACTACTACAGGGATCCATTCCCCTATTCCCTACCAAGCACCACACAGCCTGGAAGGAGAAGCGACGTCATGCGGTCCAGAAGAGCCTGATGCAGCTCCAGGCTTCCTCTAAGCAACATTGAATGAAATCTCTCCGTGTCAGACTCTGCGAGGCACTGCGTCTGTGGCCAGTGCTCCTTGAGCTTCCTGGCGCATTCAACATCGACCTCTGGTGAATATCTCACGGCGCCTCCTTCACCAACCAAGTCTGCAAGAAAGGACAGATCGGCAGCAGACATGTTCACGGCAAGCAATCGCTGGCCTTTCCATTTCGGAGTCTTGCTAACTCCTGCAACGATAGCTGCCGCGAGGTGGGATCGGAACGGGCTCCAGCTACGAAAGGTCGCCTCCGAGATGTGCAACTGGCTCAAAGTGTCCTGGCTTGCAGCATCTGGCTGATAGAGGTGCTCCTCGTCCCAGGCCGTCGCGCCCGGAACAACCAGAAACTGGCGGCCCGGAGAGCTTGCGGTCGCAATGAAAACCCCAGGAATCCTGTGTTTCTCAATTCTCATCCGCTCCGCACGCCGGATGAGGTCCAAAGTTCCCTGAAAGTGTTCGCCCAAGGATGCCAGTGTGTCTGTCGCTTCTAGGACAGCCGTGCCACAGAGGAGGTCCATCTCCTCAACACGGGCCCCAACTGAGCTCGACAGCAGCTCCTTCATCTTCAGGGTCGTCGTCGACAGTGGCATCAGCTGCGGTCCAAAGAGATGCTCTCCTCCTAGCTGCCGGACCGTGACCAGAACCGTCGGAGTCTGCCGTTCCTCGCGGGCCTTGTCGATCAGCCTACAGATGCCTTGAAAGTCCTCATCCTCCAACTGCTTTATCTCTTGCATCAGATTTGCCACGGTCTCGGAGACCTCCATCGCGAACAGGCACTCAGCAACTCGAGCTTCGGGCCGGGGGGTCTCTGCTTCTAAAGCTGCGAGATGTCGAAGAGAAGCTGCAGCAGGGGGCTTTTGTGGCGACTTGAGGATGACTTCATGGCTTCCGGGAAGTTAGGCTACAGGAGGGCATTGGAAACCGTGTCATCTATAATATAACAATAAACCATATTGTATTATGTTATGCTATCTTATACTATACTGTTCTAGATTTTACTATCATACACAATCAGGCATGTGCTTCGCGCCTGTGCCCGCCGGCAGCTCGGCTTCTTCGCCTCGCCCTCCGCATGCCATAGTTACTATAGAGGCCTTAGTAATTACCTACACTGTTTTGGGGGTTCCTTTTTTATAATTTTAGTATACTGGGACCCAAAACCATATTCTAATCATTAAGGCCCCTACATTACACGTTACGGGAAAAGGGTCCAGGCTTCCAGGCTTTGCGATGGGCACTGAGCTTCAGAACTGCCATAGGGGAATCTCCGAAAATAGGGGACCCTAATATAGCACCCCTCTAAATAGTAGGATCCTTATTATAAGCACCCCGAAATAAGGTGCCCCTCATTTTCGGAAACTCCTGAACTCTAAACCCTAAACCCTTATAGCTCCCTTTATGGAACTGTACCCTTACAGTAACCCTTCAAAGGATCGCTTTTAAGGTACCCCTCATTTTCGGAAACTCCCATATGAAGAGAACCTGGGTCGCTTCGGCCTTCCCAGAGGCCACTGAGTCCCACAGGTCTTCTGCAGAGGCCTGGGTATTCACAAGAGACGATAATGTAATGTAATATTTTGCAAAATAACAGTATAAGTTATCATATAGTACAATATAGTATATTGTAGTATACTAGAGTATAATATAATATATTCTTATATTCTAGACACGCTTGAGCTCTCAATTCCAGGATGTTCCGCACCGCGCGTTTCCGCCAGCCCGTTCAGTCCGCTGACCTCCGTGGCATCCCGAGCATCGACAAAAGGATCTATCCTGCATGCACAGCAACTTGACAGCCAGCGCCCTACCCAAAAAGTAATTTCAGTGTCTAAAAGTCGTAGACCTTGCTGCATCTGCTGGCCACATTCACGCTTGCTTCATTGTGCAGGGTCAGAGGGACGTCTCGCAGAGTTGAAACTGACCTTGCGCTTCAATAAGTCGTCGAGCACGCCCCTGAAATCTTTGCCGGTCCTCTTTGAGTCCGCAGCCTGCATTGTGGATGGCGTACATGTGTGTATGTGTGTATATATACATACGTATATATCTATCTATCTACCTACCTATCTATCTTCCTACCTAGCAATCTATCTATCTATCTATCTGTGTGTGTGTGTGTAAGCACGGATGTGTGTGTGTGTGCTTATATATAGGTATGACAGAACATATATAATATAACATAGATATAGACATAGATGTAGATGTAAACATATATAAAAATATATAATCTTACATATATATACAGGTAGATATGCAGATAGAGAGAGAGAGAGGGGGAGAGAGAGTATGATGAGGGCACATGATCAAGGGGAGCCTCGTGCTTCGACTCCTGGTTCAGCAGCACCTCGCCCCACGAGACCGACGAGACAGGCTGACAGAATGAGACAATAGTATAATATAGTAGAGGTAGAGTATAGTCTGATATCTTATAATATAGCAGAATAAAGTCTGATATCGTATAGTATGGTATAAGATGGTATGTTATTGTATTCTAGACTTGAGTCGCGCATCAAGGTTCGGGAAGCTGGCACAGTGCGAATGTGAACATGTTCTCCAAAGGTAGAATCCCAGATCTGCGAACACTCTCAATCACTTCGGAAATCCCAGTGGCCTGCCTGGAGGGCACGGACAGCCCCGTGGAGGGGGTTCGGGTTCGCCATCGCAGGGGCAGCACCTCTGTGCTTCGGGAACACAGGCAAGCGGCAAGCGGCTTGCCACAGGCCGGGGCCAAGCGGAGAGGGGCAGTCATCAAGAAGCAGCTCCTTCTCCTGGTATACCAGGCCGGATGCTCCCTCGGCGTGGCTCTTTGGCAAAGGCTTTCGGGCTCGGTCTCTCGAGCCGGACATTCCAACACATAGCCCAAGGCTCTGGCTCCCGTTTTCCTGCCAGGGTTCAGCCAGAGCAACGTCGGCTTCAGGTGCACACCGTTGGCCACATGAGCCACCACAAAAAAGGAAATCTAAGCAAAGACGCCCCTCCGTGTCTCCACGAGCAGCATGAGAGAACGCGCTTCCGGAGCCTCTTTGTCGTCATCGCCGCATCCTTAGCTGGCATGTTGTCAGCTTTGCAGAAGGGCCCGCCGCAGTCCCCAATGCCACTTCGCCACTTCTAGCACAATTTCCCGTGAGACTGGGAGCTCGACTGCGTGGATGCCAAGAGCCCATCGACGAGATGCATCGAGAAGATGTGGCAGCTAAGTGACTCCAACCGAAGTCTGGAGCATGCTTCATCATACTTTGGCTCTAGAACTTCTGGTTTGTGGTTACCGGAGGCTACTTCAGGCTGTTGCAGGAATGATGCCTTGCATGTAAGACATATCCCCCAACGGACCAATCAGCATTTCATGATGACGGGTGATGCCAGTGACTAAGACGATGATTGCTGACTATCTGCGCACCGTTGCACCTGAGCACTGTTGCATGTGCCTGGTTAAAGATTTAGGGTTTGGCCATCTTTAACTCATTTGAAACGAGATGCCGTGGCATGGCATGTCTACAGCTGTGGCTGAAGTTTGCAATCCAACATGCGGTCTAATCTGCAGAGGATGGCTCGCAAAGGGGCAGGCTGAGGCACGCAACACTTCTTGACTCAACTAGTCGGAACTCGCCCAACCATGCCAGCTCGAACCCCCTGGAATGGAGGATCGACAGCCCCCCTGGCTTACTGGACCATCACCCAAGGCTGCTCCTAAGCTCTCAGGACACTTCGAACAGGCAGGAAACAGTCAACATTCTGGATCATCACTGGGCAAAGGGTGCGGAGGTCCTCTGCGCTGAACTCGCCGAGAACCTGCACGAGCTGCTGTGTCAAGGTCGCTGTTGACACCGGCTTCGAGATTTGCGGGGTGGGGTGGGTGGTGTCCTGACCGCCCCAAACAGATTTGTCATGACCGAATGTCCGATATCCAGGTGCAAGCTCAAAGGCGAAGACAACGCGGAGCACTCTCGATTTGTAGGCTTCTCTCACTGCTGAAGCCTGGACGACACAGGCTATTTCAGAAGCAGGCCAGCACCAGCTGCTTAAACCCTAAACCCTAAACCTACATCCTAAACCCTAAGTCCTGAACCCTAAACCCTAAACCCTAAATCTACTACACCCTTGAGCTATGGAAAGCGCCTCAGCCGTGGTTGCACCACCTGCAGTCTGCGAGGCGAAAACTGCGAGAACACGAAAGCTTTGCTCAACGGCAACCGGGGCGAACAGGGTTCAGGGGTTTTTAAGGTTTGAACCGTGACACGGTGTGCTTGCGAAGGGGCCTCGGCTCGCTTGTAGAGCTTGGAACACCGGCGGGACTTGATCCACCTCGCACTTTGACGCTCTCCCGCGGTAGCTATGCCTACACAGCACGGCGCACCCAGACCGTTCGGTCTTCGGGTAGAAGATTCAGAATCGGTGCGGTCTGGTACTCCAGGAGCAAGCCTTTCACCAGGGCGCGCTCTGCAAACTCTTGAAGTACCCTATAAAAATCTCAGTTGCTGTGATACATCATACTAGGAGTGTGCTCAAGCAATCGGAATGAGCCGCCTTGCATCCTGAAGTAGTGAATCAGAATCTCCAAGGTGATGTTGTAGCACTTCTGGTAGAGCCTTTGGCTCGACCCAACCTTGCGGAGCCGGGCCTACTTCCACAGCACTGGCCCCCCTATCCGTCCCCTTCTGCACTGGTGTGCCTGAGTCGGTGCACGAAGCAGGCACACCTTGCGCTTGGCAGATTCTGCAGGTCTTTGAAGTGCGTCAGCACCAGCAGCACAGAGCAGCTTGAGCCGGGGACCTGTTTGTATGCCTCGTCCAGGAATTCTAGGCTTCGGCGGAAAATCAAGCTCTTCCTCAGCATGACCCCCCTCCACTACCGAGGCTGCGTTCTTCAGAACTTGCCACAACCAGAACAGCTGCGAGTGGGGAGGAGGGCTTGGTTCGAACGACTCAGCAAACTGAGGACCGGTCCTGCCGCGAACTTGCTTAGTAGGGGCCTCCTGGAGGTCGACATAAATGGTTGGACATGGCACAAATGGCACAATGACGCGGGCTTCAAGCTCCTCAAATACATAGCTGTGGGCTTGCGTCTCCCATTCCTGAGCAGCATCAGACGTGCATGCAGCGTTCATTGCAAGACGCAGCTCTTCACAAAGGCACGGAGATGAACATACTTGATCATACTTTTACGAGATCTCTAACCCTAAACCCCAAACTCTAAACCCCTAAACCCTAAACATCTCTCCTTGGTTTGTCAACTGGAGGGAATCTCAGCTCCTCGCAGTTCGCTGGATGTTCGCTGCCTGAGGCAACACCCCGGAGTCACCATCCAGGAAACAAGACTCTCTTGAACCCTATAGGGTTTAGGGAGTTTAGGGTTTAGGGTATAAACCCTACACTCCAAAATAGCAAGATGGCCTTTAGGCTTCTGGAGATGCATGGGAGAGGAGAGTACAGGCAGCACAGAGGCTCTGTCAGCGAGAGAGTCAGAAGGCCGGGCTCTGTGCTCTATGAGCACTTAACCAGTCGTCCACCAGTGGGAGGTCGGCTGCCTGCCGGAAGGACTCAGACTCGGAACCCAGAACTGGCTGATTTGAGGCGGTATCTCCGGGAAACTCTGGGGCCTTTAGGGTTCGAGGGCTTCTAGTGATTCTACTTGGGGGTTCATGGTTAGTTACTTGCGGAGGAGGGACTGGGACGAAAGCTAGAAGCGTCAACAACCGAGGCTTTTCCAGTGAAGGCAAGCATGCATACACGCCTACTGAACTCCAATTACAGAAACCCTAACTCTTGAACCCCTCGAATGAGCACCAGTACCATCCCCCTCAATGTGGGTGACACCCACCGGGCCAAGCCATGCTCTGCTTGCGCTTCTTGTTCGTCGAGATGCAGCTGCTATTACATATGACTGTATATTCGAGTACTAGTATAGTATGAAATGGTAGAAAAACAGTATATGGAAGAGTTTGGATCAGAGCTTCATGCACACACACACATATATATATATATATATATATGTATGTACATATACACAAACATACCATAACTTACTCCCCCAATAGCCACAGAAATAAAAGGTTAAACTTTCAAATTACTACTAAACTATAAGAACCCCAAAAGTTTAAACGTTTTGTATTGGAGAGCTAAGATAAATACATGTGTATATCATGCCTAGAAGCCAATGGCTTCAGGTCGGGCGCCCAACATAGAACAAGTACGCGACGCGTGAGCGGAGCCAGCAAGCCACATCGTGAACATCACTGGGGGCCTCTTGGATCCCAATCCGAGCCAACAAGCGCGGAAATGGTAGAAAAACAGTATATGGAAGAGGTTGGATCAGAGCTTCATGCACACGTATATTTATTTATATATATATATATATATATGTACATATGCACAAACATACCATAAATACATGTGTATATCATGCCTAGAAGCCAATGGCTTCAGGTCGGGCGCCCAACATAGAACAAGTAGGCGACGAGTGAGCGGAGCCAGCAAGCCACATCGTGAACATCACTGGGGGCCTCTTGGATCCCAATCCGAGCCAACAAGCGCGGAAATGATAGAAAAACAGTATATGGAAGAGGTTGGATCAGAGCTTCATGCACACGTATATATATAATTATATATATATATATATATATATATGTACATATACACAAACATACCATAAATACATGTGTATATCATGCCTAGAAGCCAATGGCTTCAGGTCGGGCGCCCAACATAGAACAAGTAGGCGACGCGTGAGCATCATGAGTTGCAAGCATCATAAGCACCGGAGCCAGCAAGCCACATCGCGAACATCATTGGGGGCCTCTTGGATCCCAATCCGAACCAACAAGCGCGGAAATGGTAGAAAAACAGTATATGGAAGAGGTTGGATCAGAGCTTCATGCACACGCATATATATATATATATATATATATGTACATATACACAAACATACCATAAATACATGTGTATATCATGCCTAGAAGCCAATGGCTTCAGGTCGGGCGCCCAACATAGAACAAGTAGGCGACGCGTGAGCATCATGAGCTGCAAGCATCATAAGCATCGGAGCCAGCAACCGCACATCGCGAACATCATTGGAGGCCTTTTGGAGCCCAATCCGAGCCACAAGCCCGCATCACGGGAATCATTGGCAGCTTCTTGGGGCCAACAAACGCGCATCATGAGCATCATCGGGGAGCCGTTTGTCCACTCGGAAGCAGTCCGAAGCACCACATTCAAACACCCCAAAACGGACCCGGCGGGGGCAGGCCGAAAACCAGCACCAGGTGGGGGATAGCCCCGAACATGCGCAAAAAATGCCCACCTGGCCGGGAGCCTTCCCCACACCCCTAGATGCAACCTTTCGGTTGGTAAGGAACTCAGCTAGCCACGGAGGCTAGCTTTCGTGATAAGTAGGGTTACAAGTAAGATAACTCGAGTGATAAATAACCCACACTAGGGGACGTATAACCCCTCTTAGAACTACCCTTGAACCTCCAAGTAGTACAAGCTACTGGGCGACATGTGGGTGGTTGTCAAAATCCGCCGAGGCCACAGGCCCAGGCGTCTTGGGGGTTAGCTCAGGTACCCTCCACCTAATCCTCCTCCCTGCATGACACCCGTTTTTTGCGTTCGTTTGCCACCCCCTTGCCCGGCTTCCCCTCATTTTACCTGATTTGTCGGCCTCCCCCCCTTCTCCCAGGCCTTCCCCCCCCCTCCTCCCCCCTCATTTTACCTGATTTGTTGCCCCCTCCCCCCCCCCCCCCCCCCCCCCTCTCTCCCCCCACCTCCGCCCTGCCGCTACACAGCCGAGGCGGGCGGCGTAGCGTTAAAATTATGGTCCCTTTTTGGGTCCCTATATTGTGATACGGCACCGAAAATCTAGGGTACCCAAAAAGGGGACCATAATTTTGACAACTACCCATGTACATCCTCTTGACCGCATCTGCCAGAAGCACATCGCGCCACCTCGGGCCGGGGACCTTGGCTGTCCAAAGCTCTGGGAAAAGCTCCAAGGAAACGCGAGTTCTCTTCTAAACCCCACTATGACTACTCTTACTAGAACCCTGAACCTGAACCCTAAACCCGAAGCCTGAACCCTAAACCCTGAACCTTAAGCCCATCTCAAAACTTTCTGGCACCCTTTTTTACACGCTGCAGCCCGGAAACGATCCAGATCTTCAGGACCGTCCTGCATGCGCACACAGTCGCTATCTGTGCGCTTTGAAGGCATTACAGAGGCTGACTTTTTCTAGGGTCTTACACGGGTGTGTATGGGGCTTTTCGGGATCCATACACTTGCTAGGATCCTACTATATAGAGATTGTCATGCACGTCTCCCTCAGATGCCATGACATACTCTCCGGAGCATGACGAAGGTGCTTTATACAAGACAAACACCGCAACAGCGGAAAGCCTGCTCCGCGGACTGGAGGTAGAAGTAGCAAAATTGCTGATAGAGATCCTGCATGAGAGTGGCTAGAGTGGCTAGATCTTCTGACAGCTCAGACGTTGCGGTTCGTGTTCGATTGGATTTAAGTGGTTTTCAGCGTTGCGCAGCCCTATCGCAGAAGCCTGGACGCAGAAGCCTGGATTCCTTCCGAAAGCCTTCAGGGCTGCAGCTGGCCTCCCTTGAGTTCAGCGCAAAGAGAAGCTCCCTCCGGGTGACGAAGCCTTTCCTGCGACGAACAGAAACGAGAATGGTGCCATGGTTTCGCCCCGAGCTTTGGATTTTGGATTCGGTGTGCTTGAGCTTTCATTCGACAAGTCCGCGTTCTTTTTTGCGGTATCTTTGACGGTTGTGTGCAGCTGAATGCGAGGCTTGCTGTCGTCAGGCTAATTTCAACTTAATGCAAGTTCACCTTGAAGGTCGAGTCTAGAGCATCCGGGGAACAAACATCTCTAGCAGAGCCCCAAAGCCCAAGTCCAGAGCCCAAGGTAAGCCCAAGCTCTACTGTGCATGGCCTCTCGGTGTCTAGCTCATCAAACAGCCTGGCGGCAGCGAGACAGACCTCAAAGACCTTCATCTTACCTTTGGTTCGTAGGGAATGGAAGAATGCTAGTAATAGTAGTTAGTAGTTATAATTGTACCCCATTCCTCCATTCCCTACTAACCAAAGGTAAGTCATTGCAGCCTGCGATCTGGCGGTTTGCTGTCCACTCTGAGCCTCCGGATGGTGATGACGCTAAACTCCCCGAGCTTGGACCCTTGCTGCCTGCATGGGCCGAGCACCGCAACGCCCAGCACGATGCGAGGAGTAGTCGCAGAGGCGCAGACTTACTTGCGACTTTGCTGCTAAGCGCGAGGCTGGGCGGGGGGCTCTTCCACCACTTCCCCCTCCCCATCCTGGCAAAATGGAGTCATTGTGGATTCCGGGTTGACGCGAGTATGAGTGGAGAACAGTCTGCATCTGAGCCTCCTCCATGTCAGAAAGAACTCGCGCAAGAGGACCGACCGGCCTGCCCAGGGGCTGCGGGCACGGGCTCGTGGCCGTCGTGTCACGTCATACTTCTAGCACAAGGAGGTCAAGCTTGCAGTGGTAGCACGGTTGATGGTATAAATCCTGCATTACCCATAATTTCCATAGTCAAGGGTCATTAAGGTATGCAGGATGTACATAATTGAGCCTATGACCGTGCATTGCTGAACTGTGGTTCGACCCGCGAATGTGCATTGTGTGGACAGCCCCGTTCCGATTGGTTCTCTCAGTGCAGATTGCGGTCTTCGACCAAACACCGAAACGATGCAGCTTGATGCGAAAATCAACTCCTGCTGGTTTCCGAGACGGCGTTCTTGCAAACAACACGTTACAACTTTTGAGATGCAACTAGGGGCATGGCAGCCAAGAGCGGTCTTTGTGGCCAGTCAGTCGCAAATGGTTTGGTGGCTTGCCTGTATTTAGCACATCTCATGCATTGGCCCCAAGGGCTTGCTTGTTTGCTGAATGGCTGTTTCGAACCCGTGGTGCTGGCTGGTACGTCTTTCGCAACAGCCTCTCGACACCCGTGCACCCCCTGGTGCTCCGCTTGCGCCCTAACACAGGGCGCACCAGAGGGCAGGCCATCGGATGCAACAGCGCTAAGACCAACACTTCGCGTGCTGAGGCAGCCAACGACTTGTGACTTATTAGTACGTAGTACCGAGAAGCAACGATGATTCCTCCGCCCCGCCTCGAGTCAGGCTCGTTCCCTGCCTGGCATGCTAAGCTATGCATCAAGAGGCTTTCGAGCACAGGCGGCGTTCAGCTCTGCGCCTCGCTCAGGTTGGGGCTTCCGGCAGCAATGTCACGACCTCCATGAAAGCTACGCGAGAATTCGGCACACACTCGCACGAGAGGGGGTATTTCCGACTGTCAAGCTCAAGCCGCGCCTTCGTACTCATAATGGTCCGACAAAGTGGAGTTGACGGATGTCCTGCTGGTTCGCCGCGGCCTGAAATGCTCAATAAGGGCTCCTGGCCCCTCCTGCCCCTTTGCCTCCTGTGCTTGTCTCACATGCGATGGTGGCAGTCACACTACGTCGTCGAAAAAGGTGCTGTAGTCGCTGTAGTCAGCGCCTTCCATCTCTGGGATGAGATGGCGACGAGCGCGGCTGCGCAGAATTGATTTTGGCGACCTCTGAGAAGACAGGAGACGGATCGAGGACGTGAGAGCTCTCACACAACGACCCCGGACATAACATGGAGGCCTTTGTGATTCGAATAAGGTTTTGGGGCCCATTATACTATACTTCAGTAGTATTGTGCCCAAGCACCTCCTGCTCCAGATCGTTCAGCGTATCACCTGTCGGCTCCTCACGTTGCTGGGGCCTGCCAGGGATTTGCAGACATACATACACGCACGCACTGAGACAGCCAGGAACCAAAGCGAACGATGAACCTAGATCGATAGCTCCTCCCACATGATCTTTCGGATTCTCCGCTGATCTTCCCAACCCTCCCCCGCGAGACTGCACCAGAATTGCCTTGGATCTTGTGAGCTTCTGGTGCCAGTATCCTCGCCTTGGCTGTCGTCGTTGCCGTCCACTGCCACTGAAAGGTGACATCCGGAGTTCTTGAGTGATGCTGCCCTGTTGGTCTCCCAGTTGGTCTCTCGGATGCCACAGTGATCGACGCGATGCGCAGCTTTGCTCAAAGCCGGCACCCTGTATACTTCGATCACCTCGGTGTAACTAAAGCCCAGGACTCCGAGACCCAAAATCTAAAGTGCCCTGGGGGCAGGGCTGGTAACACTCGGCGAGACAGCCGGCAAAGTCGATTGCGGCCTGAGGCAGGTTCGGCATACTTGGAGGTTCAGGGGGTAGTCATAAGTAGGGTTACAAGTCCCCTGATATGGGTTATAAGTATAGTTACTCTACTTGTAACCCTACTCATAACTACCCCTGAACCTCCAAGTAGGGTTCAGGGTCCAGCATCCTTCACTCCCAGAGTTCCACATTTTTCGAGATTGTACCAACTACAATTGTGTTATCTTGTCGTCTACTATTCTGTATTATCTTATCCTCTACTATACTGTTATCTTTTCAGTCTATCTTATCTCATCCTATATCTTACTATAGTTTCATCTCTTGTCTTATACAGTCCCATGAGACTTCTCCCAGGCTCCAGACCTGGCCGAGGATGGCCTCGAGGGTCGAGGTACGGCTGAGGTGGGCCTGGCAAGCACGGCCCTGAAGATTTAGGCGGTTTAAGGCTAGGGTTTAGGGTTTAGGGTTCAGGGAGTTTAGGGCTTAGGTTTCAGGGTTTAAAGGTTCACGGATTTTGGGGGGATTTGGGTGGTTTGGGGGTTTCGGGGTTTATTGCTCACTGCTAGGATTGCTCTCCTTTTTTCCTCTCCTTACTCTGAATCTCAATGGCTTTCGTCTTACTGATTTTTGACTGGAATTGAAACACTGTTACTTGTAGCTTAATTGCAGTAGTACAATGCTTCCTCATTGTTCTCAGCATCATGGTTAACGAGTGCATCGCAAAGAAATGCTATCTTCGTCGCGGCGAAGGTTGGACAATGAGCGTTCGCTGCTGCTTCCCGGACGTTCTGGCAAAAGTTCGAGATCGCAGGCCACTATCGCCCTTCCGGCCTGGACAGTGGTGGATACGGTCGCCTGCGGGTTCCGAGCACATCTGCATGGTAGTCTGCTGCAGAAGTGCACCTCAAGCCCTGTTGTGAACTTGTGGAAAGCCTACTTTGTTTAGGGTCTTAGGGTTCTTTGAAAGCTCTTGGCCTCGCAGATTGGGGCCGGCCGTTCTCCCATGACATCGCAGAACCCGGCCTCACCGCAAGTGGATGCCACTCACATACATATATATATATATACATATACATAGATGCATATATACAGCTATACATGTACATATATATATATATATGTGTGTGTGTATGTATATATATATATATATATATATATATATGTATGTGTATATATATATATATACACACACATACATACATACATACATACATACATACATACATACATACATACATACATACATGTGTGTATATATATATATATACATGTATAAGGGTTTTTGAACCATTGGTCATACTTCTCCCAAAGTCCTTAGGGATTGGTTCCTTAGTATAACTAAGAGCAGTGCCACGGGTTGATATGCTAGTGTGGCATATTACAGCATGCTACCGTATACTTACCGTATATTGATACCTTGTAGTCTATTCCTAGTAAGGTATACGACAGCAAATGGGCAGTTGTCAAAATTACGGTCCCTTTTGGGGTACCCTAAATCATAGATACCATAGTATAATAGGACCCCAAAAGGGACCATAATTTTGACAACCAGCCATATTATAGTACCTTCTTCTGCATTTCTCACAGCAGACATCCGCCACGATTGCGGGCGATCTCTCGGAGCAGTCCTGCCTAGCTGTCATGTGTGCTTCCGTCTGGGGCCATTGTACATAATAGTCTACTGTAGTATGCTATAGCAACAAATATAATATTATGGTATATTACGATATATTATGGTATGTTATAGTGAAATATAATAGGTTCTAGTATACCATTGCATATTATGATAGGTTGTAGTATAACGTAGAATACTACAGTATGTTATTGTAGGCTATAGTATACTATAGTACAGCATTGTAGGAATATTGTGGTAAACTGCGGCAGAGCCCGGGTTCCCCCCAGTTCCTTCCTGGCCGGGTCCACAGAAGTCCAGCAGTTGGGGCAAGATGGAAGCCTGAACCCTAAACCCTACACTACACCCTACTTGGAGGTTCATGGTTAGTTATAAGTACAGTTTTACTCAGGATAACTATACTTATAACCCATAGTAACCCTACTCAGAACTACCCCGGAACCTCCAAGTAAACCCTAAGCCCTGCACCGTCTACCCGATACCGTAAACCCTCAGCAGAGTGCGGAGTGAGACCTTCCATTCTCTTCTGCCCCCTCCCCCTCCCCGCACACCCCCCCAAAAAATAGCTACCCTCTGCTTAAATCTTACTCTCACTTCTTGTAGTATATCAATTATAGCATATATTAAAGTATATACGATAGTATACAGTAGTATATTCTAGTATATTGTAGCATCTTCTAGTATATTTTAGTATACCATAATGCATATTATCGTACATCCTAGTATATTTTAGTATTATAGTATATTATCGCTCTCCCACCCCTTCTCCTTGCCTCACCGCGGAGCCGGGCCGCGAGTCGAAGGCCGTGGAGGCAGAGGACTCCGGCCTGCGACCCCAAGCAGCGGAAGACGCAAGGCCCTGGAGTCGGAAGGGTCTGAGAGCATCAATTTTTTATATACCATCATCTACTACGATGTAGAAATGTGTATGTATGTTATATATATATACACATATATATATATGTATATATATATATATACACACATATACATATATATTTCTATTTATATTTCTATACTGTAATTTACTGTAATATTCTATGCTAAACGACATTCGGCTCACATGTTGGTCCAAGTACTGCAGGAAATTCGGCCTGACCATCTCCTCCACCTTCACGATATCGCCTGCACAGCTGGACCATGCCCTGTAAGCGCTTCCGTAACAGCCCGCACCCCACGCACCGTAATCATAGCCTTGCCTAGCCGCTTCACAGGCTCAGTCGCTGGCGGCATCTGGCGCAGATTCTACAGGGCTAACGACTGCACATGCTGCTTGCAGTCATGATCCGGCTTCCACACATCCGGAATCCATGACGTGATGTTAGCGTCCCACCTCCTCGATGTACTCCTCGATCTCACCAGCTCCGTTGTCATGAGCCATGAGCTCCCGGTGAGCTGCGTACCTCAATCATGCATCCAAGCAGAGTGGCGATGCAAGGCAGCGGAGAAATGGAAAAAATCCCGCCGTTACCAGTAGCCACTGACTCCAGCTGTATTCAGCCCAGCTTCGAGAACTTGGATTTGATGTCGCCGTCAAGGAGCCAGGTCTGGCAACGTGAACTCACGAGCACCCCTGCACTACGTCCAACTTAAGCACTCGAGTGACTCGATGTGTTGGCGAGCGACCGACTCAGACTCAAATTAGCTCGACCATGCAAATGATTACTCGTTTTTGCTGGCTTGTTTTTCTACGACATCCGTAGTGGATATGATATGATGCATCATCACCCCCTGGGGCGTCGGCACGAGGTCGTTCCTCTTGTCGCTCCCCTCCCCTCCCTATGGAACGGCTTGGGTTGAGGGGGCAGAGATAGTTCCCATCCCTGCCACCACCCAACCACAACAAAGGAAGGAGGCGACGGGCGTGAATGTCCTGATCGTGAGAGAACCACACCACTTGGAGGTTCATGGGTGGTTATAAGTACATTTATAATTCGGGTAACTATACCTATAACCCATATTAGGGGACTTCTAACCTCTACTTATAACTACCCTGAACCCTAAACCCGAAACCCTTATAGAATCCCTATAGATCCCTTTAAAGGGACCCTTAAAGGAGCCCTTATAACTACCCCTGAACCTCCAAGCAGAGCAAAGGAGCCACGCCAGAGGCAGAAAAAGGACCCCGGGCCGGGACCGGTATCACCTCTCCGCGCCTCTTGTTGCCTACTTGGAGGTTCAGGGGTAGTTATAAGGGCTCCTTTAAGGGTTCCTTTAAAGGAATCTATAGGGATTCTGTAAGGGTATAGGGTTTAGGGTTCAGGGGTAGTTATAAGTAAGCGGGTATAAGTCCCCTAATATGGGTTATAAGTATAGTTATCCTAAATATACATGTACCTATAACTAACCACGACCCTCCAAGTACTGCCGGGCATTCCAACAGTCCCGGATTTGTGCGGATCTCCTCGAGACGATCTCTTGGGCCACTGGGGCCCTTGGCTCCGTAGAGGAGGGCCGGGAAGCTCACTTCACCCGACACACTTACGACAAGGGTTTTAGGGTTTGGGTTTAAGGTTTAGGGTTCAGGGTTTGTGGTTTTAGGGTATAGGTTTTCTTTTTTGAACCCTCTTTTCCTCCTGCCCAGGGTTTAGGGTTTAAGGTTTAGGGTTCAGAGTACATCGAGGCTGAGATCAAGAGTCTTCGCCTCCCCTCTGGTAGCATAGAACATGGCCGGCGCGGCACTTCGGCGGGACGTGTCTTTTTATCCTAGGCCCACGGATGACAGTGATAGGACTCCCGATTCCTGTGTATCTGATCATCCACCTGCCCGATCCCCTAAAGTACGGAGAGTTCCCCTTTAGAAAGGAAGACCTGAACAAGTTGAAAGCTTACCAGTTTCGATGTTTGAAAACCTAAAGTCTGAATCCGCATGGAAAACACGACTTGTGCTGAGGAGAAAGTGCCCCAGGCCTGCTTGTAACTCTTCTCACCGGTGCTTTGCTCCTTGCGCTCCAAGGCATCCTGATGCTGCCTGACGGATTCAGGATTGTCACGGAAAGCCACCGTAGTGTACTATAGTATACTGTATCATATTGTACTCTGGTGTATTGTTAACTAGTCTACTACTAAAGTAGAATATATCAAGGTAGAATCAGGTAGAACTGCTGAACTCATCGATTGGGGCAGCCGCGACATGCCGCAGCACGGCCCTCTGTTTTGTAAACCGAGCAGCTCCAAGCACTCAAAGCTCTTGTGGCTTTCACAGACTAACCTCCATACCTTCGGAGTCTAAACTCTTCCTGGTTCGGAAAGAATTTCACAATTCCGGTCACGCTGACTCCTCGCTGGGTCACCGCTTCGCCGGCGGGAGCTCGACGATCTGACGCAAACCAAGAGTGCACGACTTATTGCAGGATGCACACAAGGCAGTGCGTGTACAAGCCATCTTCTGGCTACCGCTTCAACGCTCACGGTGCCACGGCTAGCGGCTAGCTGCTAGCAGAACCATAAGAACACCGAGCGCCGTCACTGCGACTAGCTGCAGAGGCGACTGCTACCACCGCAACCATAGCGAAGCACTTGTGCACGCTCCGACCTGGCTCACTCCTGGATATGCCGGCAGCCGCAGGGCATACTTCTCCACGATGGAGGGTGGAACTGGGCGGTGTGCCAACGCTGAGAAGTTTCTGATGGCAGGCATTTTGGGATACCCAGCATATTCAGGTAGCAGCAGCAGTAGCAGCAGCAGTAGCAGCAGCAGCAGCACAATGGCAGCTTTGTGGACACTACTCGAACGTGACACTGTCTCGCCGGTCTCACTCTTATCGATGAGCATCCAGCCGAAACGGCCACCCAGAAAGTGTCTGCCAGCAAAGTGTACGGCACACATCTTTGGGGCCGTCAGCGAAACGAGGACACCTGCGTGGGGCAGCAAGGCAATGGTGCATGTCGAACGAAAGTGCATGACGAGGTCGTGACATCCTTATGCTTCCCAATTTGCTAAAGGTAGCTGTGCATCGGCACCAGGCACTGCACGGCTTTTGCTGGCACGCTGAAACCGATTCCGCGAGCATTCTGCTGGCGGCTCTTGACTTTGGACGTCCTCGAACTACTATAGAAACACATGAGTGGTAAGCTGGCGAGGCAAACGCTGAACAAATGCAGCGCCCCTCACAGTTTCACCAGGAGCTCGAGAACTACGCCTAAGTCTGCGCAGCGAGGACTGCAAGAGTTGGCAAGTCTCACGAAGCTGCTCTGGGCTAGCCACCAAGAAATTTCCAGAGGCGTTGATCAAGAAGTACACGCCGCTGAGCACCTGAGAAGGCAGCATGAGACTTCCGATAAACGATCATGCAGCAATCCTGGGCATACAACATGGTAAGGCCCTCAGGCAAGATGGACAAGGCTTGGGGTGGTGATTTCGAAACTCGGCCGCACACTACGATTTCTGGCAGAAGCTTCAGGGAGTTCAGTCCAACTCCAGCATAGAAGCCGGCCAGTCGACCTCCGCACTCTTTTGCTGTAAGACGCGGCAGACGGGCATGGTCCGCTGCAGTAAGGCCGCAACGCTCGGCATACAAGCTGCGGGCACCTTCCAAGGCGTGCTCGCCAGAGCCACAGGAAAGTTTCGCACAAAAGGAAGGAGCCTGACACGGTTCAGGGCTTAGGGTTTAGGCTTTAGGGCCTTTAGGGTTTAGGGTTTAGGAGACCAGTCAGAAGCCCCAAGATTCTGCGAAGTCTCTGAACTGAGTCACCGGCACTCCCGCAGGGATGCAGGCGCATCGCAGCGTGGACCTTGCTATGCACTTCTTTTGCTGCAAAGCTTTTCGATAAGTCTGCGACCGAAATGCAAACAGATCGAATATGGCTAATACAGGGAGAAATTTACAAAGTGGTTGGGTATGCTGGAGCTCGGCAAGTTCGCAATCCATAAATGGAAGACCGAGCCATGTTGTCATCTGTTCCTTCGAAACCAACCTAGACGACTTGCAAACTGCGTCCGACATGTAGTGAGGCTGCGGGTGCGAGCAGTGGTGCTCAGATCAACGCTGCGCTCGGCTGTCGGCGCGACTTGTTCAGCTGTTCACCGGTCAGCCGACCAGGACTGCGCTCCACGGGTTCTCATGTGTTCTCATAGCGGACGAGATGGTGAACGGGCGACACAGGTTTCTGATCTTGCAGCTGTCAACGAGCAACATTGGATGCTTGGGCACATTCGCATCTCGGCACTATGTTAAAAGTTAAAACTGGAACGAACGGCTCCAGCAAATCAAGTTTGGCTAAGCCCCAGACGAGCGCATGTTTGCTGCCACCTCACAGCAAGCGAGTCTTATGCTTCTGTAGTCAAGCGCAGCATTTCTCGGTTGCAAACTCCCCATGCAAATTACTCAATCGAGGGAAGAATTTCGACTCAGGGAAGCTGCCACTTTACTTGTTGTTAGCTCGTTGGTCTCACGCACTTATGCTTGTCACTTGCAGCTCGCGCAGGCCTTCGGCGCAAAGTGTCCAGGGGATACGTGGCCTCGGATAGCCACGGCAGGCCACTGTGGATTGATCGACATATTACACATCTGAGTTGAAGCAGAAACCCAACCGTGTGCTCGGCCGTTTGGGCAACGAGGCCCGAAGCGGCACCGACCACCAAATTCCTGGCATCGAAAGGCTCTGAGATGGTGCAACCTTGATCATGTAGCCGGGTCCACCAGGGGTACAAGTGAGCTGGTGCGCCCGTCCGCACCAGCCAGAACAAATCCTCAGCAGCCGTGACCATCCGAACAGGCTGGTCTAGGGCGAGCCCGGACTGCAAAGATGTCCAAAGCAAGAGATGTAACTGACTGGCGCCTTGCACCGACACTCTTCTGCACATTTCCGTCGGCACTACTTGGAGGTTCATGGGTAGTTATAAGTACGGTAAAAAGTAGGGTAACTATACTCACCCATATTCGGGGACATATATATAATATATATATATATATATATATATATGTATGTATATGTATGTATGTATGTATATATATATATAGACATATATATATATATATATATATACCTACTTATAGCTACCCCTGAACCTCCAAGTACACCTTCGGTTCTGCCAAGGCTCCCCCGGCTGTGGTGCATTGGTATCGACGCGGGGTCGGTGACCCATGCGCTTCATCAACCACGGGGCCAGAAGATCCTGGGAGGGCCAAGAGAAGTCGCCAAAAAACACTCAAACAGAGACCCTCGGCCTTTAAACTTACCTTTGGCTAGTGGGGAATGGAGGAATGGGGTACAATTATAACTACTATTGCTACCATTCTTCCACTCCCTACTGACCAAAGGTAAGTAAAGCCCAAACCTGTTCAAGGGCGGCCCGCCCGAAAAAGCCAAGGCGGCGGCATGCAGGCCGGTTGCGATGCAGAGGAACGGGAAGGCTGTGAGGAGCCCCAGCGGCAGGCCACGGTAAAGGCTCAGCACCCCGTGCTCGCGCGCGGCTTCTCGGAAAAAGTGGAAAACACCCCGAAAGCGGCGCCTGCTGTCACTGTCTGCTGCTAAGCAAGTGTAGGCGACATCCAGAGGGTACACGAGTGTCAGCGCGCCCGCACCCGACATAAATAAGAACGAGCATCGGCGAACGTAGCCCTCAAGGCCCTGGTAGTGCCGGTCGCCACCCGGCATGACCCACATCTGAGTGGTGCGAAGAGCACTCAAGCGAGCAACTCCACCCAAGCAAGTGGCAGTTACATGCGTCGCCGATCCCCGCCAGAGCCCGCGATAGCCCTGCGTATGGACAATATCGCGGAAGTGCTGTAGAAGTCTGCCGCCTGGCTCCCGGAACGAGCTCTGGGTCGGCGCGACCACGACCGTCGGAGCAGTGCCCACCTGCAGACAGACCTTCACGCGCTCAATCGGTGCCGAGGCCACTTTGGACAAGACTCGAGCGGAACCGTGGGCGAAAAGGGCCGCGAAGAAGAGCCGCCTGTCTGCCGAGAGATGTCCAGGAAAGCCCTCGGACTCTGACATGCCGGCACTTTGGCCGCCGCATCGCGCACAACGACTACAGTATGGTTCACTGTTTCAAGTGGGAGTGCCAATACTATCACCAATACCAATACAAATAACATAATTATCACTTCTAATACTATTACTAATGCTTTTGCCAGTATTCTTACTAATTTTGCTATTAATATTGCTCTAACTCTAGACTGCTGTTTATCTGAGAAAAACTACAAGCTGAGAGAAGACCTTGAGCCGGCTTCTCAAAGAAAGCGGTTGTTGTTATTACTAATAATACTACTACCAACACTACTGATATTCGTAGTATGATTAGTACTACTTCTGATACTTTTACTAATAGTGTTAATATTGCTATTACGCATGTTACTACTATTGGTACTATTCTTCTGAAGAAAAGTTCAGCTGCAGTGCGAGGAAGGGCGCACTCGGCTGCAAGCAGATGCCCTCGGCAGGTGGGCCCTTCTCGACATCCCAACCGGAGGGAATGTCCACAGAGAGCACCTGATACAGAGCCCTGCTCTGGTGTGCTGCTGTGCTACAGCTGTCCACCGTCAGACAAAGCAAGAAGTTGCAAGAAGTCGTGACAACTAGTTGGGATCTGACTCATCGCTGAGCAACTGACTGGCGGAGCTCCCGGTGCTGCAAGTCTCCTGACAAGTGCGTCATTTGGGCTTGCCCGCTCCCCCCGAGGAGCAGATTCAATTCGGCTCGCTTCTTCTAGGGCCCGAAAAAGCACATAAGCAAAAATTTGGATAGGGATATCCCATATAAACCCCCTTATAATTAAGCTCAATAAGGCTGGGATATCCCTATAAAATGCCTATGCTTATGTGCTTTTGGGGTCCCTAGTCTTCGCGGCCCGCATCCAGGGCAACAGATTGTCAACGCATGTTGGGACAATAAGCCATCGCACCATCGAGGGCACAACATGCCTCAGGACATCGTCGAACGGCGCTCGGACAGCGCCGCGGAAGGAGAAGCCGAACTGACGCGTGGATGCGCTGTAGGGCTACTGTACTTGCGCTGCAGTAATCCCAAATCAATGCGTGAGATTAAGGGGCGCAACTCGCAGTCTCCCAAAGGTCAAGGAGGAAGCCTGATTAGTAATAACAACAATACCAATAATACTACTAGTAATAATACCAACAATATTACCACAAAATAGTACCAATAATGATGACAAGTATATTGCTAACCGTTTAGCAATAATAATGGTAGTAATAATTTTTTGGGCGGCCCTATGCAAAGCAGACACAAGTCAGCGTACTCACTGTGAGTAGGAAAAGAAAGCGCTAGACCTGAGGAGCTTCTTGCACGTTGGCAGCCCCACTAACTGAGACCAAGCCGGACGGTTAACAGCCAGCCTGTGAAGCAAAAGGAAGGCAAAAGGAAAACTAGGGGATAGGGAGGTCATGGCATGTGGGGTATGTGAGAGCCAGTGCCATGCTAGTTCGGCACACTGCTCGGCCCAGTGAAGTCTACGACGTCCCGGCCATATATGCCTGCCTGTACTGTACCCCCTCTATATACAAACGCCTTCGTAAAAACACAGTTTCGCTCCAGGTTGCTCGGAGTTGCTCTCAAAACGTGACCAAACAACTTTAGTTGTGCCCTGTGGATGTGGTGTGTGAGTGGGGGCTGGTCGGCAAGGGCTCTGACTCCTTCGTTGCGGATGGTCTGTGCGTGGGGGTTGTCTGTGAGAACCTTGGTGTAGTAGGTGGCTTTGATCCTTTGGATCTTGCGGAGTGACTGTGAGTGGAAGGCCTCAATCCTGTGGAGGTCTGCTGTGGTGAGCGCTGCGGACTCCATGCCATAGGCAATCATGGGGATGAAGACCGCGTTGTAGATGCGCAACTTCCACGCTACACTCAAGCCTGTGTGTCTCCAGAAGGCGTGCAGGGTGCTGAAGTGCTTCCGAGCTTTCCCCAATCTTGCGGTGATATCCGCCTTGCTGGACGAGTCCTGGCTGAGCACCACGCCGAGGTACTTGGCCTGTGTGACTTCCTTCATTGGTTCACCTGTGAGGAAGTGTATGTGATTGACGGCCAGCTGTGAGCGCAGCAATTCGCACTTTTTAAGATTCAACGAGAGGTTGCTGTAGCCAGCAACTTCTTGAATCTTGTGCAGAATCTGCTGGCCCCTTTCAGCAGTACCTGTGAAGACGGCCATGTCGTCTGCGTAAGCGAGGTCGTAGAAAGGTTGGTTCTGGCTGAAAAGCCACGGAAGCATCTGGCCGTGCTTCTGCAGCTCCGCGTCGACATCCGCCATGATCATGCTGTGAACCACCAAGAAAAGGTAGGGAGAAAGCGGACAGCCTTGGCGAATGCCCGAGCTTGCAAGGGACTGCTGGCTCTGTTGTCCTGCTGCTTTGACTGTGAAGGAGGGGTTGTTGTATATCGAGCCAATCAGATTGACAAACGACGGCGTCACCCCGTGGCGTTCAAGTGCCACCGTAACTGCTTGCGGGTGAACTTTGTCAAATGCCTGGCTCCAGTCAAGAAGCTGCACGTACAGGGTTGAGCCGCAGCGTTCGGCTCGCTCCAGAAGCCTCCTTGCCACGTGAATCGCCTGTGAGGTCGATCTGGTGGCTCTAAACCCATACTGTGTGGGTCGCAGCTTGTGATCTATCGCCTGCTCCAGGCGTTTCTGGAGAAGTCTGGCGAAGAGCTTGTAGGAGGTGCTGAGGAGGGCGATGGGGCGGTAATTGTTGGGGTCCGCCATTGTGCCGCGCTTGTGGATCTCGGCCACGACAGCTGTTGACCATTCTTCCGGTACAAGGCCTGTGAGCAGTGCGTCGTTGAAGAGGTCAAGTAGTGGCTGCCGATTGGCTGGTGTGAGCCACTTTAAAGCCTCTGCCGGAATTTGGTCAGGGCCTGGAGCTTTGTGTGAGGCCATGCCTTTAAGGGTGGCGTTGAGCTCCTCCATCGTGATGGGTTCCATGTTGACTGGACTTGCGTCTGTTAGTGGGTGGGTGGGACCTGTGTAGTCTGTGGTTGGTGGGGCCCACTGAACTTCCGACAGGTGTTTTGCAAAGGTGTCGGCCTGCTTGCTGTAGCTGGTTGGCTTGCCGTTGGAGTCGTGCAAGGTGACCGCGCGGGGCCTGTAATCCGAGCGGATGCGCTTGATCCAACGCCACTTGTCCCGAGCGTCCATTGTCTCTTCGCTCTCCTGAAGGCGATCCTTGAGCCATTGCTGCTTGTCCTTGCGGGCCTGTGAGCGGATGGTCTTGTGTAATGCGCGCTCAGTGTCCGAATCCTGGCTCTGGCGAGCGGCTGTGCGTTGTTCTATGAGCTCCCACGTCTGCTGGCTAATCCAAGGGTGCTTAGGTTTGCTGTCCTGTGTGGGGATATGCTTCTCCATGGACTGCAAAATGGAGTCCTTGATCGATTGCCATTGCTGGTCCAGCCTCTGCTGGTCGGTGTTCGACTGTGAAGGCTGGGGGGAGGCATCCTCCGCTTCGGCCTCGGGTGGGGCAGGCTCCTCGAAGGCTGGCTGATGCTGAAGGGTTTCTGTGAAGTGTTTGTTGAAAGAGAGAATGGACTCTGCGTCTGGGCGTCTGGTCGGCTTGGGGGTGGGTGTTGCTCTCTTGTGGCAAGCTGTGTGTAAGGAGAGCGTGACTCTGGTGAGAAAGTGGTTGCTGTTGAGGGCAGCGTTCGGGAGGGTGTGCACGTCAGTGACCATATTCTTCCAGGCGAACTTGGTGATGGCATGGTCCAGCTGAACCAGATCACCATTCGGACGCTGGTGTGTCATCCGGTGTTTCTCGGCTTTGTCCATCCACGTCTGAGGGAAACACAGGTCGTGACTGACCGACATCTCGAACAGCTGCGCGTGGTTGGATAAAGAATCATCCTCGCCAGCCTGTGAGGCTAAGGTCTCATCTGCCACATTCGCTCCAAAGTGGGCGTGTGGCCCGACACTGCCGCGATTGGACGAAAGTTCGTCGAGCAGCTGCGCATTGAAGTCGCCTACCAGTAAAAGGGGTTCGCTGGCGGGGTGGCTGTGAAGGATGTCCCCTAGTGACTGCCAGAAGGAATCACGGACTGGCTGCTCACGTTGGTTGTGAGGAGCGTACACCACCTGAACTGTGAGAGGGGCTTCGGCTGTGTCTATCTTGAAGGAGAGGAAACGACCGTCGGTGGCAACGATGTCCAGGATGCAAGATGTGAGCCGTGGGGAGGTGATCAAGGACACCCCCGTGAAGGTCTGTACCGGGTTGCGCTTTGCATCCAACTTGTCATCGGCGCTGTGTGTGACGGTGTACCCATCGATCATGAAGCGGTCCTGTTGTTTCACGTGGGTCTCTGTGAGGGCCAGCCAGTCTAGGCCGTGCTTCTGCATGATCTTGATCAAGGTGTGAAGCTTGCCGGCTTCCAGAAGGCCCGTGGTGTTCCAGAACCCGCCCTTCAGTTGCACTTTGGAGCGCAACTGTGTGGAGTGCCTCTGTCTGCCGTGTTCTTGAGGGCTGCGGCAGTGAGTCTTGAACCAGTGCGCTCTGGTGTGCTGCTTGTTCTGAACATCGTGGGCCTCTTCCCAGGAGTCGCGGCCGCTGCTCAGCTGAGGCTGTGAGGGGGGGGGGGGTTGGGCGGAGAGGGGAGAGAGGGGGGGAGGGTGTGCGCTGTGAGGGGGGGACCGTGGTGGAGGAGCCTTCCGTCGGGGAGGCCGGTGGGCCAAAATGGCCAATTGGTGGGGTGGCAGGCTCCGGTGTTCGAAGCCTCAAATGGTTGGGGGTGGAGCGGTTCTGCGGGGGGTGTTTCTTCACTCTCATATCTGGAGCTTTGGCCAAAAGGCGGTGGAAACGTCTGCAAGAGTGAAACTGCGGGCTTCGGCCCTTAAGGGAAGCCCTGGTGGAAACAGGCTGTAACCCGCCCGGGGTTGGGGCAGTCGGCGTGGGGCCGTATGAAGGCTTTTGGTTGTTGATCCTAGCTCTGGAGCCCAAACCACAACTAGGGGTTGGAGAGGTGGATAGAGCATGCCTCCAAGCTCTGTATTCCCGCCTGCTGCGAGATCTGGTGGTGATGCGGCGGCGTGCTCGCCGCTGCCGTGCTGTTTGTGACCTGAGGTGGCGGTGGTACTGTGCTCGGGTCTGTGAGGAGGGGGGTGTCCGGGGAGTGGTGTGGGTCTGTGGGGCACTTCGTCGCCGAAAGGCACACGGCACACTAGAACAACTCTCAGAGCAACCTGGAAAAGCGAAACTGTGAGGTAAAGATGACTAGAGTTACAATAGTGGCTCGGCGCACCCAGCTCGCCTTTAGGTGGCGTGCCAGAACGGTTCAACTTGTTTTTGCCCAGCTGTGTGGTACGGTCTGGGTCTGCTATGGTACATGAGGCAGCAGCCTGTGAAAAATGCGGTCGCACGGCTGCTGCGGAAGATTGCAAGGAAGAGAGGGCGCGCTTGCCGAACCGTCACTGTGAGCCAGTCGAGCGGCGCTTGATGCACCAGGACTCCCAAGCCTCCTGTGGGTAGTCGGTTGGGACCCCACCGTGGTTGATGTGGGCGATCTTTGCCTCTTCAACCGCTGTCTCCAGCTCTGCCTGTGAGCTGAACGGGTAGTAACTCGGCCTGGCCTTGGTCGTCTGTGGAGGAGGCATCGCGGTGCTCGGGATGCTGGCCGAGCTGATGCCACTGACCGCTGAGGCTGCATCGCTGTGAGTGCGCTTCATTTGGGAGGCCACGTCGATCATTGCCCCCACGCCTCCACTCTCAGGGTCCACTGTGAAGGCTGCCTCCTGCTCCTGGGCTGCCATCTCTTCCATGAGCTCCTCGGTGGACCGAAGGCCTGTGAAGTGGGTCCTCTCGTCGGCGTCGGCGGGGACTTGGACAAACTTCACCGGCCACGGGAACTCATACCGGAACCGGGCGATCCAGTGGTCCAGACCTTCATCCTCGCCCTCGTTGTACTCCGGAATGGCCTTGGTCAGGAACCTGCTAAGCCGCTTGGCCTCAGCATAATTGTGTGCTGTGAGGCGAGCTGCGCTGTCGAAGGCTTCCTGCTCGACAGTTGTCTGGTTGACCTGCTGTCGCAATTGGTCATACCAGATGCTTCGCCAGGTTTCCAAGAGCTTTGTGGCATGCTCCTCTGGGATGTGGATCTCGCACTCCCAGTCTGTGAGGGTACCTGTGGAGGTCGTCTGTGAAGGACCCCCGCGGCGGTACACGATTCGGCCCAGCCAAGCCTCTTTGGAGTCAACCAGGGCCAGCGTCTTCCACCTCGGAACCAATGGCTCTTTGGTGAACTTGCTGAAGGCCGCCCTGTAAGCGTTCATGAGTCCCTGGAGCGGCGAAGCAAGCCTGCGTTCAAACTGTGTGACTCCAGGGGAGAGCTTTACAGGACCGCCGCCCTTGTACTCATAGGTCTTGGCTGGCTCTTTTGACCCGGCTGCCTGTGAGGATTCCGCCGGGGTCTTCTCGGCCGTTTCTTCGGAGCCGTCCTGTGCATCTTCGGGCTCCTTGGGTTCTTCCCCTGTCCCAGGCTTTTCCTGGTGGAAGTACCAAGGGTACACCCTGTCCGATACCTCCAGGATCCTCTTCCGGACCGTGAGGGAAGGGACTGTGAGGATGGACGTGGCAGAGAGCTCCGGCTTACCGGGCGTGCCCGTATCCAGCCGAGTTGTGGCCAGGTCCCACATGCCATCGATAGTCCACAGCCCAGCTTTCGCAAGGGCCTTTTCCACTGTGAGGCGGCGGTCCGCCTCCGTCTGCCACGTCAGGAAATTTCGGCATACGATGGTGCGCTTGGCCTGCTCGATCTGTGAAAAGAGCATGTCCTTCTCAGCCCATGCGGTGCGGATGCGAAGGGCCCGGACCTGCTGCTCCAAGTTGCCCACTCGCTCGTTCGTCCTCACCTGTGAGGTGGACAGGGACGAGTATACTGCTCCGAGAGCTGGGGCGACCTTCTGCTGCATCGCCATCTGCACTAACTCCATGCACTGCCCGACTGTTGCCGGGGCGTTGAGGTCTACCCCCTGGGCTAGCGGAACTGTGAAGGACTGTGGCTGCAGCTGAGTCGGAATTAGCACAGCAGCCGAAGACTGTGGGGCATCCATGCGGGCTTCCATCTGACTCATGCGTTCAGTAAGGTCTTGATGCTGCTCTTCACGCCGTGCTCCTTGCAGCTTCACTTGTTCTAGCTGAGCAGCCACTTCTGCCAGCAAGGTGGACATTTTGTCCAGCTGGTCTCCCTGACCCGACATGGCTTCAAGGAAAGAGGAGGGAGTGACCTGTGAAGCTTGAACCGCTCGTGAGCTTTGGTAGTAATAATAGTAAGAATAATACCAATGCTGGCTGCACGATGGCATCGACCACGCAGCAGTAGCCCTCCAGGGACTCCGGGAGGATCGTATCCACAGGCACCTGCCAGGATCTAATCACTCCCGACACAGTGAAAGCCAGCCAAGTCTGCAGCTGGGCTTAGGGATTGGGGTCTAGGGTTCAGGGATCAAGGTTAAGGGATTAGGGTTTAGGGATTGGGGTGTTGGCTTTAGGGATCAAGGTTTAGGGACTAGGGTTTAGGGATTGGGGTGTAGGGTTTAGGGATCAAGGTTTAGGGATTAGGGTGTAGGGATTGGGGTTTAGGGTTTAGGGATCAAGGTTTAGGGATTAGGGTGTAGGGATTGGGGTTTAGGGTTTAGGGATCAAGGTTTAGGGATTAGGGTTTAGGGATTGGGGTTTAGGGTTTAGGGATCAAGGTTTAGGGATTAGGGTGTAGGGATTGGGGTTTAGGGTTTAGGTATCAAGGTTTAGGGACTAGGGTTTAGGGATTGGGGTTTAGGGTTTAGGGATCAAGGTTTAGGGATTAGGGTTTAGGGATTGGGGTTTGGGGTTTAGGGTTTGCCAAATGCTTGCAATTCCGAACACGCATGCACAGGGAATGCCCGCAAGCATGAGCCACCGACAGCTGCGACAGCTGTGTCACCAGATTGACCTTGCCGGTTCGCTCCGCTCTTCAGGGTTACGCGCATCCCCTCTCGGTTGTGTGTGTTTGGCGGTTTCTGCCTCAATCGGGCGACAACACAGAAAGCCAATGCAAAACCTCCACGACATCCTGCAAAAACAGTCGAAGACCCGTCTCCATTTTGCTTCCCCACGGTTTTCCGTGGGCACATAATAGGAGAAGAGCAGATCCGGGTCTGTCATAGGGCTCACCGAATACTTTATTATTATTCACAATCATCACCATCCTTCTTTTCATAATAATCAGAAGAATAATGATCGGAAGAAGAACAAGAAGAAGAAGAGCAAGAAGCCTTCAATTATGAAGATACCGAGCACCGGACAAAGAGCTGCTCCTTCTGATTCGGCTTGGGGTAAACCACGCGAGGCCTATAGCCTCAGGGGGGCGACTCTGGCGGAAGAGGGTGAAGCCAAAATCCTAAACCCCAAAACCTAAACCCCAGACCCTAAACTCTAAGCCCTAAACTCTAAACCGCCCTAAACCCTTAATCCTGAACCCTAACAAGACTTTGGAGCTCCAGATTCTCACAGACAGAATCCTGCTTATTGGACCTGGCCCTTTTGCGACGAAATGCTGCAATGCTGGGCTCTTGTCAAGGCGTTTAAATGAAACACCCATGATCAAGATAGTGAATATATATATATATATATATATATGTATATGTATATATATATATATATATATGTATATATATATATATATATATATATATGAGAGAGAGAGAGAGAGAGAGAGAGAGAGAGAGAGAGAGAGAGAGAGAGAGAGAGAGAGAGAGAGAGAGAGAGAGAGAGAGAGAGAGAGAGAGAGATGGCTTCCTTAATAAGGTAACTTTATTATTATTATCTAATTCCCTAAACAAGAACCCAGGATGGCCAGAAAAATGCGTTTTCACTGCTGCGCTGAGCGCTCAGCCGAAGTGGTGGAGATGCCTTGCAGCTACCAAACCATCCTTGGAGGTGCAGAAAAGTGCTAGAAGGATCCGTCGGCCAGCCGGTTGAAAGGGCAGTTGACAAATTGAACAGAGTTCGGCTTGCTGCCTTGAACTGCCCCGGCTGGCATGTGGTTTGATCTTGCTGAGGCCAAGCTGCAATATCTTGTTTCTGTCAAGTGGCTCCACCGTTGTTGCCCGGGCCGCAAACCAGCAACACCTGGGGCTTGTCCGGGTACCTGCAGACCAATCTCATCCGATTCGTCAAGCGCCGTGTCTGGCAGCAGCAAGGGGTGCAGTCCGTTGATCTGGCCGGTTGTCGTTACGGCGTGCAGGAGATGATCAAGACGAGGGTGAGAGCGGCGCTGCCGACAGTGATCGACGACGATGATGGCGATGACGACAATAAGACAGGTGATGCAGCTGATGATGGGGCAGTGAGGAGGAGGAGGAGGAGGAGGAGGAGGAGGAGGAGGAGGAGGATGTGGCGACAGTGGTGGTCGGTGTTGTGATCGGGGTGTTTCCATGTGTTCTCCTACCGATGAATGAAGTGCAGCATGGCGCACTTCTCAAGGGGAAAGGCGGCGGCCACCGCGCAGGCGACAGAAAGTCCTCTCAAAAGGCCGTCACGCTTGCTCCCTGGTGCTTGGTAGGGAATGGGGGAATGGATCCGTGTAGTCGTCCCTATACAATCCCCTATAATCGTCCCCATAATCCATTCCCCCATTCCCTGCAAAGAACCAGACGGAAGAGGAAAGATCTGCGGAACTTGCAACCTGCTTTTCCAATGGGACAGCCTTTTCTGCAACCCGCAACATCAAGCCGGAAATGCATGCGTCATGACACAGCTTGTGCCTTGCCTGCCCCGTTTGCCTAGCAAATGCGAGTTCTCCTTTCTCGAGCACACGTTCTTTTGCTGAGAATGCAGTCGCGGCTGCATCTGGGCTGCGACGGCCAGCGACTTCCAAATCCGTTGCTCTGCTCTAGCGATTGCCGAATAGAATCTGCGGCGAAAATATTCGCCAGATCGAGCCATTCCGCAGAAGCCACGTGTACAGGCCTTGAGCCCTGCCAGACAAAGCGCTCATCCGAGAGGGTGGCTCGTCTCAACTCCAGCAATGGAAGGGGTCTGAGAGCCAAGGTTTGAGCCCAAGACAGGGCTTGGCTGGTCTCCACTGCCTGGCAGAGGGCCTTACGCTGGCGGAAGGAGCCCAAACCAAGGTTTCCGCGGCTCTCTAGAAAAACCTCGAGGCCCTGTTGCCAGGCCCAGCTCCGCTTGCAGACGTCCAACAAAGAGTTCAGCATCTCCTTGCTTGGAAAAACGCCCATCGAATGCATCTCCGAGAGGACTTCAAAAGCTGTCTCCCATGACTGGCTCACAGCACAAGCCGCGACAGCGGCACCGTAGGTCACCAAAGTGCGATCACAGCCAAAGTGTGAAAAGCGGCTCAACAAGAGCAGCGTCGCCTGCCACTGCTGCCCCTTCTCACAGGCACTCATCGCGACATTTAGGGAGGAAGAACGGACCTGTAAATCTCTAGAAAGGATTTCCAGCAAGCAAAGAGCCTGCTCCCATAAACCTCGCCGCTCGCAGGCATGAATAGCTGCATTGTAGCTTATCACATTCGGGGCTGGAGTACGCACAGTACGGCCCACATCTGCAGCCCCCCGCAAGTAAGTAAGCAGCCAGAGAGACCACTGCCACCGCGAGGCCCGCGCGCAGGTTGTGATTGCAGAGTTGTAAACGGCTGCATCCAGAAAAGATGTTAGCAATGTTGGCGTTGCAGCTTCCAAGTTGCTGCCCTCCAGCTCTGCATCGCGAAGCAGGGCCAGAGAGTCTTGCCAAAGATGACGAGAAGCCAAAACACTCATCAGCGCTGAATAGATCCCGGGACTTCTGGCGATCTTGGCCGCGGGCAAGCCTTAGTCACCAGGGTTCGAGGCCTTCAGATTCAAGTCAAGTCTAGGACTCTAAGAGTCTCACGGACCCTCTCATTTTGGGGCTGCACGACTTGAACTATTTTGGTAGGACTCGCAACACCCTGGCCTCCAAAGATCACCAAAGCGACTCGCCACTGTGAGCCACACCGCAGCGACGACAGGAGCCGTGATGCCTGGGCCTGCGAGAGGCTTCACAACGCACCAGCTCGATGTTTCGGAACGAAACCTCACACACCCAAGACCTCCCGAGAGGAGCCCAGCGAGATCTCAAATCGCAGCCAGAGCTACTCGAAAAAAAAGGCTGTGGAATGATCTCAAGCTTCCTTGGCAAACGACAATTTCGTGGCACACCACTAGTCACAAAAATTCTTCAAAAACCCTGCTCTGATCGTTAAGGCCCTCGTACAGCTGAGAATGAACCCTGTCGAAACTACCAGGACTCGCACCTTCAGCCCGAGGTCGAGACTTTCAATGTGGACACACATCCCGAGCGGACCAGGCTACTGTCACGCTGCAGCTAAGCAGTCTCCCAGTTGCTGCCTTGCCGTTACAGTAGGACTTGCTGGATTGAAGTCTAGAATCTCACAGCGTTTTAAGTCGAGGATGGCCTGAATGAGCCTCAGCGGTTCTCCACAAGCTGATGCATCTCTCAATGCATGGACCTGAGGTGCAAGCAAGGAGAAACCAGTTTCAACTCTCAAGGTGCGGATTTTCGATTCAAGTCGTGTTCTTTCTTCTCCCACCGCAGCCGTGTCCTCCTTTGCTGTCGAGTTCACCGTAAAATCCAGGTGTTGGCATTCCCCAACATGATGAATAGAGCTCCCGCCACAGTCACATGCGTATGTTGACGTGTTTTTCAGGGGAGGTAGCGCTGCTCGGCGCTCTTTCACTGTTTGTGGTTGACGCTGGCGTTACTGTTGTTGCCACTGCAACACCCATAATGCAAAGCCGGATTTAACAAAGCACAAGCAGCTGCAGAGCAACAAAAATCATGTGTACCATCGCAGCAACAGGTTCGCACACGATATGCAAGCATCTTGATTGCATCAAGACGAGTCCAATTGTTGCAAAGTTGTATGTCAAGATCATAAGTGTCTGCTGCTGCAAGAACTCAAGTTTCTGCAAATTGGTGGATACCCATAAAATACAAGTGGTACATTCGCAGAAACCACCCCAAAAAGAAAAACTATGGCGCTGTCATGTTTTCCAGGAACGGGTACTCCGCCCACTGCCGAAGCTACAGCTCCGGGACAACTCCTGAAGACTCAGAAAGATACTATGGGACTATGGCGGCAGAACTGCAGAGTAAGTGAAAGTAAGTGGGGTCGTACCAGTAGTAGGGTTTCGAACCAGCATGCGGGTTTGGATTAGTGCTTGTAGGGGCTGCCCTGCTAAAGTAAAAACCGACAGGGGATCATCACCTCGACTAAGACTATGTTGGGTTCACGCAGCTTTCACCTACCTACTGTCAGACTTCGATGAAAGTACGCCAAACTGACTCTATGCAGTATGCAATCGAGGCGCGGCTTGCTGCCATTCCTTGCAATACCAAGTCAAAGCCAGAATTACAGGGCTTTAGGCTTGAACCGCAAAGGAGGATAAGTTCGATCTAAGGCGGCCCGAGCCGAGGCGCGCTTCGCTCTGCCCAGAGGCGCAGTGCACGTTCTCTGTTGCCTCGGTAGCGAAGTGGGATCCCCTGGCATCCTGCCTGCATGAGTCCACTCGGGTGATGGTCGCTGACGAACTCGAAGTGCAACGGCTCATGCTGCACGATGCAAAAGCAGCATTTTGGGACATGTAACTGCTTTCGGGGCAGGAAATTGTTCCCGTAACATTTGGCTCACCTACCTCACCTGAAAGACTTGCATGCCAGGCACCCGCATTCTCCAGCTGTTTGACGACTGAGCCGCCTCCTTGTTGACGGCATCGCCGAAGGATGGCGGCCCCGAGCATACATGGCAGCGATGCACATTCCGGAATGCCAGAGCAGTCACATTCTGTGCATCTTGCGTCGAAGCACGAGTTGAGTCGGCTCAGGCTTGATGTGGGGCGGTGCTAAATTGTGCACATGTCCCGTGCGCTCCATGTCCTGGTCTTATCGAACAAGAACATGGTCATTGTCATGATTCCCTCAGTCCATGTCGTGGAATCGCCTCTGGAGAACAGCACAGACCGTGCACAGACGAGGAATAGAGCACCAAGACAGACTGGAGCAAGCTCTACAGCTGCCATGAGCCGGAAACCCAGACACCCTTTTTCCCAGGACTCTCTTCGTCAAACTGAGCCATTGGAGACCACCTCAGACGAAATCTTTCGTCGGGCACTGTGAGACAGGGCTCCATGCTCGGGGCCAGGCAAGCTGCACATCCGGTCCGCATACATACCATTACGAGTACTTTCCTCCTGAGGCCTCGACTTCAGCATCGTCGGGGTCGAAATCTTCCTCTACAGGGCATTAAAACCTACTGCACGTCTGCATTTTTGCTGAGAGTCATCGTGAAACGTGCCTTGCTTATCAAGCGCTGACTCACGTACGACGATGACAGCCCACGGCCTAGGTCGCTGCAGGATCCCTGGCCTCGCCGTCTGACGAGGCCTCGCTCCGTTGGGAAAGCTGGCCGTCGAGATACCCTCCTTCGAATCCCTGCAGGAAGCCAAGGCGAAGGCCGAGATGTGTCTTCATGTTCTACGCTCTACATGCTGCTGTGACATGCTCGATCAAATGCAGGCAAGGCTGTCCCGGATTCGCAGGCGACGCTCCGGACAATAGAGGAAGATGATGAAATGGCTGGCGAGCATGAGCAGCCCAGCTGAAACCTGATACGCTGCATCTTTTGAAGCGCACCTGATTTGGGGGGTCTGAGTCTAAGCTCCCTGACCTCGAACCAGAACATGCCGAGCTTGAAGGCCAAGGCCTTGGGCGTGCGTGGTCTGAGATGGGTCTTTGAGGTCGTTTGCTGAAGCTACTCTCTGAAGTAGAAGTAAACTTCAGAAGCATTGGCAGGAAGCAAAGATCTCTTGCTGCTCTGGTTGTGGCTGTGCCTCAGAATGCCGCATCCCAAGCTGAAGATAAGCCTCCGGCTGCTCCAGATGCAGTGTCCACCAGCCCGACCTTCCGGGACGGTTGATGATATACATCCTGCATTACCTTAAGGACCCTACACTATGGGAATTATGGTATATTCTTTATTATGGATAATGCAGGGTTTATATCATCAACCGGAGGATTCCATCCGTCAGATTTAAACTTCAACGTTGAAGCAGTCCCCATCGGCACAAGTCACCTTTACTTGGAGGATCATGGGACTTAGTAATTGGGGTTATAAATAGGGTAACTATAGTTATAACTACTTATAACCCCAAATAGGGTACTTATAAAAGTGGCCAGCTGCTTGGCCGACCCAGCCTTGTGGTGTTGAACTAGGAACCTCAGTGCAGGCACGAGTATCCGTAGATTGCAGTGCTACACCGCTACCATCGCCGCCGGATGTATAATCTTTGCTTTATTGCCAAGACGCTCATTCCGTGTCCCTTGTTGGTAGGCACCTTAGCGGCTTCTGGGGCCGTACACAAGCAGATCTTGCCCACATTCCGCTATGGAACACCGGAGGGAGTCTGTTGTCTCCTAAGTCCGTGGTTAATGAACGCCGCGGCGGCCTCGGGCACAACAGCTCAGGAGAGCCAAGAGCTTCTGGATTAGGTTGTAAGGCAAAAGCCACGGTTGTACGAAGCCACGATGTCTGTGACCTGATCACAGAGTTTGCTTGTGCTTCCCCGTCTCAAAACGCCGCTTCATTGAGGCCATCACGTTTGGAACAATGTAGAGGTCTCCGCAACAGATCCCAAACTGCTCTGGGTGCCTCGGTGCAATCCGCCCCCCGGTTTGAATCGGATGACGGACTGTCGCTGCCTTTGCTCACAAGCTTTAGAAGATCTCCCAACTTAATTCGGCGTGCGACTACTAGTTTCAGGGATTTGCGTCAAACACCGATGTTGCCCCAACGGTCGGCGAATGGTATTCATCAAAGTCGATGATCAAAGTCGATGATCTTGACTACTTGGCGGATCATGGGACGTAGTACGTATCGTTGTAGGTACCTTAATTGGGGCTATGAGCTATAAGTAGTTCTAAGTATAGCTACCGTAATACTAACCTTAGTTACTAAGTCCAATGATCCTTCAAGTCTCTCCAAGGCTACAGTCTGACCGCTTTCCTAAGACTCTCGGGAAGGGTTGTGATCGTTCCTTTTCGAGTTTAGTGCTTCGAAACCAACCGTAAAGCCCGCATGTTTGAGAGTCGGTGGGGCTCCCGCTGCGCCACCACACCGGTGACAACCAGCCCTGCCGCAGAATCTCGGTTCTTCCCTCCATGCACAACCTCTAAGCACCCAAAGCAGTCGACTGAGAGCTGGACCAAAAGTGCAAAAGCCCAGCAGCAAGTTGATAAGCTGTCGCAGATGCCGCTCACGCTGAGTCATCCTGGCGGAGCATCTCCACCAAACTAGACTAATACAGGCCCTACCAATACTATTCTGGGGTTGGCTGATTATAGTTATGGTATAATGGGCCCTAGCCACTGACCCATATTACGCAGATCCGGTGCAGAAACCCGGACGGAGGCTCAGGACCGGAGCATCAGAGCTATAATCGGGATGGGAACACCTCACGTTCTTCGCGACGTTGAGCGTATACCACTCCAGCACCTCAGGGAGCTCCCAAAGACAGAGACATCAGAGACCTTCTGAATCTGACGTGCAGTCGATCGGATGTTCCGTCGACGAATAGCACAGGCTCAATGCCCTTCTCTGGGCCACTGGCACAGTAGCCGCCCATGGCGAGCGTCGCAGCCTCAGCCGTTGCTACTGGTAGCCTTCGGCAAATCTGATCAACCGAAGGAAGGCTTGTCTTCGAAACCCTAAACCTCATGCCAGACGAAACCCTATGACACTCCTATGACTGATGATACAAGTCCTGCAATACCCATAACAAGGGAATGGACTGAATAGACCATAATTCCCATAGTCTAGGGTCATTACGGTAATGCAGGATTTATATCATCAACCGTATGACTCTACTCACTGACATCTGCCCTCATGGGCTCCGGACCATGGCATGGATCACAGTGCTCACTGCTTCAATTGAATCCGCCTGCGAAAGAGACTGGATTAAAGTTGAGCTACCATAATAAGGAAGCCGTATGATGATCTACGATAGATCCCTATCATGATAGCTTTGAATGCCACATTTTCTACTATAGACCCTATGGCGGTACCTTTAAGGAAAGCATACTATTTGCTATAGATCCCTAGTATGATAACTTTAATTGAGTTACTTAAGAAGAACCCAAAAGCAGCCCTCAGGAGTTGACAAGGAACAAGAAATAGTTACCTGGGTTCTTGTTAATGAACTTAGTTTAAGTTACCATAACTGTGATCTATAGCAACTAATATGGTTTCCTGGGATCTAGAGTAGAAAATATGGTATTCAAAGTTATAGGTATCTATAGTATAATATGGCTTCCTTATTGTGGTAGCTTGAATTGAACCCTGTCACAAGAACCTGCTACTTCGGGTCAGGCCGGCGCCTCCCTGAAGGGGACCACCGTAATGATGGACACCAACAACATCGAGATCGGAGGAACCTGTCAGGTTTAGGGTTTAGGGTTTAGGGGCTTGCGAGTTTAGCTGTTTAGGGGTTTAGGGTTGAGGGCCTCAGTCCAAGGAGGAGAAATCGCTTTCTGTGCCTCTTTTTCTCACTTTCCGTAATCATTTGGGTCGGCTGTTCGAGTGCCTCGTCCCTGACAAGTTCTCATCTCCCTGAGGCCCTCCTTGAAAGCTGAGAGATGTGCTTGCGAAACTTTGATCGAAGTGCTGACCATCCCTCCGCATGAAATAGTTCCCTTAAAGGAGCCTTACAAGCACGGTAAGCCACCGTGGATTCAATCTGGGAGCGGCACCAACGTCCGAAGTGTCATGACACTGCAACACCACACACTATCCTCCTGCCAGGTCGACTCTAGAGCACAAAGCAAAGCCGCATTTGTCGGGCATAGCGCAGTCAGTCATGCCTGTCCTCGGCCGGGAGGTACACGTTTTGCAGATGCCAAGGATACCAAGACATCCAGATAGCAAAAGATCCAGCGCTTGTAAATCCGTAGAAGCATTTCCCCATCGGACCTCATCTAATGGCGTGCAAACGCTCTACCATGTAGAAGAGTACCCCTGTGCTCGGCTCCTAATAATTAGTATCAGGCAGGACCTGGAGCACGATGACTGTCTGGTGGTGGACACTGCACTAACCTGGGTTCTTATTAAGGGATGCAATTTAAGTTACCAAAATGAGGAAACCACATTATTTAAATTAAACTCCTTAACCCCTAAACCCTTATAGAACCCTTAAAGGAATCCTAAATTATTGCAACTTAGATGAAATTCCTTAACAAGTAGCCAGTAACAATTCATAGCCAATTGAAGGTACGCCGAGCTCCTGGCTTTCGCGGTCCCTCACCATCTCAGAGACCGTGGATGGATAGTAGTTATGGCCTCCATATGAAAGGAAGCTACTGTTAATGATGTGTGTACAATGGTGATTACTGTGTCTGTCACAACGAACATGTTTATGACAATGTGACTCTAAGTCTACTAATGGTTATGACTACTTTTCGACTATCAGTGTTACAAAAATTACTGATAGTGTTGTTATTGGCCTTTCTGCTGGCGATAAAGTCTCCAAACCCGATTGTACGACTGACGGTGTGGACTCCAGCAGCACCATCAGTACAACCCAAGTTGGAGCAATGGTATGAAAACAAAAAAAGAATAATGACAGTAACTGTCTCTGTCTCTGAACGTAGCAGCGCAAAAACTTTGGCCCGCGCTCATGAACATCCATGCATGCGCGCCACCTACCTACCTACATACATATATACATACACACATACCTACAAAGTAATGCACGTACATAGGTACAGACATACTGTCGTACTTACTTCTTTTCTGGACATTTCTGTTGTGTTTGCTCGCCTCAGAAGGTAAGCAACAGGCAAGCCTGTTGGATACCCCCTGGAGAAACGACACAGACTCGAACGTGATGCAACAAGTTGCATGTATAGCCCTGGAAGACCAGGCTCCTTGATGAGTCTTGCGAATCCTCCCCCATTCCCACACCTGAGGCGAAGTTTTCGCCCCTGACGTTGACTTCTTTGTCTGCCCTTAGAAGCCAGGAGAAGCCACGACTTGGCTCAGGACAGAAACAGCAGAGACCTGAAGAGGCCTTCTCACCGTGGCCCAGGCAGGAAGGCCTTGCCCAATCCCATCCCACCTGCAAGAAGTCGGGCCGGCAATCTTCGAAAGAATCGCAAAGCTTTGAAGCAGAAACAGTTCTTGCAATCTGGCTAGTGGCAGAAAGTAAGGTGTTCTTGATACGACTACCGTGGCCATGTCACATGTCTTTGTCAAAGCTGCAGCCACATTCCCGATGCGACCTGCTATCACGAAGCCCAGCAGACCCAGCACCGAGCCAGCACCTTGGCTGGACTTCGACTTGGAGGTCTGATTGGAGGTGCATGGGTAGTTCTAAGTAGGGTTATAAGTCTCCTAATATGGGTTCTGAGTATAGTTACCCTACTTATAACTTATAACCCTACTTATAACTACCCATGAACCTCCAAGCGTGCGATCTTAGGCCTGCTACCTGACGATCTGAGTGCTGGACAAAGCAGGGATGCTGCTTTTACCTAGCAGATGGCGGAAACGCGCGGGCCTTCTCCATGCACTGCTCAATAACTCAGGGACAAGCCCGGGTGGTTCGGACGGCGTAATCGACTCCTAAGTGGACCCGTCGGTGGATGGAAAGTCAACTCCACTTGTCAGGGCGATAGGAACGACTGCCAAGTTTAGGGGGCATCAGCGGAGCTTCAATCTCATCTGCCATCTAAGAACGAGAACCCACACAAAAAAGACTGGATGATACCATGACGTTCCCAATTTGCGGCACGTCTCTCCAGAGACCCAGGCAAGAAATCGTCTACCAGCATGCTACAAATCAGGCCGGCGCTGAGCCGGATCTGCTCCAGATCCCTCAGCTGGGTCCAGAGAGCATCCTGGCCGCCCTACGAGCCTCCCATCCTCTGAAATGAACACTGGCAACCACTCACTTGGGGTTTAGGGTTTTAGGGTTTAGGGTCTTTTAGGGTCGTAGGGTTTAAGGTTTAGGGTTTACTCAAGCCTTCGCACTTCGGACAGGTTCCCTGCAAAACTCCGACGCACCCAACGAACCTCCGATCCGCAGCTGCCTTGCCGGCGCATCTGGCTTAGTGCCGCGCTGGCACATTGGCATGCTGCGGGTAATCTGGTTCCCCTTAATCCGCTCGGTCACGGTTGAAGTCTTGATTCCTTGCTCCAGGGTGTTGCTGGAAAGTTACATAGAATGCAAGCTTTCATACCTGAATGCCGCTGCATGCAATGTTGAATGACAAACACCTGCCCGAATGTGGCGCAGTCTTGCCTTGGACCATTTGACCATGTGAGGTTGGTGGGGTTGCTAACTATTCGTGGCTCATGCTGCTTGAGCTGAACAATCCACAGTTTCGTGCAAACTTCGCCCGGGCAGCGGAACCCCCAGAAATTTCTGCTGTCAAACAGCATACATGCATGCATGAGGTCCATGTTTAGGGTTTAGGGTTTAGGGTTTAGGGGCCAATCCCCTCCAGAGGTCCTGCCAACTCCATCAACTGATCCACGCTGAAGCCGGGGCTAGCCATGAGCTCCTGTCAGGGTGCGCATGCGCCGCTGCAGCCCCTGCAGGGCGAAAAGGGGCGGAGGCCTCATCAACTGCGATGGCCTCCTTCTGGTTTAGGAGGCGGCCGCAGGAACCCTGACAGGCAGACTATACCATGATGTACCATCATGTACTATAATATGCTATAATATACTATAATATACTATAATATGCTATAATATGCTATAGTATACTGTACTACACTATAATATACTATACGAGACTAATAGTAGACTATGAAATACTATAATATACTATCACATACTATAATATGCTATCATACACTATGATATGATTCGACTTCAAAGGTTCCGACTGGTCCGGCCTCCGGCCGCGGATCCGCCATGGGCCCAAGAACAAGCAGAACAACCAAGGCAAATAGCCCCGAACATGCAAGGGCCCACATGCTTTGAGCCAGCTCCTGCAAGACTCGACTGTTAACTCTAGGTATTTATACTCCCAGGTATGTAATCATCAGACTTTAGGATTCTAAGCCTAGCCAGTGGGTTTGGAGTTCTTTTCTGCTCTTTAGCTTCTGATGATTTAATACGGATTGTCATCATCCCTGGCTCCTTAGCTCTCCCAATATCAATGATTAGCAGCTCCTGCAAGACTCATCACACATGCTACTGTACAGGCTGAGACTAGGTGGCAGGTCTTCTTTGATGCAAATGCAATGCTTTCTGCAACAGACTGCGTTGCTCCAGCCCATCACGGGCCCTTGAACTTTCAACTGAGTCCGTCTGTCCCTGGACGGGAGCCTTGAACCTTTACCAGAAGAAGGTGTCCGCCTCCAGCGCTGGGCTTGCTCTTCGCGACGCTGGGTCTCTGCAAGCTTCTCCTGTGCAACACCTCGGAGTCATGAAGCAAGAACACGCATAATTAATGCAGTTTTAAGTTTAGCTCCGTCCGAGACATGGCTCGTTCACACCTGATTCCCCGGCCGTCAGAAAAACCCAAAAGAAACCACACGCATTCGGGTACAAACCCAGTCTACCAATCTGGGAAGGGGACGGATCCGAAGGGCCTTGACAAACTCCACCCGCTGCTCCTGCACCAAGTGCTGGTACAGCGACTGGGGCTCCGGGAAGTGTGGGAATGTGGGCACAAGGGTTATACTAGCTCGTTTAGGATGTAGGGTTTAGAGCTTCAGCAACTTGCGGGGGGGGTCATCAGAGAGTCTTCCAAGTGCATCTTTACGCCTCGACCCTTTTGATAATCTTTGCAGTAGCCTTGATGACTCATAACCCTTGCAATCCATAGCTTCAGAATAACCTTACATTAACCCGCATGATTCATAGCTCATGACCCTTATTGTAACCCTTGTCATTCATACCCTGTAAACCATACAGTAAGTAACTAGTAACCCTGGTAATCCATGAAAACCTCGAAACCTTGATAGCAACCCCTAAACCCCTGGACCCCAAACCCAAAGCCATTAACCCTCAAGCCAGCCTAAAACCCCACACCCCACACCCCGAAACCCTAAACCCCTAAAACCACCCTTAAACCCCTGAACCCCCAAACCCTAAAACCCTGAACCCCGAAACCCTAAAACCCTCCGAAACCCTAAAACCCTGAACCCCCAAACCCTAAAACCCTGAACCCCTAAACCCTAAAACCCTGAACCCCTAAACCCTAAAACCCTGAACCCCTAAACCCTAAAACCCTGAACCCCTAAACCCTAAATAACCCCTAAGCCATGAACGGAGGGTCTCCTGCGTCTTCTCCGGCTCTTTTGGCTCTGGCTCGAGACGGGTGGAGTTCGCGGAGTTCAGGCTCAGTTCCTGCATGCAACCAGCCAGAGCCCTGTTAAGATTTAGGGTTTAGGGTGTCGGGTTTAGGGGTTTAGGGGTTTAGGATCTAGGATTTAGGGTATAGAGTTCAAGGTTTCGGGTTATGGGGCTTATGGCTTAGTGTGTTGGTTGCGGGTTTTGGAGGCCGAATTCGGGAAGCAGGAGCTGTTCTTGAAGGAGCCCTGGATGGAACACGTATAATTTGAAGAACCCTCCAAGGAAGCCTTACAGGAACCGTCGGATGAAGCTTCAAGGAACCCTACCTGAGGAAGCTGGTACCAGTGGCAAGCAGTACGATGGCTAGGCTGACGGTCGCGTCTCGGAGCTGTCCTTGGCCAAACGCTTGGCGCCCAAAGTCGGCGTAGGCCTGGTTTAGGGTTTAGGGTCTAGGGTTTAGGGTTTAGAGTTTAGGTTTTAGGGTTTAGGGTTTGCGCATGCGTTGACATGCCTCTGGCTCTCCATCCTTCGCAAGAGGGCATGTACTGGGAGTTTCCGAAAATGGGGGACCCTAGTGCAGTACCCTAAATTGCAGGTTCCTTCTTATCAAGACCCCAAAGTAAGTTCCCTTTATGTTCGAAAACCCTAAGCCCTTGAAGATGCCGTATAGTACCCTCATAGGAACCCTAAGGTACCCCTTATTTTCGGAAACTCCTTACTATGCAAGAAGCACTCACCAGGTCTCTCTGGTCGAGGTCGCGCCGCACTAAGGCTCTGGCCTCATGTGGCCTCTTCCCATCCTTTTAAGGGTAGGGCTTTAGGCTTTAGGGCTTTATAAATCCTTTAATTAAGGAATATCGCTTAAACCATATTAGGGATCCTACTATAATTGAAGGTATATTCATTAAATCATATCAGGAATCCTACTATAACTTGAGGTAAGGGATCCTACTATCACTCATTTAGGGATATTGGAGTCTGGGCTGTGGGAGCTCCAGGGATCTCTGAAACAACGACGCCCGAGCCTTCCACCGGATGATGGCGATGAGTAGATGGGCTTCGGGCGGAAGCCGTCCTCCAGAATTCAGACGCTTGAAAGCTGCACGTGCCTGAAACTTGCATACTGCGATCTACAAGCCATGTCAGAGCAACACTATAATGTACTAGAAGCCACTAGAACAAACTACAATATACTGTACTATACCATAAAGTACTATAATATGCAATAACATACTATACTTATTTGAGGCGGCCTGCTCTCCGCTGTTCGGCATGTACGGAGGCCTTGGTTGGCGAGAAGGCAGGACTTGAGCTCAGTCCTCAAGACGCCTGATCTTTACGGACGACCTCAAACAAGTATAGTATAGCATAGTACATCATAATATACTATAGCATATTGTAGTACTGTTGTATCTTCAAGTAATTGCTTGTATTGTATAGTAGTCTTTGTATTACAGTATAGTGCTGCTTTCCTGGTTTGGCCCAGGCCCGCCGCACATAGCGATCAATCAAGCCGAGTCACGCAAAGGCACCCCTGGGCAAACGGGGAGTGACTCTAGCCGATACTACAAGAACCGCGACTCTCAGAAGCCGGAAAGAAGTTACAAATTTCACTGCCCAGTCGCAAAACTGGTCAACTCAAACAGCAGACCCGGGTCAAACGCCCGATGAAAACCCGACCGAGACCCAAAAGTCAAAAGCCCTATGTAAAACTCCGAGTGCAACGGTCCCGAAACCCTGTCTGAGCGTGGCACATGGAGGCATTTGGTAGGTGCCTCACCTCCGAAGCGCTGGTAGGGCGCGGCCTGCTCAGGACAAAGTTAAGCCAAGGGGTTGAAGCTTGATGCCCTCGTGGGTTGGGCCTTTGAAGTTTAGGGGTTCCAAACGCAATCCTTGATTGAAACTTGAAAATGTAGCAGTCACAAAATAAACAAGCTTGCTTGAAAAGTAATCCGGAGATCCTAGGCCGCAGCCTTCAAGACAAGGCTTGAGGCTACAGGCCTTTTTGTGGCTGCGCTGAAACTTCATGCAGTTGCACTGAAGCAGCTTAAACACTAAACCCTAAGCCGTTCGAAGCGGGAACCCTTGCACTGCCAAGTGCGAAGCAGTGTGCAGAGGCCTTCTGCGACTGACTTCGCCAAGAGCCTGCCGAGGAGAAAAAATTACATCACAAGTATCATACGGTATATTTTAAAGACTTTAGATTTCAAAGTATATAGTGCACTAATCCTTTTCGAAAGCCCGGCGCTCGATGCAGCTCCCCGCAGCTTCAACGAACGCGTATCATACAGCATGCACAGCTCGCGCACCATAGTAAGCTATAGTATATGGGTAGTTGTGAAATCAGGGTATATCAGGGTCCCTTTTCGGTTACCCTAAATGGTAGTTGCCGCAATAGAACAAGGACCCAAGAAACCCCTAGTGTTGACAATCACCCCCGATGTGGTGTATAAGAAGTAACAATAGTAGATATAGTAGATAAGCTGGAGCACCTCATTTGTCCGCCTGGCAGAAATGAGCTTTTCCCGAGCTGGAGCGACCTCCCAGAGTTAGAAAACGCCGTCATTTTGGAGTCTTTTTTGGGGCGGGCACCTTTTTCCACCTAGCAGCTACGGGTCGACAGAAGAATCCACACTGTGGAAGGCATGTAACCACAAAACCGCAGCCCCCTCAGGTTAGGGTTTAGGGTTTGGGGTATAGGGTTTAGGGAGGTTGGGAAAAGGTGATGCCTTCTTCCTTTGACTTCGGGTTTCTTACTAGTCAGGCTCTCCACTGACGTCGCTCATGCATTTCCCTGTCGCTCTCCATGAACTGCACACACCTCAGCTTCCGTAGTTCCAATCTGGGAGCTTCCGAAAATGGGGGAGCCTAATATAGTACCCTGAATAGTAGTCTCCGAATTACAAGGACCCCAAAATAAGGTACCCCCATTTTCCGGTAGTTCCCATCTCAGTCCCAAGACCTCGTCTCTGACGTAGATCAGCCTCTGGATTGCCTGCCAGTCTCAGTCACACGGCAACCTCCCAGATGTCGAGAAGCTTTGTCTCCACTGTCCACTGGCTTGTTTACGTGATGAGCCCAAGAACTTCCGAGATGTCCGTTGAAGATGCAACAGACACTCCCCAAATCCAGCCTGTGCAGCCTCGACGTGCGGGGTCTGAATGGTCTGCCGAGGCGCGTCGACTCGCTTGACATCACCGAGCCAGCTCACCACTTGTCATGTAAGTACAAAGCTTTCAACCGTGTCACCTTGAGAAACGCAGACTCCGGCCATGCGACATCCAGGTCAAACCCTAACCAAACCTGCGGAGACCAACTCTGCCCTGCCTCTGGAGTCCGTGGAGAACTTTGAGGCGATGGGAACGGCTCCTGCCCGGATCTCATCAAAACTCAGACAGACTCATACAGTTATACAGCATGTGATTAGCATTGCTACTCCAACTCTTGCTATTACTCATCAATATTTGTTCCCCTTCTTAGTATCTCCCAAAGCGGTACATTATATGCTACATCGTGTTCGTCATGTTTAGGAGTTAACGGCACTTCACCATTCAACGCCCCTCCTCGCGAGCCCAGCGCACCGAGGCCCTAGGCACAAGCTCGGTGTTTTCGCTGTTGAAGCAGCGGCTTAGGGTTTAGGGTTTAGGGTTAGGGGTTTGGGGTTTTAGGGTTTAGGGTTTAGGGTTTAGGGTGTAGGGTTTAGGGTTTAAGAGCCAAGGCCCTTCCTGAAACTTCGTTAATTAGATGTTACCCCTTCTGTGCGTCGCTTGGAGGGCGGGGCATCCGACAGACGTTGCCGTTGAGCCCTGTCTGAGGCCTTGGCTCCATGGGAGGCAGGTGAAACTGCGACTGCTATTTCACAGTCATGCGATGGAGTTCCCGTTGCAAATACTACAGAACGACGTGGCTTGATAGGAAAGAGCCTAGGTTTGCTGCACGGATAGGGGAGAACATCCGCTGTCTAGCCTTCTTCTCCAAATCCACTCAGTTCCCTTTTTGAGCACAACAAGCACGGAACAAACCTCGCGCTGATAGCCATGTTGGGTCAATGACCGATCTGTTCGACATGGACGCATGAGGTCTGCACAACTTCTGCTGAGCTTGTGCAACACACGAAAAGAAATCGCTCGCGTGCGGCTGCTTCGGGCAAAGGCAATGGACTTTTTTGTGGGGGGCGCGCGCTGTGCCGATCTTGACCGTGGAGATTGAAGCCCTTTCGTGATCTTCCCTTGCATTTATAGGAAAATCGGCAAGGACCCTGTCGCCGCACAGGTCGTGATCTGGCCGTAGTGGTTGCAGATCCGTGCAGAAGATACCCTGTGCATTCACAGAAGCTGGCAACGTCATGCCGATGGTGATTCTTGATGCCGATGTTCCCCTCTGCGATTTTGCCCAGGCACTTCTCTGCCAGTCGTCTGGAACAGGAGGCCCCAACCCACTCCAGCCCTGTCTAGGCCTAGGGCGGGATGACCTCAGGCGTGACCACGCGAGCAGCTGAAACACCAAGCCAATAAATGCAGAAACAGATGGCCGAATGACACACATGCGTGAAGGCACTGAGACTGAACACGTGTGCTTGTCAGCCGCCACATGCAGGGCATGAGAGTCCCAGGGCGAAAGTCTAAGGCTGCCGCAACCACATCCACTGCCACTGGCCGACCGTCCTTGCCGGGCTCCTCGCAGGATCCCTCGTTGTCGTTGCCAGCAGATCACAGGTGACTTCGGACTTCGGTCCGGCTGCAACTCGAACTCGACTCGCTCCCCTTCCTTCAAGGCCACTCGCCTCGGCGGGGGAACTCGGCTCAGCACGTGATGAGATTTCTTGATTGCAGGCCTCCCCTGCTCATCTCGGCGAACATTCCTACCAAAACAAGGGGTTCACGGCGGTTTCAGCTTCACGACAACTCTTGATGCGCTGCACTGGACATTGCCCGCCTCTTGTGCACGAAAATGTCCGGACCACCGGCATCGGGAGCGATGAAGCCGTAGCTCTGCCAAGGTGTCGCTCGGCAACGAACTTGATAATCGCTTTTCATGTTCAGCGGACCTTGCCATTGCCGAACATGATCACAGTGCCTCGACCTCAGACGGGTGTCGCTGGCTCTCAGGGCCCTTGCCCCTTGCCGGTGCGGCCGAGACAACAACGAGGGTCGCAGAGCAATCTTGACAAGCGGAGCATCGCAAGAACGCGGCTCCATCGACAGCGAATGCCCTACGCTTCAAGTCGAAATCGCGATGCAACAGAAACCTTGGCATCCAAGTACAGAAACCGCCCTCTGCATGTTTTCTGGAGACCTTTGTTAAGCACAAACCCGTACACATACTGCGTCGACCTGCGAGGCAGCATAAAAGCTCGTGCGGGTAAGATCTGATTCTGCGTCCCTGGCACAACAGCTGTAAAGAACAACCAAGCAAGAAAGTTCCTCTTTGCAGCACGAAGACTGCCACCAGTCGATTGTGCTAACGTTGGTGAGACGATCAGGCACTCTAGTTTTCAGAGCACCATGATGGCTCCACGCGGATGGAGAAGGGGTAGAGGGCTATGCAGCAACATGCTCACACACAGGTGCGGACAGATCTGCTATGTACTCCCTCCACCATCCATGCGAAGAAGGTATTAGCATTTCAACAGGCTAGGGTTGGGATCAGGCTAGTGGCCCTTCGTAGCGCTTCTGTTCATGGATTTGCGGTTCTGACTTGTCAGGAGGTGCCAGCCTGTATTGAGAAACTAGACTTGGCTCCGCGACCACTCCTATCTCAGCGCTTCGACGGCCTGCGCGCGTGGCCTGAAACAGACTTGCGCCATCGAGAAAAGGAGTGGCCCACTGCATGTCAGCAACCAGAACCATCTACCGAAATGCCCTGAAGTAACGAACTCCTGGCTGAGACTTAACTCTAAACCCTAAACCCTTTATAGAACCCTTCTAGATCCCTTTAAGGAACCCTTTAAGGATCCTTTTGAAGTCACCAGTGCCCGGTGCCCATGGCCTTGCTGGTAGCGCAGCAATTGCCCGATGCAGCGACTGAGCAGTGGTGTCACTCCCGGGTCCTGCTTAACCTGTTCGCATCACCTTCATTGCATCATGTTCGGGAAACGCGGTACACACCTGGACCCACAACTTGCCGCTTCGTTAACTGCACGCGAATCAAACACAGAGTGATGAGGAACTTGCAGGTAATTATAAGCGCAAGTCAGGCTTGCTTCGAAGTCCTACACCGTCGGAACCGACGACCACCACAAATGCTCTGCCCATATGTGCCTTTTTCGCAGAAGGCGGCACCACAGCGGCGTACTTCAGCGCCTTCACGCGGTCCTCGACAACAAGCCAGTTTGCCATCTAGGGTACAAAAGGCAGAAACGTCAAAGAAACCTGTGGTCTGAAACTTTGGCCACTTCAGCTCCGAGCTTCGTGCACCTAAGGCCTACGAGTCTGCCCGTTTTGATGAAAGCCCTATAAGTATGGTAACTTTACTTATAACCCATATTAAGGGACTTATAACTAGACTTATAACTACCCATGAACTGATTTGGTTTCATCATGGCTCCTCCTTGGTGCAGCTCGGTGGGGGGCCCTTCAGGACGAAGGGAACCAGCGGGGTAGCTGCAGGAACCTGGGCCAAACTTGCAGGTCTCTGTCTGCAGCCCGTCCATGCACATAGTAAATTATAGCGTAGTATACTATATCATAGTACATGAAATTATATTACATCATATTATGTATCTCAGATCTCTCACGCAATTTTCCTCAACGGTGCGCGGGAAAAGGCTACACGTCCTACACGTCTATCCTGAGAGGACCTCTCTTCGTTCCATGCCTCCGACACTGAAGCGAGGCTGTGCGATCCTACTCCGGTCTAGGATTGCCGCAGTGGGCCCAGAAGCATTTTGCTCCGATGTCAACTTTGCAAGAGCACCCTGGTAGCACTCGGACCTGCGGGTGAAACCCACCGGAGTGACGGGACACCATAACTCGCACATACACGCTACTAGCAGCAACTCCGAAGAATGAGGGATACTTTAGGGTGACTCAGCAAAGTCGGACTGGTGTGGCAGATCGCCAAGAAACAATTGAGGGCATCTTCTGTGCCCTGCTCCATGCGAGAAGCAAGTGCATGGACGCTTTTCTGCGACACAGCAGGAGTCTGGCGGACGGGGCATTCCTATAACATCAGTAGCCAAAGGCAAACACAGAAGTATCCAACAACTCTTGACACCATATTCATCTTGCTCAGTTCCCGTTTTCTTGCCGGAAACTTTTCAGGTCCGCTTCCCACCAGAGCTTTCAAAAGCGCAAGAGTTCTCGGGGCCTGGGAGGCTCAGCCAAACCAGCTGCTGGCCTTGGCAATGGCTATCGGGCTTTGGGTCAGTGCAAGTGGCACAACCATTAGTATCCCTGTCTTGATATTTGCATGAGACGATTTATTAGTTTCAGTTTGGGTCTTCGTATTGGTATTAGCAATTAGTATTCATCATTAACTTAGTGCATAAAACACGTTGTGAGGAGCCTTGCCTTGGCGACGATCTCGTTGACGGCTTTCTGCATTTCTTTGGCTTTGGAGGTCCCGGCGACACGAGCTCCCGTGGCATCCATGTCCCAGCCCTGACAGGGGAAAGGCTGGGGTCAGTCTGCCCCAGACTTTCGATGCAGTCTCGTGGTTTGGAAGGCGGTGCCTAGCACTCTAAACCCTAAACCCTAAACCCTAAACCCTAAACCCTAAATTCATATGCTGGTAGCATGCAAACGGCCCTCTGCGCCTCCAGAACCAGCGGAGATTGATGAACGATGCGATGCATCTCGGAAACTACCTTCCGAGATGTGCAGAACTACACATCCGCGACACTAAACCAACCCAGACCTGCAACTTAGCACCATATGATACCATATGAACAAACTTGTCTTGACAGAGCCTCCCAGGCCTCACTGCGACAGCGAGCTGCTACAAGAAAGGCCCTAAAGGGCGCTTGAGCCGGCCTTGCCCTGATACTCGACGGTCCAATTGACCTGCCGCAGGATTGCGATGGCTCGAGCCCGAAGTGTTTGCAGAGCACTTGTCTTTGGCCTTCTTGTCGGACTTCGATGAGACGATCTTGTGAGTCGTAACCTCCCGAAACGCAGCAAGTCGGAGGATACCAAGTGACACGCTTGCACTGCTTGCTAGACGCTGGTGATGTGCTGATGAGTCATGAAACAAAGTCCTCATGGCAACAAGTGCAAAGCTGTAACAAAACACTTGAGGACTCAAAAAAAGCTGCAAGCATGTCAGCTGCGGTGCGCCCATACTGGCTGACATAGCTCATAGAAATGGCGGCCAGATGAACGTCAGGCTAACAAGATGATGCCTTTGTGCAGCTCATATGGAGCTGCCCCGATCACCAGAGCAACCACTAGCTCACTAGCACTAGCCGCTAGCCCCCTCACTTTCGAGGCAACCTGAAGTATTTCTGAAAGGCGTGGACCTCGGACGGGTTGGCGGGGTCCAGAACAACCGTGCCCTTGAACCTTAGGGAAGAACGCTACACAATGCAGTCGAACACACCTGCTTGGAATAGTGAAAAAATCGGCTGTGCTTCCATGTCGTTCCAAGGAGCTCGTCGGGGGATATGTCTTCGCACTGAGCTCCAGGCATCTGAGCCAGTGGATGAGTCAGTGAAACAGCACACATGCGAAACACTCTGAAAAGCAGGCCTCTAGTTTCCCTAGGCTCTAGTATACCTCAGCTGCAGGAATTTCTTCCCTCTAATCTTCGACCAGGTGTCGCCAACCTGAAGTGTGAACAACACATGCCTAGAAATCTCATGAAGACAAACAGCCAGGGCATGCAAAGATGGCATTGTGGTGTTCCATGCTCGGCAGCAGCAGCAACAACAACAACAACCTCACTCTGAGAGCACTTGTGTTTTCAGCACGATTGCCATCACTGTCGTTGGAATCGGATGAATCATCATCAAAAAACAGCACCATCATCGTCATCGTGACATTCATAATCCTCAAAAGTCAAAAGCACCATCATCTGCAGCTGCCGGCGGCAGCAGCACCAGCCAGAGCATCATCAGCATTATAATCAGAACAATACCAATCATCATCAGCAGCACCACCACTATCGTCATCATCCTAGCATTCCACCTGCTCTTCACCGTCACGGACATCCTCCCCACCGCAGATCAACAACTGACAGATCACTGTTTAGCTGAGGCTGTCGCATTTTTGACGAAGTCCTTGCAATACTGGAGGTGCTTGTCCCAGAATTTGTCGTATCCCACGAGATCGTCCATGGGAGATGTAATCATGCTCTCCGACTTTCCTCCATCTACGATGGAAGGCGCATTTCCGGTCACCTTTACTTTGGCAGTCTTGAATGTGATGACACCACCGATGATGGCATCCGACCATGTATACAGTCCATTCTTCATTGCATCGTCGGCCTGTCTCTTGCCTTCCTGGTCATCGAAGATGAAGTACATTTTTGGCGGGCTCCTCTCGAACTGAACGATGCACTTGTTGAGAGGAACCTTGTCCGAGGCCTCACCGACCCATGCACCCAGAGCCGCCTCTGGGACAAAATCGTTCACTGTCAGGCTGAGAGCAGCATCCTGGGCGGCATGGAAGGTTTGAAGTTTGGGACTCTGGTGCTCTCGGCCTGTCTTGAAGCAGTCGCTAATTACGCCAACTCCAGCCCAGGTTCATCCATCACCACCTTCTTCCACAACCTCACTCTGTCGGTGCCATCGCCCTTACCGTAGCCGAACTTGTCCAGTTTCTGGCCATCCAAGATCGCCTATCCATGACTTACTTATTTGCCCTCACTAGTGGCCTTGCAAGCACGAGTTTCGGCCAGAGTCAAACGGGATTTGAACCGGCCCCACATCACTCTAAACTCGATGGGGCGATCCCCAAATTTAGAGATGGGACTACTGTTGAGGCCGCATCTGGGTTCTTGCATGTCTCGCAGTGCCTTTACGACGAAAGTCTTGGAATCGACCTCGGTCAGTTCGAACTTCTTCATCAGTCCCTCGGCAATTGAGTCGACCGGGTACCTGCTGCCCAAACTATGCAAAGCCGAGTGGTTCACGACCATCGTGATGTCAACGGCAGACATTCACCACCAGACATGGCACTACGGAATCTGAAGATACGCCCGCCTCATGACAGCTTTGGCCTCCTCGTAAGCTTCTTCCGCTGTCACCGGCGTTGGCAAAGCATCTAGCGGATCAGTGGCAATGCCTGGGACATTGGAAGACTTTGACAGTCTTGGTAGGGGGCAGGAGAAGCGGCAACGCTCGTTCTGATGACTTGGGGCGCCTGGGTGACAGGCTTCACTAGGTCACTAGGACAGCTTCATCATCAGTCAGCCCGGGGGCACCGTAAACCTTTACTGACGACGTGGGGCCCCGGCCTAAAACCCTAACCCCCAGCATCGGACACTAGTGGCGGCCGCGTGGCAAAGAGTGCCCGGCTGGCTGGGGCACGCAACATTCGCGTTCAGCTCGACGGAGTGACTCGCCTGAGGTTGTGGATGCGGCCGTCGTGATATATCTTGAAGCCATGACTCTGATGCCAATCCCGCTACTATGCAAAAGTGCATCTGATACGGCTGCTGCAGCGCTGTTGCTACTGCTGCTGTCGTTACTCCTGTCTGTTGTCGTCCTCGTCGCTGCTGACGTAGCTGGTGTTGCTGCTGCTGTTGATGGTGCTGATGCTGATGACGTCGTTTTTACTGCTGCTGTTGTCGTTGCTATCGTTGTCGTCGTTGTCGTTGTCGTCGTTATTGTCGTTGAGGTTACTGTTGGCGGTGGTGGCGGTGGCATCAGCGGCGGTGGTGATGATGGTGGCGGCCGCGGTCCCTGTTGCTGCTGACGTTGTGATTCTCGTTTATGCCACCCTTAAGGTTTTGTGCCGCTGTTGCGTTGCTCTTGCTTGACTGCGTGCTGCTTTAGATGTGATGCCAGTGTGCAAGTTGTTTTTTGACTGCCCTATATTCACCACGACCCGGACGACAACTCGACCGACATATGTGTGTGTGTGTGTATATGTGCATATAAGCATATAATATACACATTTATTTATACATCTATTAATATGTGAATGTGTGGGTGAGATTGTGTGTGTGTGTATATATATATATATAGATAGATAGATAGATATATATATATACACACGATACATGCGTGCCTGAATATCTGGCATCAATTCATTTACACATCTCATCTGCTTGTGCTTGTGTATGTGTGTATTTGCGTGTTCCATGAAACCGTTCTACAATAACATGAAAAACATACACGGACATTGCATACACTCTAACTATTACATGTCGTTGAATGCCGAAGCAAGCATTGCAATAACAGAAGCTGGTGGAAGCCCCTAAACCCTGAACCCTAAACAAAGAGATGCCGAGATGCACCCATGTCGTCAGAGTCGGGGCTGACTTTCCACGGATCCAGAACAAAAAAGAGCCAACAGCTTCGGCAAGACTCCCGTCATGAATGCAAGCTCGAAGACGCTTCGGCTTAGGCTGCTTTGAGACCTCTGACAGCAGCTGCTTGAGTTGCTGATTCAATCAGAGCTTCATCCTACGGCATACGAAGTCTGCACGAAGCACCAGCCCTCCCCCTGCTTCCGAAAACTGACTCCTGACTCTCCGATGAGATACCAGGAAGGAAGACAGAAAATCCAATGGTAAAAGGAGGGACCCTTAATAAGGACCCCTAGATATATATCCTTAATATAGCTATTATATACCCATTATGTAGGGACTCCCAGCATGGCTAAGAGCAGGGCACTGAGTAAAGGTGTCTCCACTCCCAGGCTCAGGGTGTGAGCTTCGGTCTCCCGACTTCCGGCAACGCCTCCAAAAGGGTGCTTCGGGAATTGATCAAGGCTTCCTTGGACGAGATCTTTCACCGAAATTCGAAGTCGGAGTTATCAAGAAACCTGGGCTCTGGACAGCTCTTGAAGGCTGTTTGGATTCCTGAAAAAAGCTTGCCGAACCTTGGCCTACACTGGGCAAGTCGGCATCGACGTCGTCAGAACCTGGCAACGGCCGCAGACTTCCGCAACTCAGTGCAGGGATCTCGCTGAAATAGACATCGCCGACGTGTTCCACACCCCGACCTTCCAGAAGAAAATCGTGCGGAGATGAGAAGCTCGACCTAGCTGTTCTCGACTTCGGTCGGCATTCAAGCAGCACAAGAAGGCAGCATCGCAGCTCCCTTGAGGCGTGAACTCGAGAGTGGCTGCACCTTTGCCCGCGAGGATTGGGGGACCTGGCGAAAGTGAGCCAAGACAGTCATCAAGAAACACGGCTACTCCGCTACTCAGCAACTTCTGCTTCCGCTGTCTCGCCTGGCATTGCCGGCATGGAGGGTCTTGGCGGCGGTTCCCAACCATCCTGGGAAGTGACGGAGGACTCCCTGCTGAGCTTCGCGGCAAGCTCGAAGCTATACAGTCACGAAAAATTATGGCAGGTGTTCGGGTGGGAAAAGCTCGCACTTCCGGTTGACATTGAGAGGAAAACACAACTGCAAAGAATTCCATGCAGCATTCCCAGTCGTACGCTTCGTCCTTCTTCCACTTACACAGTAGAACCCCAGTATTGCTCATCGAAACAGATCCGCGGCATGAAAGAGGAACCCCTTGCTACCTGAATACGGCACCTCCTCGACGGCGCTGAGAGGACCCGGGTGGTCATTCTCCGGCGGGGCCACGTCCCTCGCTGTTGCGTAGAGCTCGACCTGCGCATAGGATGTGACTTGCTGCAGCTGTCCGCGATGCCAAGACTGCTGCTACGGCTGCTGCTGCTGGTACTGCTGCTGCTACTGCTACTGCTACTGCTACTGCTGCTCCTGCTCCTACTCCTACTCCTACTCCTACTCCTACTACTACTACTACTACTACTACTACTACTGCTACTACTGCTACTCCTCCTCCTCCTCCTGCTGCTGCTGCTCCTATCCTACTCTTACTCTTACTCCTACTCCTACTCCCACCCTACCTACTACTACCACCACCACTACTACTACTACTGCTACTACTACTACTTCTTCTACTACTACTACTACTACGACTACTACTACGTCTACGACTACGACTACGACTACTACTACTGCTGCTGCTGCTGATGCTGCTGCTGCTACTACTACTACCTTTACTACTACTACTACTACTACTACTACTACTACTACTACTACTACTACTACTACTACTACTACTACTACTACTACTACTACTACTACTACTACTACTAGTACTACTGCCACTACTATTACGTGCTATTGCGCATAGCGGTTGGCATGTTTGGGAAGGAAACACACCTCTGGCAGCTGGACGGCGCCCGCCGGCTCTCGTTGAGCTTCCGAGTCCTCACGAAGTCTGCAGTCCAACAGAAAGCAACCTCCATTCTCGATCGACTGAGAAGGGCTTGCACCCCTGTTATGTGGCAGTGATGGTTTGGGTGTCGGCTATACAGCTATACATGTGTCCGCCTTAAGTCACAACGGGCACCACACGCTATGCTACTATTTCACGACTGTTGCAGCTGTTCCATCCCGGTGCTAGGCTGGCGACTGGCTGGAGCATTAGTAACCACAACAGCAGTCAGCAGCTTGCATACCAAACAGATGCCTGACCAAGTTCTTTCCTCTCGTCCAGTAGCCCGCCAGCTTCCTTAGGAAAGACACATACGACTAAGACTGCCAAGCATGCCATTCCATGCTAGTCCCTTTCTCGGGGGTCCCCACCTCTGCAAGCTCTCTCTTCGTCTCAGACGCATCTCCTCCATGTCGATCTTGGCTCGCCTGAAGCTTTCTGCAGGCGGCCCCTGGAAGCTCCACAACGCTGACCATTGCGTGGAGCAGTGATCCCAAATGGGCAGATAAGGCAAAGGCAAGGCCCCCTAAAGCGCGCTCTGCTCGTCGCTGCCGGACGCGCGCCACAGCCGCCTGCCGTCGCTCCGCGACCTTGCATCTTACATCTGCCGGTGTCGCCTTTTAGGTACAACGTATCACTGCGCGCCGCAGAGCATCCGGCCTGAGCGTCGGGGGCAGGGACCAGCCTCTGCACCGGGTCGGGTCGCTTCTGCGGCCCATCCAGCCGTCTATCGTCTGGGCCTTAGACAATACGCGTCGATGGCAGGCACGATGTGCTCCATTGTCCACCAACCAGAACAAAGGGAGCTGCAAACCATTCTTGGTCAAGGTACGACCGTGCTTGTCAGCGACAAACTGCCGAACGGCCGCACGACGCTGAGACACTGAGAGCGGCATGGGCTTCAGCACGTCTACATCCTGAAGATTCACCCCACTTACAGAGGCCGTCTCTGGTAGGGTCTCCAAACTCCAGATAACTGCTTGCTTTGAGTCACGACCCCTTTGAATCAACCCTCCAGCATCCCAACATGCCACCGTAACTTGCAAGCCTTGAGCCCCAAGCCGCCAAGCCACACAGAGATTGCTGCAAGAGCACGGGCTTCGGTAGACTTGGAATGTTAAGATTCTGCTGAACTCTGATATGCCCTGCAACTTGTTTTCAATCTGTGGATGTAGCATGACTGCAAGCAAGTCATGCATCATCTGAGCCCTTGCTTGTTTTACGCGTTGCTGCCATGCTCCTTTCTGTTCTCTGGCTTCGCAGAAGCGAGCGCCCAGCCCAACTCAACCAGGCCCACATTGCAGCGGGCCCGAAGGCAAAAGTTGAGTTCACTGACAGTGCACGGCAGAGCCAGGGACCAGCTGAAACAGGGGTCCGAGTCGACAACTACGAACCCAATGCTCATCAAAGTCCCTCCGGCATCGCCTTAACCGCAGCGACAGCCCGATACGGCTGCTGGAAACAGAATTCTGTCGGCACCTCTGAAGGGCCGCGGCATGCAGAGCTGCCATGAGCTAAACGCGCTCAAAAAGAAGCAGGCGCGTCCTACAAACGATGACAGCTTTCGTCACCCGCAAAGCAGGTCCCACATGATTCGTTGTGCACGCACAACTGTCATGACACTGGACGTGGCAAAAGCACACCGTTAAACGTTAAAAGCCCAGAAGTACAAGTGACCCTTCAAACATCCTGGATGAGTGACACTGAATCGTCAACTGTCCAATTGCCTGGAGCTGCACGGGAAGATTCCCGATACGACAGATCGGTGTCGGGGTCGTAACCCCTCGAAGCTCAACCACCAGAAAGTTCAGCACTGACCCATGCCCGTGGGCAACCCATGACGGCGAATGCTTGCAATGCAGCATGTCTGTGGCTACGCAATGTCTCTGTCATATTCACAGCCATTCTTTGACTCAAACAAGCTACACGATACTGTGTGTGGTGGCAAATGCCCATTAAGTAGCCTACATACCGAATTCATAATCTTGCCTTGCCACCCCGAATGTCAAAACTGGGCACATCACAATAACCAGTGGCCACAAGGTTGATTATGTGTTGCTTGATGCACACAGGTTGCCAGCTAAACATGGGCCTCGTTAGCCGGACAGTGATGCGCAGGGCATCCAAAATAAGGGCTATTCATGTTGGCTATGTACCTCAAGATACCGAGGCCAACCAAATGTCTGGGACATTCATGCACGCAGGCTGCTAAAGCTGGATTGAAATGAGCCAATGCTTACTTCGCAAATCGCCCACCGCCTCTTCAGCACCCTGCAACTGCCATGCGGACTGCGGCATATGCCGACCACAAAAGAGCTCAAGCGACCATGTTTCAACAGCGAGGTGCTTGAACTTCTAGAACATAGGCAAAATGCCAATGGTAGCCCCACCTGGCAGCAACCACGCGAAACACTTGCAGCAGGAGTAAGCAGCAGACTGCGACCCAGGCGCAAGTCATCCCGGCCATCCAGTCCAGTTCGGCTGTTGCCCGGTGCCGTCGCCCCGATGAAAAACTTGCAACCCGCCACTTTGCCTCACACCCAAGACACTCTGGTGGAACCCACACTGCTAGGATGAGGAGACTCTCTGCGTTTGCCACCCCGCACAGATGCAGTATTCGAGGGGCTGGATACACGCAGGCGATACGTGCAAAGCAGCAGCAGCAGCAGCAGTAGTAGTCGTAGTAGTAGTAGTAGTAGTAGTAGTAGTAGTAGTAGTCTTAATAGTAGTAGTAGTAGTAGTAGTAGTAGTAGTAGTAGTAGTAGTAGTGGTGGTAGTCGTAGTCGTAGTCGTAGCCGTAGCCGTAGCACAAGCCGTAGCCGTAGTCGTAGCCGTAGCCGTAGCCGTAGCCGTAGTGGTGGTAGTAGTAGTAGTAGTAGTAGTAGCACTAGTAGTAGTAGCACTAGTAGTAGTAGTAGTAGTAGTAGTAGTAGTAGTGGTAGTGGTAGTGGTGGTAGTAGTAGTAGTAGTAGTAGTCATAATAGTAGTAGTAGTAGTAGTAGTAGTAGTAGTAGTAGTAGTAGTAGTAGTAGTAGTAGTAGTAGTAGTGGTGGTAGTCGTAGTCGTAGTCGTAGCCGTAGCCGTAGCACAAGCCGTAGCCGTAGTCGTAGCCGTAGCCGTAGCCGTAGCCGTAGTGGTGGTAGTAGTAGTAGTAGTAGTAGTAGCACTAGTAGTAGTAGCACTAGTAGTAGTAGTAGTAGTAGTAGTAGTAGTAGTAGTAGTAGTAGTAGTAGTAGTAGTGGTAGTGGTAGTGGTGGTAGTAGTAGTAGTAGTAGAGGTAGAGGTAGAGTAGTAGTGGTAGCAGCAGCAGTAGTAGAAGTAGTAGTAATTCTCATCGATATACGCATACAAGGTTTGTCGGCATTTCCACGTCAAGCAAAGACCTCCCAAGCGAAACACAAAATGGACCTTTCCTCCGACTTTCAACAGTTTTCTACTCGTTTCTTGCAGAAATCCTCTCCAAAGCTTGCTTTCTCTTCCGTTTCCCGCTTCGTTGCTGAGATGTTTTGCTAAGCTTTCTTCGCAGGCCAGGGGTTGTTGGGCAGCCGGGATCCGAAGGGGCCTTGGGCTGGTGGCAGGGGAGCAGGGTGGCTTGGTGGTGACTCTCGGTGCTTCCAAAATCCAAATAGCCGACATCGATTTTTGCTGACCCGCGACGTTCACGACAGCAGAACTGGCAATGAAAGATGGAAAAATAGTTTCACGGACTTACTTCGTGATGAGCGATTCCGAATAGCGCAGTAGCACTGCCCTTGCTGCTGCCACCATGACGATACCTGCAACAACAAGACATTTTTTTAAGGCTGCTCAGGCAAATCAACGAAAATAGATGTTGACAAGAGTGTGCGACCCAAAAGACTGAGTTTGTAAGACTTCAGACATGCTGGAGCTTTGTACTCCTAGCCGTTGTCCGTATGCAGACCGCCGGGGAATCAACTTCCGAGAAGTTTGCAGGGATGTGTCAGGGTTTTCGGGCCTGGTGTAGACAGTCGCACGTCACAAACTTTCCCATCGACACGGTCGTGCCATCACGACGACTGCTACACTCGGGGTGCCCAGTATTGCTGTATTGCTCACTAGTCCCACGATGCGCGCTGCAATGACGACGATGACGGTGATACCTGTAACAGTACTTGGAGCATCATCATAACCGCCCACCTTACCTGAAATCGTCATGTCCCTGCAACTTCGGCGTCGTCTAACTTCAGAGGAGCAGCGGCGATCGCGCAGTTCCTTCGGACTTGCAAGCAGGTGGTCCAGCGCCGCGGGGCCGGCGTACCAGGCTTTCCAGCCCTTAGGGGACCGATGCGAGAATCAGAGATGAACCAGCCCCCCTTTTTGCAGTGAAAGAGTCTGCACTTTCTTGCCTACGTTGCCTCTTGACGAGGGGCGATCTCCCTTTCCAAGAGGACTCGGAGCTTACAGCCTCTTTTCTCAGCAGCTTCAAGGGCATTGATGATGGCAGGCGACTTCAGCGTCAGGGAAGAGATCATCATCACCAGGCCTAAGATGTCTGCGGCTTCAGGGCTCAGAGTGTCGAGATTTTCGTCTATTTGCTGCCAGCTGGCGTGCTGGTCCCGCAGGCCTCTCGGAGATCAGCTTCAGGAGATATGCGACCAGACCAACCCCCTCCCAGAAGCCTCCGGACAACGGTGACAAACTACTGCTCGTTGCCTCACCTTTGGTAGGGATGTAAGGCGGATTCGAGACGACAAGGTCAAAGGCTGCGTCGTCGTTGAGAAGAGCCACCGCATCCTCTGCACGAAACTTCCAATCTATGGAACGACCAGCAGCACCAACCACATTCTGCGCATTGAAAGTATTGCTCTGGTAGTACTTGAAAGCGACGGGGTCAATGTCTACCAGAGTGACCTCGAGGTCTCCATCTCCTTGCGCATAATGCGCAGCAAACTTTCCTATCAGCCCGGAGCCGCTTCCAACATCAATGACTCGCTTCACCTGCTTCATCTCCGCTAAGCAGTCCACCAAAGCCCTACAGACAAGGATGGTGTCGATACTCGGCTGCATGAAGCGACCACCAAGTGGGCGAGCAAAGATTATGCCAACATCTCGGTAGTGTAAGTATCTTACTTCATGTGGCTGGACGACAAAGCCTCTGTAGGCATTCGACATTACCACAGGGTTCTTGACCCGAACGTCTGGTGGTCCGGGTGCGTGTTGAACCACACCATCTTTAACGACACCGGAGTCCCAAACCATCTGTTCTTCCACGTCGTCATCGAACACGACAATCGGAAGGTTCCTTACCTGCACAGTGGCCGGAAAGGTGGCAAAGTCGTACTCGGTCGAGATGAGCTCACGGTCCTGCGTCGTCGAACCACTGTGTGTCGAGGACCCTGGTGAAGAGCCCTTGCTTGCAGGCTTCTTACCTCATCTGGCAAGACATGCTCATATAGCCAGCCTGTCTAGCCGGCACAAGTGCAGGAGATTCACTACAATTGTTCGCAGAAATGTGGCGAATCAAATACTTCAATCAAGAGCAAGAGGGAAGCAAGAAACGTTCGCAGGAGTCCTCATGTTAATGTTGTGTGGGCTGTAACTGCTTAGGCCGAGAAACGCACGCTTCTGTCGCTCATGTCAGCGGGAAGGCGAACTTGCTTCGCCGCCTCCCTGGGGCTATCGATAGAATCGCTGCGCTCTCTCGGAGCCTGCGGCTGCACAAACACTTACATGGGTGGTTGTCAAAATTATGGTCCTTTTTTGGGACCCTAAATAATGGGTGCCGTATTATAATAGGGACCCAAAAGGGACGATAATTTTGACAACCACCCACATGGACATCAGCCTTATAAAGCACGAGCCTGCCTTGCGGCTTCCGATCGAGAGACAGCTCACACAACTGGCCACCATGGCACATGGGGTGCCGAGTCGGGAG